AGAGTTGGAAAAGGGGGTTGGGGGAGACAAGGGGAAAAGAGTCGGGAGAAGGAAAGAGAGGGCGGGTATGGCTGATATGAAAAAGAACGAAGAAATGGAATCTCACCCAGTCAATCTCGTCTCCAGAGTCCGACTTGAGGACAATGGCGGTGATGAGGCCGGGCCCCTTGGCGGCCTGGACCTGGACGCTGACTTTGCCGAAGAGGAGGTACTTGGTGCTCGTCAGGGTGGGCGCCTGGCCGTCCTGCCAGATGGTGAAGGCGGCGCCCTTGCCGTCGGTGTTGTTGAGGGCGAGCTGGCGCTTGTCGTGGGCGGTGGAGGAGTCGGCGGTCCAGAAGGAGGTGAAGTGGTCGTCGTCCCAGGAGGTGCGCGTGAAGTCGAAGGAGGTTTCTGTGGCGAAGGCGAGATCGGGGGGGCAGTCTTTCACATGGAAAAGTTAGCTTTTTGGCGGTCTAAAAGACTTGGTTGCTTGGATGGTGTGTAGATGATTTACGGGCGTCTTTCTTGAGGGGGTCGCAGTTTGAGAGGTCTTTGAGGCTGGCTAGCACGGGGAGGGCAAGGGGGATGGTCAGGAGGAGGAGGAGGAGGTGAAACATGTTTGAGCCTTTTGGAGGTGGGATTGCTGGGAATTGGATGGTTTTCGCTGTTCAGGAGTTGCCTGGAGTGACGGAAGCAAGGTCTCAAATCTCGTCAATGCAAGAGGAAGAGCGTAAAGATGATTCTATTTGGGTTTTATACTCCAGGAGATATACGCAAAACGGCTGGTTGCCTCCACGCCGGCTCCTTGTTTTTTTTTGACAAGCTTCTTCTCTCGGCAGTATGATGGCGTACATGTAGCAGTGAATCACCTGGCACAGCATGGTTGGTGAGATGAAGCACAACTGGCGGCATGGGTATGATGACAGGGGCGAGAAGCAAGGGGAAAGGGTCTGCTGGCCGTTGACTTTGAGATGGGAGGCGGGCGCTTCATAATGGCGATATTGTGGTTGATGCACGAGAGTGTGATGGTGTAACTGGGATCTCGTTGATGGCCTGCAAGATTGAGGCGATATAATTTCACGGCCTGAATGGATGAAGATAATTGCCGACTTGCACGATAAGTCGATGTTGGATGGCATTGCAGCCTCCGCAGGCCATCTTGCCAACATACCTATGCAAACATCATGATGCTGGACCAAAAATCTGTTCCGACATATAAAGAAGGGACTGTGACACGAGACGCTGTTTTGGAAGTGTCTGACAGGTGACATCAAACAACCGTTGAAGCTACTACTGTAACCTTTGGCACTCGTGAGCTCTCGGCTGCGGAGCGAACGGATGAGCTTCCACGCGACGAGCTGTGATCCCGTCTCTTATATGGCTGGGGGGCGGGTTGTAGACGGCGTTTGCTGATCGAAGACGAGGAGTGTGGGATGAATTTAATCCTTTTGGACAGCGTTGAAGCAAGGGGGAGATGTCGGGTCGATTTCCTCTGCGGGCATCCGTATACGGAAACACAAGGGCAGTGAAAGAAGAATACATGTATATTCGCTACACAACCGGGAAGCTAAACAACATTGAAATCGATATACAATTAGTCAAAATAGAGTGAATGCAATCATCATTTCTCATTAGTTCATCCTGAGCCCCTTTCTTAGCACGTATCCAGCATGCTGCTCAGCGCCGTCTTCTCGGCGCTCGTGACGGTCAGACTGTAGAAGCTCTTGACGTCGATCCACGACTTGGCGTAGGTGCAGTAGAAGCTGGTCAGCGGGGGCTTCCACTGGTCGGGGCTGCGGTCGCCCTTGGAGCGGTTGGCGCTCGCGGAGACGGCCCAGAGCTGCGGGCGGGAGACGTCGTTGGCGAGGGCTTCGCGTTGGGCGGTGGTCCAGGATGAGGCGCCGGACTGGGTACAAAGTTAGTTTGTGTATTTAGTCCGTGTGATGAGAGGAGGGGTAACTTGTAGAGGCCGGGGATATATCATGTGAAGTAGGGGGCGTATGTACGATGCATAATGAAGCGGTTGATAAGGATGTCGAAGATGATGACAGCAGAGATGAGCAGCTTAAGGGGCAATCATAGGGCAAACGATGTAAGAGGAAGAAAGGGGCGTAGAGAGATGGAGACCATAGAGAAGATGGACGGGGAACTCACAATCCAGGCATTCTTCAGAGGCACCATGTGGTCAATGTCCAAGCTGGACGCATTCGTGAAGCTGGCATTGTCATAAGGGCTGATCCAGCTCCCGGACTGGGCCTCGCAGGCGTTGTTGACCTGGACTCCCTCGCCATCTCGCTTCAACACATATTCTCTGTTTGTTTTTTCACAATCTCTTCGTCAGCCTCTTACGCCATTTGCTTCTTATAAACACCTGAGAAAGCCCTGGACATACCGAGCATTGCAGTTCCCGGAGATGGCGTCCCAGGTAGGAAACAAGTCGCGGGAGTATCCCGTGCCGGAACCAGCGACGGCGACTGTGAGGCCGGCGAGCTGGGTCCTTGCGCTGTCTTCGGAGGGGATCCCGGGCTATCACGGTTCTAAGGTTCAGTTCATCTGATGCGTAGAGATATGGAGTGCCATCTGTGAAGATGCCGTGTTGGGAGGTTACGTACCGGTGTGGGTAGAGGGGCCGGAGCGGCGAGGACCGCGATGGCCGAAGCGAGGGCGATGGAGAGGGACAGCTTCATGATGGCCTATTTACAATGAAAGGGTACGGCAATCTTTGTACAATGAAGCAGCGATAATGTCGAGACCGGGATATGCTATCAAGCCCTTTTCTGCTCTATCCCCTCAGCAGCAAGAACTTCTCCGAGTCAAGCGCAACCAGAGGGCAACATGCATCCTTATATATTTCGTTTGAATCCCATGATTGAGTTCACATCTCACCTCCTACTAATGCATACCGAGGTCTATGCAAAGTCTCCTCTTCGCTGCGCCGTCTTGGCTCCATCACATAATATGTCTCAAAGCTGTGCGACTCACGCGCAATAAGCCGCATGAGAACACTATCACGTCCGCTCTCCCCTCATGACCCAATGCCGAGAAGAAACACCCGCCGCATCCGCCCAATAGCAGTACTTGCATGGATAAGAAAGAGGGAGGGAAGGACACGGGAGACGTAGTATCATATCCTATGTACTTTATCATCCTAAGCATGGTTCATATCGCTGTTAGCAACGCACAGTATACCCCATTCGACGCAAACTCCGCTGGGTTTACAGTGAACTCCCTCGTCTATTCAGCTGATAAACCCCACCAAGGACGAAAGAGAGAGAAAGATAAAAAGAAGAGCCACATCAGGCTGATTGATAGCCAATGCCGCCACAACGTGTTGATAGAGGCATCTCCACAGCTTGTCGCTTGAGCATTTCCTCTTCGGGCAGGTTGGCGATTTGGCTCAGCTTTGGGCCCCCTCTTTTTAGATTTAGGGTGGGAGGGGACGGGATCTACAGGCGGGGATCGGAGCCACTAAGGTAAGGATTGATGGGCTTAGGGGTCCCCTTAAACTCCCGAGATCTCTGGAAGTAAGAGAGGAGGCTTTCTTTTTGTGGTTCTGTAAGAGAAGCTGAGGAGATGGTGAGTTTTTTAGGGATGAGCATAGATGCTGAAGAAGTGAGCTTTGCATGACTACAAGATGGTAAGCAATGCTATGTTGATTCACGAGAAGCTGTAGCGAGAAACGAGAAACACAGTGGACGATGGAAGTCGCCGGTTTCCGGAGCAGGCTCTTGAGAAGAAATAAGGTTGCATATTCGGTCGACCGTTTGGGCCAAGAAGCCCGGACTTGTAAATCAACTGAAACTGATAGAAAGATATAGAGGGCTAAAAGGTAATCTACCCAAGGTAGTAGCTTCATAAAACCGGAGCCAAGATGCATGGGTATATAAAGACGAAAAGGAAAAGAGAAAATAGAAGAAGAGCACTGAAGATTCCATATCCGAGTGAATGCAAACTGTGATAGAACGCCAAAGATGAACCATTTCCACCTCGCCCGAATTTTCGAATGTAAAACAAAAACTTGTGATGGTAGCAACTTTTCCAGCGCCGTTCCAACCGAACCTTTGTCGTTGTGCATATCGATTACTGGATGGCCTCAATCTCAAAATGATAGAGACCCACGCAGTGTAGCAGACCCTGCCTTGCCCAGCAGAGAGTGAAAGAAAGAAGAGCAAAGGGATGGAAACGAACTCTCATTCCCGGGAAAGTATTTTGGTAAGAATCTTCCGCCACTGCTTTTTCACGCTTGGTTGATTGATATCCTCTGGAGCATGTCCTTCCATGAGTTCGTCCCAATAAGCCTTCACATCGTATAAGTAGAGCTTCAATTCTGGGCAGTCTCTTTTCGTCCGAATATCCTTGAGTGCTTGCAGAGGTGTCTGGCCACGGGCATTCTTGTGATTGGGAATCGCACCTAGCCAAAGAACCTCAATTGCATCGTCTCTCGCTTGACGGTCCTTATATTTCGGGTTATTGTCCAACCTGTGTATAATGCAATGTAGGAGCCCATTCCCCTCCTTATCAATGTAGCTGCCATCAAAACCATCCATGTCAAGAGCGAGATGGAACCATTTATAGTTGCTTCCACTGTCGAGGAGAACTTTCGATGCAAATCTCTCGGCAATCGTGGTTCTTGGGAAGTGCTCCTTCAACTGCTTAAATAGGGCCTCATCTCTGCCGAGAACGACTTCATACACCGAATCAATGGCACCTTGAGAGACATGATCGCGAAACTGTTCCGTATGGCCACTTAATAATTTGCGCAAGCTGGAAGATTGTGACCACTTGACAAACACGGCGTCGGCCTCTTGGGGAACGAGAGGTGCGTGCAGCTTCAGGAGAAGTTGGAGAAACTTTGTCGGCCGTTGACTGTATTTCATGATGCAGGTTCCCAACACAGATCTCCCGCTAGGAAAGGGAATCGTGAGGTCGGCGCCTTTTTCAACGAGTTGGGCAAAGATCTCTGGTAGTCCATTGCTGTTCTTCCCCCTGCATATGACGTCGCAGAGAGCATGGAATATGGTGATTCCTTCATCTGATCTCTCGTTGACGTCGGCCCCATGCTCCAGAAGCAGATCAATCATGGCAGTAACATCTTCAGTTGCAATCTTATGTTCCTCTGCAATTTGGGAAATTGCTTTGATGGTGCAGGTCAATGGTGTCTCCCACGCTCCTTGAGGGCCATCGTTGCCGACTTTCGCCTTGCCAGACTTGATCAGGTGCTCTGTGACATTATTATACCACTGCCGTGCCTGTGCATCCTTTGACGTGAAGCGGAATGCAATGGCTTGAGTGAGTAGAGTTCTTCCGAATTGATTCAAGGCCTCAACATTGGCACCGTTGGCAATGAGCATTTGGAGAGCCTTCCCGTTGCGTTGGCGCAGTGCCAAAAATAGAGGCGTTGATCCTTGTTGAATTGGAACGTCGATGAGCGCAGCAAACCTCTCAAAGTATGATTGCTTGGCATCGTATGTAGTCTTTGCGCTGGGATTCGCGGAAAGCATGTGTAGAATATTGATGGTACCTGGATCATGTGCAGCTGCCCTTGGATTGTTGATCGGGACCGAAAGCACAGGCGAGGCGCCAAATCGCAACAACAGTTGAATCATGTCTTCATTTTGGTAGACGAACGGAACAAGCAGTGGTCGCCACAGACTACGGTCAGTAGCGTGCCATATCGTGGAAACTGCCGGCTCTGTTGTTGGAAACCTGCCCTGAAATCCCGGCGACTCAGGTCTGGAAAATGCCCGCCCCAGAGCATTTACGTTGGCGCCGAGCTCCAAGAGTTTCTGAGCTCCTGCGATGTTCCCTCTGGCAGTGGCAAGATGGAGAGGCGCGGCCTTGTATGATGGAGCCTCGCCGTAGCTGTGCATGCAATCCACGTCTCCGCCATATTCTTTGGCGAGGTCCAAGATTTTGATGATGGTCTTCTCCGTAGCTTGAGTGGTGTCCGCTGACGCAGCCCAGATGATGGCACGCGGTGTCTCATCGTCGGCATCCTTTTCGTAGAGAATCGGGGTGACGATCTCGTAGAACAGCTTGGAGACTTGAGCCAAGCGGCCAAGAGTCTCGACAGAGGAGCGTCGAATGATGTCGTACATGAGTTCAGCTGGGAGAATGCTGAGAGGATCCCTGGGGAGCCAAGGAACGTGTTTGCGGTCAAGGAGGGCCATTGCGAAGGTGGCCGTCCAGAAGCGCAGATGTTGAAGAAAGAAGAAAGAAAGGTCAGGAGGAGAAAGAGGCGAGAAGAAATAGGCCGAGAGAGCGAGCTGGTGCCTGAGGAATGGAAGTGCACAAGTAATAAGTGATGCCTGAGGAAGCGAGCAGAAGCCGGAGGAATGAAGGCGCCAGGGTATATATATTGCAACCTGTATGGCCGAGGTCGTGTTGTTGAAACAAGGTCGTAGGCTATGAATCTTTGATCAAGCCCATATCGCCCAGCTGTGGATTTTCTGTTTATTCAGGGACAGTCTGATAGAAGGAGAAGCTGTTAAGCATTACAGCTTGCGCAAGGTAGACGAAGAGTAAAAGTTACCAGTAGACGGACTTTATATCTATCTATAAACTTCCTAAACTGGATGGAGGTAAGAGCATATAGCAAGCTCTACACTTTTACCTCATCCTCAGTATAGACAGCTATCTAGTATCCTAGTAACGCAATGATCATAAGGCTGCTGCTATTGCCAAAGTAGAAGTGAGTATTTCTACGAACCCTGAAGTAAAAGAGAATATTTCTGTTTTCTGGTACTGCTGTTATATCCTTCTAAGCCCTCGCCCAAGCACTGATGCCTTTAACAACATCAGGTAACTCGGCATTAAGTCGTAGGTGCTTCGATAAAATGAGGTGCTCAACCTTGCATATCTATTATCGAGTACTTCTAAATTCAAATTGCCAAAATTCTGGCAGAAGGTCATTATAACAAAGTACATCGTGACCAATCTCATTTCCTATCAGAACAACCTGAAGTTGAACCAAGCGCATGTCACGAACAAAATGCGCTGACTCAGCAAGGATCTGCCGCCAACGACGCCAAGCGCCTCCCGCTGGGACAAACTGCCGTCACTGCTCAGCCCTCGAGCGGCTTCCAAGCTTTCCAACAAACGAGGCTGCGTCAGCCGACGACGACTTTCAGCAACGAACGCGCAACTCGGATCGCCACCGGACACGCAACCAGTTCCAACGCCCCCTTGTCTTCGTCCTCTGCCCGAGGCTGGCCTGCTAAAAAGCCAGCTGCAGCCGCCTGTCCAGCCCTCGATGCCCTGGCCAGCCCATCATCCGCACCACCAGAGACTCACAGGGCAGACCAGAGGCGGCCGCGGCTCTGCAGCTCCTCTCCGCGCTCCCTCATCTCTGTAACGATTCCCTCGACCGCCAGCAGCTTCAATAGCCAGCATTACAGAGCACGGCATCGGGCGCGGCGTTTCGCATCTTGGGCCAGCCTCTCCCGCTACCCCTCCATCTTCGATAACCTGCGATTACTGGCGTCATCCACGCAAACGCCTCTTCGTCTCGACCAGCCCGTCACGTTCCACCCACGTCGCACACACCATACACAATGGGAGCAAGATACGATCTGAGGTCGCAAGACCCTGAACCTCTCGCTTATGCCGCGCTGCCGGGCACGCAATCCGGCTTTGTGCCAACCAACCCGACGCCAATGAAGTCTGCCCTGGTTGGGCGGGATGTGATCGGTATGCCCCTCCTGGTGTACGCTGACCTCGATTCCACTTACTGACGGCGCGAATAGGATGCCACCCGAGCCGCTGGATATACGAGCTGATCAATAATAATTTCACTGTCTGCGACCTCTTCCAGCGAGCCCGGAATGCCAATCTAGATAGCCACTACAACTGGGAGCACCCTCACCAGCTAGTCATCAATGGAAACCAGTCCTACTCAACTGCGTCATCCAAAGTTCTGTCCGCCATCTGCCTGGACTGCCACTTCCACTTCATGTTCCGGGTCGAGTGGGAACGCGAGCAGGAAGACTTCTCGTGCCATCACAGCCAGAGCCAGTGGCCCCTCGGTGACACACAATTTCCCTGGCATCATCTGGCTTGGGCCTGCTCAGAGGATGAGAAGCGCATCACACAGGAGCGGTCAAAGTACTATCCACTGCTGGCTCGCGAGTTTTTCGTCTGCACCGCCGCGCCATGCACGGTGCAGATTACACTCGAGGTGTCCGAACCGCGGATGCCTTCATCCTGGGTGAAACTCCTGCTGGACCACGAGACAATCCTTCAACAGCTCAAGGCTGCGAGGGAAGACGAGCCCGCGCGGTATGAAAGTGCGACAGATGACTGGATCTATCAGGCACCGTCAAACCTCAACACCTATCTTAAAAACCTTCTGGAAGCCACACCTGATTCGGCTAGGAGCATATCAAAGAGAAACAAGCGGTTTTATGTATTGTTCGGCCCACGTTGCTTCCACATATTCCGGGAGCTTGAGTTCAAGGAGGTGGTAGACATGCAGGATGGGGTCGACGAGGGTTCCTTCACGCCAACAGCTCCGCCACCAGCCGAAGGCCCGTCGAAGAGCACGGAAATTAACACCTATCGCGCCTATCTCGAAGACGTGCGTTCCGAAGTGCAGAATCTCATCTTCAAGTCTGGCCACACGGCAGAAAGCCCTACATTCTGCATCGCCGCCCTGCATAATCATTTGGGCTGTGCGGAAGTCCCTCGTGTCAGCGAGAATGCGCTGGTGAATCTGGAGCGGTACAAGCTCATGGGAGTCTTACCGACCCAGTCCATAGAGATTGTGGTGAATGCCTATAAGAGACAATGGGATCTGCTCCCCTCTCGGCGAAGAGATCTGGTCGAAGCATTAATGGCCATTGCGAATGATACAAACGACGATCTCTTATCCGACTATGCCATCACCCAGTCGTCCGTCTTTGAGAGCCAGCTCCAGAGGCACAGCGGAGACGACGATGACGGGCTTGTCGCTCAGGCACTGGAGTACTTTTCGCTGAGCCCGCCAAACACCCACAGCGCAGACGCCATACTTCAGGCATTTAGGGAGAAGATAGCGCGAGACCCCTTTGATGCGAGCACCGCCAGGAGCATGCTCCTTTTAATTGCCAGGTCTTCGAAGGATGATTCCTACCAGATGAAACTTGTCTTGGAAGCTGACTCCAAAATGACACTGGAGACTTGCAAGGTAGTCCTTGGCTTAAAGACCCTAGATGGACCCTGGGAAGACATGGTTCGCGCCACCAAAGAGTTGGTAAGTTGGCCAGTCTACATACCTTGGATACTCGGGGGATGAGCACCGACTTCTCCCCAACCATCCCTTGACATGCAGACGTGTACTAACGTCAGCAACTTCTTAGCTAAACAACGCCTCCTCGAGCGAAGCCAAGGCTACATATCTCGACGCTTTGGACTCCATTGCCGAGCACACAGCTTCACCGTCACTCAAGCAGGCGGTATTGGAACTTCGCAATGAATTTAACCTCGGCATTTCTGGGTCCGACGGTACCGTCTCTAGCGATCCCAGGGCGACCAACTTGGACCTTCCCGTAGGGCTGCACAACATCGGCAACACTTGCTACTTGAACAGTCTACTCCAGTATCTCTTTACCGTGAAACCTATCCGAGACATTGTCTTCAACTATGACAGCTTGCGGCTAGGTTTGGACGATGAGAGCATACGAGAACGCCGGCTCGGTGGCAACAAGATGCAAATGGACCGCGGAGAAGCCGTTGTCGCGCAAGCCTGTAAGTGCTGCACATCCCCAAGAGATATAGCTGCGTCTGAATGATACGTGGAAGAGGACAACCACTGACACAATTGTTAGTTGCCGAAGAAATGGCTACTCTGTTTGAGACTCTTCGTACTTCTGACCGAACCGCTACCCGGCCGTCTCAGAGACTGGCAAACGCAGTTCTGCTGTCAACACATACGCTACTGTCCAGTCCCAAACAGCCTTCGGAGACGCCCACTGCTCCCAATCCTCCGCCGTTGCCTGCGCGTCCATCCCCTGCTCCCCCAACGAATAGCTACGATGATGTCAACATGGTCAACGTCTCCGTTCAGGCTGTCTCGGACTCACTTGAGACTCAAAGTAGCTCTAGCACGCAGACTCTGGTCAACCAGGATGATGCACGGTCTGATCACTCCTATGAGAAAGTGGAGACTATCGTAGAAGAAGCAAGCCAGCCTGTCCAGGTCGCTACGGGAGGCTCGGGCGATGATATCTCGATGGTGGAAGCACCGCTGGACGACAAGAAACCAACTGTACTTATGGATCTGGACGAGTCCAAGGACACGCCCATCAGCGCAGGGCAAGTTAATCACGATGTCGACATGACTGATGCGGAGAAGCCTGAGACGGTGGACCAGAAAGTCCTCAACGCGCTTGAACATCAGAAGAGGTCTTCGGGAACTGACCAGCAGGATGTTGAGGAAGTCATGGGAAGCATTCTCAATCGTCTCCAAGCAGCAATTCGCCCAACATCGGTTGATCCCGAAACGGGCATTCAGCTGGAGAAGATCATGGAGACTTTCTTTGTGACTACGGTCAACTACACCAAGAAATTCGACGAACAGGAGTATCAACATGAGATTAGCTTTGATCGGTCCATCACGGCGTTCCCAGCCACCGAAGGCCCTTGCTCACTGTACGACGCCCTGGGAAGGAATTTCGACCAGCAGATTTTGGAAGACAGCAAACTTTCGCGATACACTGCCATCAAGACACTGCCGCCTGTGCTTCACATTCTGATACAGCGCTCGCAGTCCATGGGCAACAAGAATGGCAACCCGGTTGTGATCCCCGAAACACTGTACCTGGACCGTTTCATGGACGCCCCTCACGATTCGCCCATCTTCCGCCAAAGGGTGCAGGACTGGATAACAGCGGAACGGATTGGTGACCTGAAGTCTCAACGATCCAAAGTCGTGACCAACCCTAGATACATGACATTCCTCCAGACGTACGAGAGCGGGGATGGAACGACGGAGGATCCGACGAATGAAGCCCCGATGGGAGCTGAGGAGCCGCCGAAGCAAGAAGAGCCTTTGGAGAACTGGGACTTTGATGGGCCTGTAGAAGATGACTTTTTGCTCGTCACAGCAGAAAACACCAAGAAAGCGGCTGCGTCCGGAGAATCAGTCACCAAGTTGGAAAATATCCAGAAAACGCACGCCACAGTGCTCGAAATGATGGAAAAGGAACTGAGCGAGCGGCAAGAGACGCTAGAGAAAAGCCTGAACAGCCAGAAGCAAATTGCGTACCGGCTTCACGCCGTCATTTGCCATCGCGGCCACTTAATGTCGGGTCACTACTGGGTCTGGATCCACGACTTCGAGGCCAATGTTTGGAGGTGGTACAACGATGCGGACGTGAAGGAGAATAAAGACACGGCAGAGGTGCTGCGGACTTTAAGCACGAGCGGGGAGCCGTATTACCTTTGCTATGTTCGCGACGAAGACAAGGAACAATACGTCAGTATTCCCAAGAGGGAAGTTCCCAAGGAGAAAGCAGCAGACAAGCAACAAGACGGGGAAGACGGGAGCAAAGTGGAGGAGGAAGCGCCAGCCAATGAAGCTGAGGCGACGGCGCCGTTGGCGGTAGCGGACAAGGACGGTGACGTTGAAGTCAGCGATGCAAGGCCTGAAGATGGCCCAGAAGTCGTTCCGGCAGTGGACGCAGTACCCGAAGAGCCGCGCGAAGAGTCTTAGAAAAGAATTGCTTGGCGTATACAAAGCCGCCTCCGAGAGATGACGGGTGAGAAGAATAGGGGACGCTTCGTCCATAGGCATGATGGTCGAAAATGCGAGAAGCGTTTTCAGGGGGACAAACAACGGAGGGGTTAAGGCACGCGAAATACACGAATGGAGCGAGCGAGGGCAGGAAAGAGCTTGTAATGGCATTGCCTGTTAGCTGGTATTATGACCGGACGATGCCAGGATTGTGGTATTACATGTAGCATTCATGAGGATTATGTATATTACTAGAGAGCAAGGCGTAGAGGGGGTTGTCACATATTCCATCTCTGACCATACGGTTTCAGCATTCACTCGGTTGGATCCTTGACGTGTTGCCTGGCTTGCATGCTTGTTCATTGCTGCTCTTCAATATCCTGGCTGTATGTACTTTTTTTAGACCTCTGACCTACGTGAATCATTGTAAAGGCAACCCCAAATTACCGACCCTTGAAGATGGGCTTCCGCTTATCCTGAAACGCCTTCAAAGCCTCGTTCCTGTCCTCCGTGTTGACAACCCTCTGGTACATCTCATTCTCCTTCTCCTCCCTCGCCCAAGCGACAGCCTGCAAGCCGGCGCGAATGGCGACGGGCCCGCCCTCGCAAATCTCCTGCGCCAGCCTAACGGCCTCGGAGAGCGCGGCCCTGCGGGCAGTCTCCAAGATGTTGCTGCCCTTGGCCCCGTCAGCAGCAGCAGAACCGCCGCTGCTGGCGTCGCGCTCGTCCTCGGGCAGGACCTCGACGAGGCGGTCGGCGATGCCGAGGAAGTACGCCTCGGGGGCGGCGACGCGGCGGCCGGTGAGGACGAGGTCGCGGGCGCGGGAGAGGCCGACGATGGCGGGGAGGCGGTATGTGCCGCCGGCGCCGGGGATGATGCCGAGGCGGGTCTCGGGGAGACCGACGGTGGCGTTTGAGGAGAGGACGCGGAAGTGGGTGGAGAGGGCGAGCTCGAGGCCGCCGCCGAGGGCGAGGGAGGAGATTGCGGAGATTGTGGGGATCTGGAGGTTGGAGATGTCGGTGAGGGTGCCGCGGAGGTTGGCGAGGAATTCGGCGGTTCTGGGAGTTGTCGGTTTAGCAGCTGTGAGGGATGTCGAGAGAGGGAGACGGGGATATAGGATGTAGGGGGGGGAATAGTAGGGCTCATTGTGTTTGAATTGAGAGAGAAAACGCACTCTTCCTGGGTGAATCCGCGCCGCTCCTTCAGGTCAGCGCCAGCGCAGAAGCACGTATCGACGGCGCTGGCCAGGATGAGGGCCCTCGTGGGACCCTTTTCGTCGACTCCCGCGGCGCCGCCGAAGCGCTGCGGCGCGGGAAGCTCCTCGCCGTCGGGCCCGTACTGGCGCTGGACGTCGTGGATCTCGGCGCGCAGGGAGGCCAGCAGGGCCCTCGAGATTGCGTTGCGGGCGTCGGGGCGGTTGAGCTCGAGGATGCGGATGTGGCCGTTGGAGGGCTGGCCGGCCGGGGCCGCGGGGAGGTTGGTGACGCGGATGAGGGGCTCTGCGGTGGAATAGAGGCGGCGGAGGGGGAGGGAGTAATAGTAGGTGGTGGAGGGGGGGAGGCGGATTCGAGGAGGCATTTTTTGTGTGTGGGAATTGTGAGGGGTTTGAGGGGGGGAGGAAGCTGAATTGGAACGAGGTGGGAGGGATTGAAGGGAGGGGGAGAAGATGGGAGGAAGAGGAATGTGATTTGGAGGGTTTTTTTTGGTGTTTTGGAGGTTTTGTTCGGCTTAATGGGTGACGTCGATGCGAATGGGCCGAGCTTGGGTTTTGGTGCGGCTTGTGTCGGAGCTTGAGCTTTGGCAGGGGGGACGGCAGTATGGCTTCTCATTGTATTCGACGCGATCCATCTGATGAGGGTGATTTGATTGATTTATATAAAGTATAGACTCGAATGTCATTATGATTGCGTTGTCTGGCAATTTCCCTCTTCATGTTCCCGTATGTGAGTCCAATAGGTCATTTGCTGAAGCTCATCTCAAGCTGGCCGGGCTGAAGCTCGAGAGTTTCGTGGGGATAGCGGCAGAACCAGCATTGAACATGGCCTCCAAGTATAGCCATTGCAATTGAAAGAAGATTTAATACAGAACGATCAGAGCTGGATCATCGCATCCAATCCAGGTCATCATAATCAGTCCAGGTGGCCGCGTGTCAACTGGGCAGGCCAGAGAATGGAAAAGGGACAGAACTCGCCGTCGTCCACAAAGTTGACTAAAACAGCTTGCCAGTGGACGGCTTAGCAATCACTGCTGCCACAGCATTCCCCCCCAATTCGCAGGCTGGGGCTACTCCAGTATCATCACATGGCAAGATCATAAATCGTGCGCCAAAACCGACCGACGCCAACGAGCTTCATCTCAAAAAGCATACCCCAAACGGACACCATTTCCATCTTTCTCATCTTCTCGGCTATCGCATCAAGCAAATCTGCCCCCTTGCCTCCGAGGCGCTGCTGAATCAGGCCTAGGCTCCCTTTCCCCACAGCGGTCCTGACAGCGGGGAGCGGCAGCGTAAATTGACCGGGACCGAAACCTGCAGCTCAAGCCTCCAAGCGTCTCGTGCGCATTCACTTGCCGACGACGACATCATACCCTCGAGCCTTTAACTCGACTTCGTCCAAACAAAGACATCCCAATCCCGCCTCAACCACACGCAACACCACATTCCCAACCGAGATGCACCCTGATATCCGCCTCATATAATCAACCATCTATTCTTCTGCAATCCTGCAACTCTCCACCATGGCCATCAAAACACCCGCCCTCCTCCTCCCCTCCCTCGTCTCGCCACTCTCCAGCTCGCACCACCTCGTCCTCTATCCCCGACCATCATCATCATCGCCATCATCCTCACAATGCCAGCGCTTCAACAAACGACGATACGCCACCACCTCCTCCTCCTCCCCTTCACCCCCCGACGCAAGGAAATGGTCCGACTCCAGCCCCTCCCCCGAAGAAGCCGCCCACGAATGGCCCAAGTCGCCCCGTCCAACGCCCTACGAAGTCCTCGGCATCTCCAACAAGGCCGCCGCCTACGATAAGCGCCGCTTCTTCCACCTCGTCAAGCTCTACCACCCCGATACCCACGACCACCATCACCACCACCACCACCACAACCACAACCACCATCCTTCATCATCATCATCATCCCCATCATCATCGTCGTCGTCATCGTCATCGTCATCGTCGAAAGCAAGTATAAAGTCCCTCTCGCCCGCCACCCGCCTCGAGCGCTACCGCATGATCGTCGCCGCAAATGAACTCCTCAGCGACCCCCCCAAACGCCGCCTCTACGACGCCCACGGCATCGGCTGGGCCCACGGCGACCAGCCCTCCGCCCTGCGCGACATCGACAGGTCCTGGCGCCACCAGCCCGGCTCCGCCGCCAACAACGCCACCTGGGAGGACTGGGAGCGCTGGCGCGAGGCCCAGCAAGGAGGAGGAGGAGGCAAGCCCGGCGAGCCAGTCTACATGTCGCACGGCGCCTTTGCGTCCATCGTCGTGCTCATGTGCCTCGTCGGGGCCATGGCGCAGACGAACCGCGCGGAGACGACCGGCGCGCAGTATGTCGGCTGGGTGGACCAGCACAGCGCCGAGATTGGGGGCAGGCTGAGGAGGCATGGGTCGGCGGTTGCGGGGCTGAGCAAGGATGAGAGGGTCGACTACTTCCTGCGGGAGCGGGAAAACGTCAACTATCAGTTTGTGCCGAGCAAACACGACGAGACGACTCATCCACCTGGCCCATCCTAATAAGTCAAAGGAGCGAGAGTTCGTGCTCAGTCTCGGGTAAAAAAAGAGGTCAATCATCCAGTGACCAGAACTCCATGTACAATTATAGCGAATGATGTAACGATATCTTCCAATTCTATGAATCCAGTCATCTCTCCCATGATACATACATTATTCCATCGACTTCAAGTCTACTACATACATATTAGGTAACATTATAAACACGCTACATTCATCATGACGGCGTTAGTCATTATCAAACAACTCGTACAATCGTGAAAGAAAAAGGTCATTCAATCTCTGGAACCTGGGACAAGCCGTTCCCTAGGTTCGAAAATTAGCGTCTCCGGCCGAGAGTAGGCTGTTCCCGCAGTCTTCAAGTCCGGCCTGAGCATCTCCTCGGGCCGGAGCGTTTCCTCGTCGTCGTATTCAGATATCAGTCTGTTGTTAATAATATTGTCGATACGCAAGCGCGGCGGGCCAGAATTCAGCCGCTCGCCGTTCTTTGGAGGTCCGGCTAAAGAGTCGTCAGAGCAAGAAGCAGGATAAGCAGTCAACGAGCAAGGACTAGACTTACATATGATGAGATCTATCAGCTTGACAATGACAGGACCCCAACAGGTAATGGCAATGATCTGCCCATACGACCACTTGTTGGCCTCGAAGCTCTTCGCGTTGATGACGGTCACCAGCGAGACCATGTATAAGATATTGACCAAGAAATAAGACACTTCAAGCCCCCTCCAGAAGTAGACGGTGAACTGCTTCCAATGCCGCTGATACTTGTTCTCGGGCCACCGGCCGGGAGTCCAACGGCCAAACCTCAAGTGCCTTGTCAAGTGATGTTTCCGCAGCGTCCAGCTGAGCTGATCAACCACCAGCGCTATGAAGGCGACGCTGTCCAGTGCCAAAAACACAATCTTGTAAAGCAGTGGATGGGGGAAGAAGGTCAAGTGCAGCCCCGCGACACCATGCGTTGCAGCACAATACGTCCGCGGACTTGGATTGTTGCCGCACTCGGGAATGCTGTGCTGCTGCTTGAACAAATCAAAGGTCGCGCCAAAGCTAATCTTTTGCGTCGATGCAACGATGGCCAATAGATACTCTGCGCAGAAGCCTAGAAAGGTATGCCAGTTGCGGATGCCTTCGTTGTGCAGACAGACTTGGACGAGGAACATGGGGAGAACGCCGTTGAGGCTGACGTGGAAGGCGACGGCGCCATTGACAATAATCTCACCCCAGAACGTTCCCTCCTGGGAGTTGATGACGATGGCCAAGATCGAGGCGATCTGCAAGGCGAAGACGAACCAGCACTGGGCTTCCTGGAACTCGACCAGGGTCGTGGCCATAGCCACACTGGTTCGTGACAGGGGAGAGGTGTCTCTCCAGATCAGCGACTGGGCACGGGTGAGGCTGAAGGGCTGCCGCTTCTTCTCGGTACGGCGTGCCCAGATGGTAAATCCCTGGACGGCCAGGTACAGCGATCCCGAGAAGCAAACTTGGAGCACATACGAGATCAGCACCTGCGCCAGCAAAGTTAGTTTTCACAACAAAGAATATGTCTATTCTGGCGAAATGCTCGCTGGTATGGTGGTCTTACTCCAGGCCCGAAGATGTCAGGATCGATATTAGCAGGAATATCTGGGCAGAAAGTATCCATCGCTTGGAACACTTGATCGGCAGTGGAAGAGTCTTTGGAAAGCGCCTTGATCGAGGGATCGCATGGCACGCTTAGCAAGTCAGTCCCACATGCTGCCTGGGCACACGTGATGAACGAGTCAAGAGTAGGCTTGTAATCGAAGTCGGCGAGGCTGCCAGAGCCCATGATGCTGCTAGCATTCTGCTCCGCCTCGGGAGTGATGTAGTAGCTCTGAGTGTCATGAGTCCAGTGGGAAATGGAAGCCAGCGCGATGCAATTATAAAACGTCTCGAGGGAGCCGAAGAAGGTGTCGGTACGGTTGCAGGCCCGAGTGCAGTCCTCGACGCCGTCAATCTCGCAGCCGGTACTGAAGAGCAGGATGCTCTGGTCCCCGTCAATGCTTGCTTGGATCAGGTTTCGGAAGCTGAAGGCATCGTCATCCGACTTTCCGATCGCGGCCAGGTCGCGAAAGGGGAAGAAGTCCAGCGTGCCTCCAATCTCGGGTTCGATGACGACGGTGAGAGGCAACGAAGATACAGTAGCTGCCGCTGGAATCGTGGTGGAAACTACCAACGACGGGGTCAGACTACCGCTAGTCGTACTCATTGCCATGGCTCCTCCGGAAGACCGCGCGTCGGCCCCCGGCGACGATCAAGGAGAGATGCCAAAACCATAAACTAGACGCCCTACCAATGCCTTGGACGAACAAGTCGGCCTGCTTGCCCAGTGTCCTCGCTAGAGTTGCACCAACAGCTTGGAGCCCGCCCGAGTTAGCTAATAGCTTGCAGCGAGAGTCATCGCCCAGCCCGCGATGATACAAGGAAGACGGAGTCGGTGAGGCCGGCAAAGGCGCTGCTGTTTTTTCGGTGCATCTTTATATCATACTGACAAATATTCCCTGAAGCCGGATAAGAAAGTGATTTGCTGTCAACTGTCCAGTAGTGGGTCGATACGCAGCCAGGTCCGTTTGGGCCAATTGAGTCCTCTTTGAGAAACAGGCATCATGTCGATAGCCATCTTGGCGATTGCTGGGGGGCCCCAGAAGCCAGCAGGTCGCCAGAAAGCTCGGAATGGTTGGCAAGATCAACATACTGGTCGTCGGGGCGAGGCACGCTGCGGCCCTGCACATCATATATCGGACACAAGACCAAGCCGGGGGTCTGACGGAGCAGACAAGATCAGATTCTGCAGGGCTGTCCCCAACTGGTAGTGACTCGAGCAGCGGCTGACGCGATGCTGCATTGCTGCGCCTCCCCCGGATTCGACACACGCGATCGTTCTGGTGCGTGACTGGATTTGCCAATGGCAGCTAGTCCGAGCACAGGAGGAGTAGTGGGGGAGCCTGAGTCTGTGTGGCCAGACAGCCAACGTGCTGGAGCTTCACTCAGTTGCTGCCAATGGATTGTTCCTCTGAGGGTCTTGAGAATCAAGGATGAGGACACTCGAGGCTTGCTGGGAGAATCAAGGCAGGTCGTCGAATAAGGCATGACTAAGGCGAAGCCACCGTGAGGTTGAAAGAAGGTGCGGCCGCCACGTGTGGAGACTCTCCGTCCCTTCCTCTCTACCTTAGCCCTCCCGAGGTACGGAGTACCTGCTATACAGTCACATTGGATGCTACCCTCCATCTACAACCTTGAAATATCAAAAAAGTCCATCAAACTCATCAATCACGCTCCTCGGCTTCACAAACGCACCCAGCGGACGAAACGCGAGGTGGTCAATCCCGAATCCCGCCGGACCCCCGAGCTCGATCCCCCTCTGGCTCCCCGTCCATTTGTCACTGGCCGCCAGCCCCAAGACAACCACCAGCAGCCCGTATCTGTACTCAGGAGTGCCGATAGCCTCGCCGTTTTGCGCGTCAATGACGGTGATGAGGTCCGGGGCAATGGCAAGGACGTCCTCCTGCTGATCGTCTTGCCCGTCGTCTCGGACCCGGAGAGCGGCAATGTTCTCGTTCTTGAAGGGAATCTTGATCCTGCCTTGGAAGGACGGCGGAGCGGCGCCGTCTTGCTGGAGGCCGTCGTCGTCCTGCCTTACATCGACGCCCTCAATAAAGCACTCACCATACACGTAGCCTCCCCTCAGCGTCCTCTCAACGCCGACAATCTTGCCCTTCCAAAGGACTCGTCCAGCGCCTTTCCCGCCACACTCTTCGATGATGGACTCAGCTACGTTGTCGACTCTGTTCTCTCTTCTGGCTCGAGCAACGCCTCTCCCGATTCTCCAGGCCTGGGAAATGGTGTGTTCCACTACCCACCGCTTCGTCTCTGCCCCTGTCACCGGCGACTCGGCACAGCCCGTGGATGATCCCATCTGTGCAAGAGCCGCTCGAAGGATGCGCTCAACGGCAAGATCAGAAGTTGCCTTTGGCATGACAACAACATTGCCATTGCCGTCAGACATGGCGATGGGAGACCAGATGGGCGACCGTTCGTTGAACACCACGGGAGTTGTCTGCCACTTTGTCGGATAAGCCCGTCCCATCCAGTCCCCATCCACGGCGGGTAGGTTCATATTCGTGCTTGCGCCGAGTATCATTGCTTGAAGGCCATTACCGCCTCCAATCTCAATGGAAATCATGTGAGTGGCCGGGTTGGGACACACTCTGAACAGCTCCGTTTGGGCTTCCAGAAGCTCGTCGGCGGGCAGCTTCTCTATGCCAACAGTAGGGCTGCCCACGCCTCCTCCACAGCCGACCTGATCATTGTCGGCAAGATCGTGCGGATTCACAACCCTCACAATGGCACCTTTACGGAGCTCCTGCTTGAGACGTACTAGGTGAGAATAAGGGGACCCTCCGCCACCGGTTCCAAGAATGTAGCAGCCCGTGGCGATCCATTCGGCGTCGGTCTCTGAGATATACCACACGCGGTTCTTGACCGTTGGCTTATACGTAGAGATGTCGATGTCGATGTCTGTAATTGTATGCTGCTTGGGTGTAGTCTCTGCTCGCTGTGGCAATCTCTCATACTCGCTCATGTTATTATCACGCTCTTCATCATCTTCTCCTGTGACTTCCTGTGCCTGGACCTTTGCCAGGTCAAAATCGCCTGCTGCACGAACGATGAATCTCGTCTTGTGAGCGATATACTAATCACGATCCGAAATTAGCCTCAGGTATTTGACCATCTGGAGACTGCTTACCTGGAGTGGGAGGGCTTCCTTTTCCACAACCTCCACCGATGCACGCGATGCCCCAGCAGCTATCGTCCTCTCAATAGCTTCCTTGCTAATTTCCTCCAGTAACTGAGCATTGGACCGGTGCTCGGTGGACTTGACAGTGTCCACAACTGCGCTGACTCTGGCCATGGCTGCTCCGATTGCGTTTGCGACTTGTGACCATTCGGGCTTGAACACTCGACTTGCGCCCCTGAGCTTGTTGGGCGATAGTATAGCTCCGCCGCCGACAAGCAACACGGGGATGTCGGCAGGAGAAGTTTTCATCTTGTCAATGGCCTTTTCGATCTTGCTCCGAAGAGCTTCTTTGAAAATGCCCAGCTGCTCGTCAGTCAGAATATTCTTGGCAAGTTCAGCATTGCCAATGCCCAAATCAGGATCTGCCTGGACCATGCAGTCCGTAGCAGTTATAGTACTGCCGCCAAATATAACCGCCTCTTGCTGAAGCTTGTGCCCAACGCTATCCGGTCCGACGGTGAGGCCTCTGTCTGTCTTTCTGACGATAGATCCTCCCCCCAGGCCAATGCTCTTGATATCGGGACAGGAGAAATTCACCCGAATACCCGCAAGGTCGCTGTAAGCAGCCTGCTGCCGAGGGAAGCCATTTGCGTGAAGCAGCCCGACGTCCGTCGTTGTTCCCCCAATGTCGACTACCATGACAGCTTCGGATATCTGGCCCTGGGCAAGGAAGGCCGCGCCCCTCATGCTGTTTGTCGGGCCACTTGAAAAGGTCCTGATGGGTAGCTTTGCCGCCATTTCTCCTGACAAGACGGTGCCGTCATTTTGCGTAATGAAGACGGGACAGTGTAGGCCCAGGCGCTTGATTGGCTCCTGAAAACTCTTGATAGTTCTTCTCGCGAAGGAAAGGATGGAAGCATTCAGGATGGCGGCATTTTCTCGCTCCAGGAATCCCAGGTTGGCGACGTCCTTGGAACAAACAACATCGCACCCAGGCATCTCTGCCTTGACGATGGCTGCAGCTCTCTCCTCCTGTCTCTCTACAGTGTCTATGGGGCTGAAAACTCCATTGACAACAACGCTCTTGATGCCCTTTTCACGGATAATCGCACACTGCTCTCTGATCTCTCGCTCATCAATGTCTGAAATGAGGTTGCCATCCACCTCCAAGCCCCCCTTGAGCAGTGCGTAATGGCCCAGAAACATCTGCCTCATGTCATCCGGCCAATCCACACAAGGAGGCGCATGCTTCGAAAAAGGCCCACAGAGCCTGAGGACAGCCACAGCAGCCAGTCGCGAGGCATCTCGTTCAACGACGGCATTGACGAAGTGCGTCGTGCCAATGGTTACGCTGACGACCTCGGACGGACTGATGGCCGCGGACTTGAACATGGCGGTGATGGCATCGTTGATTCCGACACTGGGGTTTGTCGTCGTGAGGGCTTTGTGCCATGCGAGGATGCCCTTGCCTGGGGACGAGGCCTGGAGGGGGTCGAGGATGACGCCGTCTGTGTTGGTGCCGCCGACGTCGACGCCTATGCGGAGGTGTCTAGTGACTTTGGCGGGATCTGTGGAGGACATGATGATGGGAGCACGATTTGTTGTTGATGGGGGCCGAATCGTTGAGTGGTTGTGTTAGTTGAGTCGATGGTGGGATATGGAGCGTTTTATCTGTAGATCAGATAAGATGGAAGCTGCGGATGCTTCTCCACAGGCGTGAAGTACTTCAGAGGGTACAAAGGACCAGACTTTCAATTGCGGGGTATTTTTATAGCTGGTATCAAGGTTGATCGGCAATGAGTGGTGATGATGAGAGGAAGAGTGGAGGAATGAGAGATTTCTTGTTTGGTGGGATTGTGATTGAAGGCTCTCAGTGCTACCGTCTCAAAACACTTGGCGATGCCTAAAGTTGTACAGACCGAGTGAGGGGGACTTTGGCTATTCAGATCAGGAGGTACATGCCCTTTGCTTTCTTTAGTAGGACTCATCTAAAAGAGGCTGGACATTCGATCCCGATTCCCAACTACATAAAGTGCCTCATTCTATAAACTCATGGGTGTCTTTAGCCATAGGACACGTTGAACAAGGCAGCGGATATCCAGCATCCTAAGTCTGCCTCTAAGTGCTTGATTTTATACTTTCTTTAAGAGGAGTTCACAGCTTATATAAGACTAGAAGTATCTAGCGATAGTAGCAGAAGATAGGAACCTTCATGTTCCTTTTTATTTGGAGCAGTAGCAATAGTAGTAGTGCTGGAAGTATTGATATAATAAGATTAAGAAAAATATCATAGTAGAATGAGAAAAAGCCAAGTATAAGATTAAAAGCCAAATGAATGAAAAACTCGGCACGTAGAACCGCGCAACTCGCTTATACGAGGCCTCTTCGCACTCCCCGAACCACCATCACCATCAACATGTCCATCCCCTCCCTCAACCTTGACCATGTCGCGTTTACGAGACTCGGAAGGCGTGCCGTTCAAGTTCTCAGCAGGCAAGAAATTGTCCGTCGGATCTTCTGGCTCCAGTGTGAGATCAATGATAGCATCAATGATACTATCCTCTCGCTTCACTGATCTGCTGTCTCTCGACGCCGTTGGGCTCCAGAGGATTGGCCTCCCAGCCACCGATGGCGTTTGCTGCAAATGCGTCGGCGCCCTGCCGATGAAGAGGCTTTCTTCGTCTCCCTGTCCACCGCTTGTCTGCGATCGGTTCTCCGCTTCAGCCGCTGTGTCTCTGTCGTCGCTGTTGGTCGTTGTCGGCGATGGCGAGTATGAGGGTCGGTAGTCGTCAACAAACAACGGGCTCTCTGATCTACTCCCACTTGCTGGCGCCGTGCTTTGACTGACTGGCTCTTGCTCTGGCTGCTGTCCATTTTCGTCCATGGTAAGGTCGACGACTTGTTCTCCGGCGACAGATCGATTATCCGGAACGATTGTAGCCTCATCATCACCAACCCCATCGTGGTCCATATGCTGATCAATGACCATCTGCGGACCATCGTCCATGACCATATCCTGATCACCATCCATCTCCTGGCCATTGCCCATTTCCAGATCATTGCCGGCATGAGCTTCCACCTCCATAGCAGACGATTGCGCATCCACCTGAGAATCGTCGTTGTTTCGTAACTGCAGATCGCGCAGCCGGGGAATCATACTACTGGTTTGTGAGCTCTGAACGGCGTCATCCTCGCCATCATCGCTGCCATCATCTGAACCTGAATCAGATTCGGAACCAGACTCGGAGTCAGAATCAGAACCAGAGTCAGAATCGCTCTCGGAACTAGAATCCGACGAAGAGCCACTGTCGCCCACCATATTTACCTCCTCGGGCGTTCCAGGTCCGGGTCCTTGAGCATCTGAGCTCTCGAGACCATTGAGCAGAATTGCCCAGTCCATCTCCGATGGCGCAAACGACGGGATCAAAGGAAACAGATTCTTCAGCTGTGATCGGCATCGATCGCCAGCCTCCTTTGGCCTCCGGACAGCGTTATTCACGTCCTGGACGAAGTGCCAATCTCGCACCGGACGCTTTCTCTGTGCCGTATCCAGCCACCGGTCGAAATCCCAAAACTCGGCCCGATCGAGACCCCGGAGGCAGGAAATATAGTCCAGCCCCTGCAGCGTGCGTAGTTGACGGAAGCCTCTGAAGTTGGGATGAAGCTGGGACTTGCGCTGCATGTGACGAACCATGCCATTTGTCTCGTGTCGGCGACGCATGTAATCCTTGCTAGACTCTGGAAGGTAGATTCCCAGAGTCTTGAGGCGAATGGCCTCTGGAAGCCAGATGAGCGAGTATGTGCGGCGCGAGGTGTACTTGTTCCGCTCATTCAGCTCATGAGCCATGTACTGTGATCCTATCCAGAGGATTTCGACATGCTGCAGTCGTTGCACGTTTGCTCTGATCCCTTTGGCAAAGCGACCCTATTCGCCCAAAGATGAAAAGGCAAACGTGTTCTCGCCGTAGAATATGTGGCTTCCCCAGAAATGCCATCTCTTGCAGACGAGCAAAGGAGCCAGGAAGACATTGGGCTCAGGCGCAAACTTGATGCTCACCGGTTTCCTGCCCACGTGGAGGCGGTGGTGGAAGCTTGGTTTCCCATCACGGTTCAGAGGCGCACTGTCTTCCGCGTGGTTCGGATCAAGGCGAGATATGGCGTGGACGACCTTGCCTTTGAAGTGGAAGAAGTGCTTCAAGATCCGGAACTGAATGTCTGCAGGTACTCTGAAAGCTTCCGGCATCGTCCGGAGAGGGGCCGCGTCCTTCTGTAGCAAATCATTTTGTAGCTCTTCTGATGTAGGTCCTCTCAAACGAAGGTCTGGGTGTATCTTGGAGACGAGAGGCGAAGCATTTCCCTCCATACAGGCAAGCTTGTAAATTGCCGTCCAGTCTCGGCTACCTTCACCATCAAAAAGCGATGGCCAAGTCTGCCCCATTGGTTAGCTAGAGACGAAGCTTTCTTGAACTTCCCCATGTTCGACGAGATCACGTACCACTTCAGTGCGTCTCGATTTACACGCTTTGAGCTGTCTGAGCTCGGCTTCAAGTCTCTTTTCCTTTTCAAGATGCTTCCTTTTCTCTTCCTCCAATTTCTTCACCTTTTGCTTCCTGCTGCGTGCCTTTTCAAGTAGTCTCTGCAAAGCAATATTATACTGTGCCTCAGGATGTGAGAAGCCGGACCACGTTTCCGCTTCAGAGTCGCTGGCTGCGTGGGTGTCTTGATCGACAGACGGTCCTGGATCTTCAAAGGCGGCTTCATGCTCGCCAACACTGGGCGGGCCACTAGGAGTTGGATCGGGAGTAGATGTAGAAGCTGGATCGGGAGTGGGTGCAGAAGCTGCTGTCGCTTGTGCGAGTCGCGAGATACCCTCGACTGCCAGCACATTAGTATTGTATGTAGAGCGTCACCTTGTGGAGGGTGAGCAGGCTTACGTAGAGCGTCATCGTTGCCTTCCAGTGAGATGTCATGGCTCTCAGAGGAGTCATGGGTCTCTGAAGGGGTCAGGTTGAAGGTTTCGATATTGTCATCCATGGTGGCGAGAGCCCAGACCGTATGAAGCGGTCTGGGATGGATGAAGGAGGAGAGAAGAAAGAAAAAAGAAGAGAGGGATGGACGTCAGAATTTATGGACGATTTCGGCTCACGTGAAGACTTGACTCCTCGTGGATGAGGCATCCAGAGCCGTTGAGTCTTTGAGCCTTACGTTTGAGGTTTCGACGCGGATGGGCTTGAGCTTTGAGCTACGGCGCCTGAGGTAAACGTGGTTATACAAAGATAAAATGCGTCATATAATTCTGGAAGCTTGCTTGAGAAAGCAACGGGTATGTATCTCCTGATCTAAGCAGCGACAGTCCCACTCAGTCTTGCTCTAGTACGCTCCAATACTGCCCTGAGATCCGAGTCCAAGTCCTCCAGCTGCAGGTATTCGTCTATCCATGCCATGGTCTTCTTCTCCAGCGAAGCCCTATCCGTAGTGCTCTCCAGGTATGGTCCCAACCGCTGCAAGGCCACCACAAGCTGTCGAGGGAATTCGACCGTGTATGGCGAGACGCCCAACAGGGGTTGTCTAATGTGGCAGTTGCAAGTAGAAGGATCGTTGGGGAATTGCTCGTCCAGGGCATCCAGGACATGCTGGGATATCCTTGGCTGGACAGAGAGCTTGGCGAACGAACAGAACATGAAGTAAAACTGCTCTGCGACCTCAGCGTTGAAGAAGGACTGCCTCTGAGATATGTCGAATATGGCCATCGGAATAGCGCCATCCATGGCGGGATTTGACGCAAGCTCCTGCTTCGCCTCTTCGTTGAAGACCTTTGTTTGCTTTGCTGATGGCTCCGGGAGAGACAAATCGTCGCCCTCGTCCTCGTCGTCACTGCCCAGCAACAAGAGCTCATCATCGTCATTTGCCGGGCGAGGCGGCACCACCGGCTCTCCCTTGGCCTTCTTCTTCTCCATCTTCTCCAGCCATTTCATCTCACACCTGGCGTACTCGAGCCACAGCCCGCAGTCCGAGGTGCAGAATCGGCAGCCCCTCATGAAGCAATTCCTGGCAGACGCCATGTCGCCGTCGTTCGCGAATCGATTGGCCGCCAGCGTCCACAGCTCCGGGTCCTTGGGCAGCATTCGGATGGCCCTCGTCATGGTCTTCCGCCAGCGCTTCGCCGCCTTGACCTTGGCCAGGTACGCAAGGTATTCGCGCCAGAGCGCAGCAGATCCAGAGTGTTTGTTAACGCCCCGGTTGTAGATGGCGAGCACCCGAGCCTGGCTGGCATGGGCGGAGTTGAGATTGCGAAGCTTTAGTCTCTGGCATCGCTTGGAGCAGAGTGTCTGGAGGGACTGCTCCCACCGAGCATAGGACGACCATTCGGCGGGGGTGTTGCCTGGGGAAAGCACTCTGTGTTCGAAGTCGTTTCGTTTCTGGACAATTGCTCGAATCTCATCCTGTACTCGCAGCGTTAGCTACCTATTAATTCGCCTTCATGGCATAGGAGGCTCTCGAGCTGGTGCTCGCCGGACAGCTCTTACCTTTGTGAATATCGACTTGGTCTCCCACTCCCGCAGTTGGTTGACCGAGCGCTCGAGATAGAATCTCGCCTTGTCTGATACTCCGGCCATGGTTGAGACGGATCAATCGGAGGGCTAATCCTCTGCGTAAGGAATTGGGGTAGATGGTTGAAGCAGACACTGGCCGAAGTTTTCATGAGGCTGCCAGAAAATTTTAGTGGAGCTGGCTGTTAGTGCGCGCCTTTTCCGTTATCGAGCCTTGACACATGTTTTGTCGGAACGATCAAGGCACAGCGTCTAGTCCGCTTTGGGGAGCCCATGTTCATCCCGTCACGTAAGCTGCGTACTGTACCTTACTGTACCTATTCTGCATGTAAGATACTTTACAAGTGCTCCATTGCCCTATGTACGATTATGCAGTTCCCTCAATGCTATGCTGGGAGTCATTGTTCATTCAGGAGCTGTGGACTGAGCCGATCATGCCCGTCATTGCAATGGCTGCGGCTCGGCTCTGCTGACTTGCATGTGCAAATGTCGTCCATCACTGCAGCCGGCCCAGGGCAGCTTGTCGTCACGGCCGAAGGCGGCCTAGTGGGCGGTGCGTGTCCACCCGCGAACGACGTCTAATCCTCGCTCAACGCCATTAAAGCTCGCGCAAAACGACGTGTTTCCACCATCCAATCCTTGCCATCCCCACAGACAGCGGGCACCGGGGGGGTCAAGTCGCCTGTTGACACGATCGCGAAAAAAAGGCCCTCGGCTCGGGCTGCTAAAAAGCCAATCTCTCATGATTCATATCTCCCCTCGTTCACCTCTCACAGTCCTTTATCTCCGGATGCTCCGGACGCTCGTTTGACCGCGACCTGCGTCTCTCTCTTTTGTCGCGATGGCGTCGAGATACAAGGACAAGGACGGCGGCGTCGTCCTCAGCTTCAACGGCCAGTGGGTTAGCTGGGCGCATACGGCTGTGGCTTACAGTGAGTGACTCGTGGGCGTGCTAGGCTTGGGAATCGAAAAAGTTGCGCAACCAGAGGCTGGTGGTCTCTGCTGCCTTTTCTTGCTGTTGCTAACCTCGCGCAGCTGCCTTCATCAGTGCATTGATCGTCGGCGTCTCTCTGCATTACCACAAGATCGTTCAGAATGAGTTCTATGGATACCCCGACGAGTGGTTCCCGTCTGTCTCTGCGACGATCGGCGACCGATACCCGGAGCGCTCGTTCTTCATGATCTTCATTGCCATCACATCAGGTACAGACGACCGAATGGCATTACACGAGAGGAATTCTGAAGCTGACCTGAATCGACCCGTCTAGGGCCTCGATTTGCGCTGGTCGGCCTGTGGTACATCTTGACGCGCAGGTCCGACTCCAAGCTCCCAGGCTTCATCGCTACCATGGGCCTCTTGCGAACATTGACCTGCGGTGGCTGGACGTACATCACATCTACGGACGATCACGATTGGCACGACATTCTCATGATATCCTACATTGTTTGCACCTTGCCATGGACGACCGGCTGCATTGCTCTGAGCCCGCCGAATCCCTCCGCAATCAAGTGGCGCAAGCGCTTGGCGGGCCTTTTCTTTGGAACTCTGGTGCCTCTGATCTATTTCTTCATCCAACACAAGGTCCACCGTGTCGCCGGAGGTAACTATTCCCTGCCCGTGAGATGGTGGGCGCCGAATCAAAACTGACGCAAATCTAGCTTACACGACATACGCCTTTTTCGAATGGTCCTTGATCCTCTTCGATGTGGCCTTCGATGCCGTCACTGCCCTCGATTTCGACACATTTGAGATATTGGTAAAGGATGTCAAGGGAACCAGCAAGGGGTACGTGCAATGGCTTCCCAGATAATAGAATCCGGTCTCGCCAAGCCGTGTCCAATGTAACTATTCTACAAGAACAAGACCCTCTAATAAGTCGTCTCTCTTTGACAGTGAAAACTACTCTTCGGTCCCCTCTGCAGTTCTGGAGAAGGAGTAAGTTCCTCCACGCCCGGTGATGTATTTCCGCAGTTGCTTACCAGACGGGTCATCTACTAGAAAGGAACAGATCACAGGCGGCTTTTTCTCCATCCGATTTACTACTGCCGAAGCTCTGGATACTGCCGCCAGCGTTTACCATGGGGTTAGCTGCCAAAGCGCATTGTTCTTATGCTCGATCCTGCCGATGCTGACTTGTTGCAGTTTGTCTTTTGGTCAATGCTTACCAGCCTTGGCCTTGTCGTGTGGTGTAAGTTTCCCATCCATCTGAAGCCCTAGACATTGCAATACAAGTGAGATCCTTGCGCTAAACTGCAACCAGATTTCCCACTTTGGCATATGGGCATTTCTGGCTTCGAAGCCTTCGTCATGGTGACTGTCGCGCCATCGCTACTGGGAATCAGCGTCTTCCGCTCCTTTGTGGTGAACAATTTGCGACTGATCCACGTTCTGTCGCTCTGTGGGGTTGCTGCATATCTCGTCGTCGACCCGGTGCTTCGCTTGTGCGCGGTTGGCCTTGGTGTGGGACTTTCATGTCTCGGCTGGGCCAGCTCTCTGCATGCAGACTCGGTTCACAATGTCCGACTTGAGACCAAGGTGCTTGGGTGGATGATTGGCCTGATTTTGTCGTCCACCATGAAGTTTGCCTGGACGACGAACAACCCTATTTGGCCGATTATGCATGCCGCCAATGGTGGATGGAACGGTACCGGCCTTGTGCTGGGCACCCTGGCTGCTCTCCGGTTTACTAGAAAGGGCCCTCTCACCGGCGGCTCCTTGAGCGATGAGCCAAAACAACAGGGCTCAAGTGTGCTTGCTGCTCTCGGTGTTGGCGGCCTGTTTTTTGGTCTGCATTCGTTGCTCTCCGACACGAGCACCATGATCCTCTGGGTCTGGGAGGGCTATCCGATTCGCGGACCGTACTTTTCCACACATGGCTGGTTCACCGTTGCTGCCATGTCTGTCGGCATCTTCCTCGGCATCAACAAGCCAGGCCTTGCGGGAAGCTGGCCCCAGTACGCGGTGGGAGCCATCAGTGCTACCATCCTGACCTTCTTCAGCCATTGGTTCGGCTACTACGGCGGTCTCGGTCTGGCGGTATACCTCATGGCGGTTTCTGTGCCGCTCATCTCCAACGCCGCGAAGAAGGAGCCCGCAGTGACATTTGGCTTGGGCTTCCTGTTCTACAACTTCCTGGTGCTGTTCCACGTGTGGGTTGTTGCCTATGCATTCGTGCCCGGTGGTCCGCTGGTCCGTGAGCATACCGACTGGGTCATGCTTACGACTATGCTGATGATTGGCGCCGGTGTGTACGACTACCAGGTATCGCAGCCCCGACACCACGCCGCTCGCCGCTCGTCCCCCTCGCAGCATAAGAAGTACTTTGGGTTGTCCACCATCATCATCAACGTCTTGTTCATGTGTGCGGCCTTCAGAAGGTTCCCCTCCAATGATTACAAGCCTTACCACCCTGAAGATCGAATCCTGACGGCGGGTATCTGGACGATTCACTTTTCTCTGGATAACGACATGTGGTCTTCAGAGTATCGCATGCGCGATCTGATCAAGGAGATGGAGGTCGACGTCATTGGCCTCCTAGAGTCGGACCTGCAACGTATCATCATGGGCAACCGAGATACCACCCAGTTCCTGGCCGAAGATCTGGGCATGTATGTCGACTATGGCCCGGGCCCCAACAAGCACACCTGGGGCGCTGCCCTCTTGTCCAAGTTCCCCATTGTGGAATCCAAGCACCACCTCCTTCCGAGCCCAGTCGGCGAGCTGGCACCGGCTATCCATGCTACGCTGGATGTCTACGGTCAGCTTGTCGACGTGTTCGTCTTCCACTCTGGCCAGGAGGAAGACCCGGAGGATCGTCGACTCCAGTCTGAATACCTCGCGAAGTTGATGGGCTCAACGGATCGGCCGGCGTTCCTCCTGAGTTACTTGGTGACCGAGCCCCTCGAGGGCAACTACAACACCTATGTGAGCGAGACGTCAGGCATGCACGACGTTGACCCGACCGACTGGGATCGATGGTGCGAATACATCCTGTTCAAGAACATCAAGCGCGTTGGATATGCACGCGTTAGCCGCAGCACAATCACCGATACGGAGCTCCAGACGGCCAAATTTGTGATTCCCTCGTCAGAGGCCGAGATTGCGGCGCTCGAAGCCCAGTCACCCGAGGAGCGGGATCACCGCGTGGAGGAAGAGGACGTGCCCGAAGGCTGGCGCTACCCTGCCATGTTCAGGGGAGAAGGCGTGAGAGATCATCGATACCACGTGTTTGATGAACCACGTTACTACAACAACTAATTTCGGCACCCGGCGGGATTGTAAAAGCTTGTCTGGACGGAGTTACTTGGGCGGTGATTTGGGCGGGTTGATTTTGGCTTCTTTTCTTCTTGACTTGCTTTCGCCCTGATGGAGCGGGAAAATGGTGAAAAATTAGGGACCTGATACGGGAAACGGCCACGGCTACTATTGATTAATGATTAGGGAGGGCATGACTGTGGCATATCATGAGTGTGGTTGTAAATTAATAACAAATCCTTACTTCCCTTTCACTCTAGAGCGTGGCCAGATATACCATGGAGGCTCAGCTGCCTCCATTATTACTATACATATCAGCATCACTTGTAGCAATGGTCAGCAGCTGCGAGCTTAAAAGTTCGACTCAGGAGTTTCTAAACACCTTGATCAACGCACGATATAAAAAAAATAAAAGCAAAAAAGAGCAAAAAGGCGGGACAGCCGCCGGTTATCGAATCGGTGCCTTCCTCGGCCGCCCAACCTCCAACACGTTCAATTCGATATACCGCTCGACTGCCCCCCTGATGAACATTCCCGGACTTTTGGTATATATAGGTACCTCAGGGACGTTGTTGGGGGCTGGCTGGAAACGTGGCGCCAGCTGTGAGCCAGGCCAGGAGTGTTGACGGGCGAGTTGCCACTCGGTTGGCAGTTGGCGTGAGATAGTATGTGCTCTTTGGCCTTGAGCAGCATGGTCTTGGCAGGTGCATACCTAGAGTAGGTAGGTACAGTAGTGATTATAAGCTATAGCTAGGTAGATAGGTATAAGATTCAGCTCTGTGCTACTGCTGTAGCTGGATATGAGATTCTCCTCTCTGCTACTATCACTACATTCTTTCATTCCTCTCGGCATCTCGCTGCGGGCTATACGATGCCCCAGTAAGAGAGGTAGCCTGGCACACTCCTACACATCAATGCCAATGCATGAAGCCGTCGTCATCGATCTCACATCTGACTGTGAAACTACGTGCATCTTATTGTACCTCGTGGAGGCACCGCAGAGGGAGACCCACAACGCTTCCGGACCTCGGGAAAAGTGGAGAGGAGAGAACTGGAGCCAACGGTTTGTCTTTTCGCATCTTGTCTGCCGGCGGCATCCGCCCTGCCCACGCTTGTCTTTCTGCTGCCGCCCCCCTTTGGCTTGATCCAGAGATGGCGGAACGGGGGCGGAATTGGTTCCAAAGAGAATAGAGCGGCTTGAATCGCTTTTCATATGTTGGACCTGGTTTTAGCTGCTTATATGGCGCTTTTGAGTTTTTGACTTCAGTTATGACGGGGACTTGATTATGGGCGGGCGGAAGGGGGGGCAGCTTATCTATGTCGGGTTTATAAGCGATGAACTTCAAGTTGTCTCTCTGCATGCGGTCACGTACTTTGTGGAAGATGGGGAGGATGATAATGGTGTCTTGTTCGCTACTGCGTCGAAATACATGTGGTTCGAGTAAAGTAGAGTAGAGCTCAAAGCTGGCTGTTACAATGATCTTGAGTGAACAGCTATCCTTTCCCTTCGGCGCATTTCCTCTCACCGATTCGAGGACATGCACGATGCAGACATGCGATGCACGTCCCCGTGACCAAGCCGTACCCCAGCAGCCCCAGACGCAACCCTCGAGCCAATGACACCCGATGAGAATGGAATCCGGCAAGAGAAGTGACGCCGACGGAAATCTGGAGCTCCTCCGCTTCCCCAATGACGACTCGAGAAATTCCAAGCACAGCCCAGAAAAAGAATGAACCCCTCCAAGTTCTCCCCCCCGCACAGACCCCGGAGTCTCGGGGGTTGCGGGTTTGGAGAACTGGAAGGGAAAATGAGAAACGACGGTTTTTCCCCGCCGAATCTAAGCGCCAGTAGGGCTGATCCGGGCCACCGATGTCATCAACTTTTGCTGCGATTTGAGCGCGCTGCCCTGCATGGACATGTGTAATCGATAAGCCAGTGCGCAGAGTGTGCCGTAGGAAGCCGAAATCCCCCCCTTGGGAGATGCAAACGCCAACCGGCAGCGAAAGCCCCCAATCGACGAGTCAAAGCACAGCGCTGTTTTGGACAAGGGAGGGAGGGGTGGCGCCAATGGATGGATTCTTTTGCGGGTTAACCAAGCTTTCTTTGGGAGGAGGAGGGATGGATTGAGCGGGTGAAGCGGCCGGACTGGGGGAGGGCGCTTCTTCTGTTTGGTGGAATTGGGACTTTCTTGTGTTTTTATTTAGTAGCTGTTGTTTCGCTTCCTTCTTTCTTCTTCTTCCCTTTTTACTTCTTCGTCTTCGTCTGGCAATTCCTCTGCTGGGCTGAGTTCTTTGAAAGTGTTGCAGCAAAGATGCTGTCGCTCAGCGTACAACACGCCATCACTTGGCTGGGGCTCCTGTTTGGGGCGGGAGCCTTCTATGTAAGTCTCGAAGCGCATGGGAATCATCATGGCAATGGGCTTGTTGTGCTAACGCGACGTCTAGATCTTCTCCATCGCCATCTACCGCATCTTCTTCCACCCTCTTGCCAAGTATCCCGGCCCTCTCATCGCCAAGCTCACGGATGGCTACCAGCTGTACCACGCCTGGAAGGGCGACCGCCATCTTCAGTTTTGGCGATTGCACCAGAAATACGGTAAGGCAGCATTGAAGCCGTTCAGAGCAATGGCTATGCCCTGGGTCGTATCTGCCGTCTAACACGCCTCGGCAACACAGGCAAGGTCGTCCGCTACGGGCCCAACTCCCTCTCCTTCAGCACCAACCAGTCCCTCAAGGACATCTACGGCTTCAAGTCCAACGTCCGCAAGGCCGAGTTCTACAACTCCTTTGCCCACCCCGTCGCCAACACCCACAACACCCGCGACAAGGACGTCCACGCCCGCAAGCGCCGCGTGCTGTCCCACGCCTTCTCCGAGAGCGCCATGAAGGAGATGCAGCGGTACATCCTCAACAACATCCGCACCTTTTGCGAGCAGATTGGCCTCCAGGACGGAAACAGCGATTCCAAGGGCTGGACTCAGCCGCGAAACATGGCCCACTGGTGCAACTATCTCGCCATGGACATTCTCGGCGATCTCAGCTATGGCAAGGCGTTTCACATGCTGGAGAGCCCAGATAACCGATTCGCCCTGGATTTGGTTGAGGCCGCCACTACCAGGCATCTTCTTGTGAGTCATGCGCATGTCTATCTCTCAATAGCGACCTGACGAAGGAGCTGACATATCTATCGCATTGCAGTGCGGCACCATGCCCATCGTCGACAAGCTCAAGTTTGACAAGATCATGTTCCCCAAGCTGGCCGCCGGACGTGCCCGCTACATGGCCTACAGCAAGGCCCAGCTGACCGAGAGAACCAAGCTGGGCGAAGAGACGGACCGCCGCGACTTCTTCTACTACCTCCTCAAGGCCCGTGATCCCGAGACCGGCCAGGGCTTCTCTACTCCCGAGCTGTGGGGAGAGTCTAACCTTCTGTAAGTGGTTTCTTAGATCCAATGTGAATTTCTGAGATGTCATCAACAACGGCTAACCAGGCAATAGCATCATTGCTGGATCGGATACAACCTCGACCGCCATGGCCTCTACCCTGTTCTACCTCACCCGCAATCCCCACGCGCTGAAGAAGGTCACCGACGAAATCCGAGGCAAGTTCAACGACGTCGAGGAGATCGTCCAGGGAGCCACTCTCGCATCTTGCACCTATCTTCGTGCCTGCATCGACGAAGCCATGCGCATGTCTCCCTCTGTCGGCGGCATTCTCCCCCGTGAAGTTCTGCCCGGTGGCATCACCATCGACGGCGAGGTCATTCCCGCCGGAATCGTCGTCGGGACCCCTCACTACAACATCCACCACAACGAAGCCTACTACCCCCAGCCCTTCATGTACGCCCCCGAGCGCTGGATCAACGGCGCCGTCAACCCTGCCACCAAGAGGACCACGACTGCGGACGACGTCGCCGAGGCCCAGAGCGCCTTCTGCCCCTTTAGCATCGGACCTCGTGGATGCATCGGCAAGGGATTGGCCTATGTCGAGATGACCCTGACGCTTGCTCGGGCCTTGTACCTCTACGATATGAGGAGAGCGGTCGGCGTTCAGGATCCCAGCGAGGGCCGCGCCGATCTGGAATGGGGCCGACACCGCCCTGATGAGTTCCAGCTGGCCGATATCTTTACCAGTGCTAAGAAGGGCCCCATTGTTGAGTTTAGACTGGCCGACAAGGCTTAGGCCGTGGTTTGTGAATCATGTACGTTCACCGTGGCTAAGACTGGATCGACAAAGTAAAGAAAGATTGCATGGCGCATGAAGCATTGGATATCTATGACAATGGAATGTAAACCGTAATAAGTATCTACCAACTAGAAAAAAAAACAAGAAAATTTCCAAGATGAAAATAGCCCAATCTCAGTATCCTCCTAACACACCTAATTGAATACTCCACGCATGGCTAGAAAGCCGGGCTTCTTACCTAGCGACTCTGGAGACTCACCAAATTAATCTGGTTCCAGACAAAATGACGAGAAGAGTGATTAATACATACAGTAGACGCCGCAATGCTCGATATGATGTGATTGGTTCACCTCTTCTGCGATGGCGCCCGACAGCCAATCAATCGTCCAAGGCTGTGCAAGGCTGTCTCTGCTAGCAACTTGCCTTTGTCTTTCCTGCCTAGCACCTTATCTAATCGCCAACCTTTAATTGCTCCGACACCTCTGTTGCTTCTCTTCCTCTTCTCACCACCATCGCGAGACGCCGTTGGAAAGTCGATATTTCGCGATGGCATGAAGGCTGCGAACATACTGAGAACATCATTTGCTGCCCATCATGGCGGTGTGCAGATTCTACCAGCAAGGCTATTGCAAGTTCGGCAGTACGTTCACGCTTAATTGGAAGCTGTCCTCGCGAGCTGCTCCCTTGCTCGAGATGCTAATCATTCCCCGTCCCTTAGACAGCTGTCGCTACGAGCACCCCAATGCCGGAGGCAATCGCAACCAGTCCTCGAACCGCTTCGGAGCCTTGGGAGGAGCCAACACAGGCGGCAATGACAACGCGTTATGTGAGAAGATGCACGGGATCCGACCGCCCTCGACGGAGCTGACCTCTGCAAACAGCAAAATACAGCATAGCCCCCGAAGTCATCGAGAAGGATCTGACGTCTGAGGCGCCACAATGGATCTTGTCTGCGTATGCCCCGGGGCGAGACGCTCCGGACCAGCTCTTTGGAGGCTATCCGCGCGAACAGAGCTTCGAGGAACTCAGGCTCCACTATCTCGCGGGCAAAGCCTCAGGAAACGAACAGCAGGCTGTAGGGATCTCATCTTCTCTCTCCCAATCCCCAATTACTGTTCTAACAAAGGCGCGCGCAGCTGAACGAAGCACAACAACTGTACCAAAACGCGAAGCAGCAAATGGAAAGCGCGGCGCGAAATCCCATGGAAGCGGCACGATTCATCGTCGAAGGAGAGAACCGGCACCCGAACAGACATGATATATGCAGAGAGGGAACCCAGGGCGCGCCGTTTGGGGTGTTTTCCGTGGGAAGAAGGCCGAACGCAGCCGCAAGCCCCTTTGGCGGGAACACGGCGACGCAGACAACAGCAAGCGCCTTTGGCCAACCAGCCGCTCTGGGACAACGGCCCAATCCCTTTGGCCAACCCTCACAGTCGGCATTCGGACAGCCAACTCAACCATCATTAGCATTCGGGCAACCGGCTCAGACGGCCTCTGCCTTTGGTCAACCACAAACGACGTCGGCCTTTGGTCAGCCGTCTGCTCTCGGGGCCAAACCTAGTCCGTTTGGTGCCCCGGCTTTTGGCCAGGCACCTCAGCCAAACGCCCAGCCCAGTGCATTCGGGCAATCCCAGACACAAGCAAGTGCTTTTGGCCAGCCTAGTCAGCTTGGTCAGAAGCCGAATCCATTTGGTTCTGCGGCTGGCGCCGGCGCAAGTCCTTTTGGCGCAACAAACGCTGGCCCTTCTCCTGCTGCCAATCCTTTCGGCAGCTCACAAGGGCCCAGCGCACCCAATCCCTTTGGCTCAAGCATCTCGAACCAACCCAACAATGCCCCCAGTGCATTTGCTCAGCCGGCTCAACCTGCAGCTGCCTCTCCCTTTGGACAGCCATCGGCACCTGCGGCCAATCCATTCGCATCCGCAAACCAGGGCCCAGCAGCCCCTGCCGCCAATCCGTTTGCCCAACAACAGCAACAACCTTCTCAGCCGTCACCCTTGGGGGCGGCGGCGGCGAACCAAGCGTCTGGACCAAGCTTTGGGCAAAGCAACGCGAGCCCGTTCGGACAGCAGCAACAGGCCAACCCGAACCCTTTTGCAGCCGCCCAGCAACCTGCTCAGACGGGAGGTGCGGCAAACAGCAACAACCCCTACCCACCCAATAGCTCCAAGCAGCATCCTCCTATCGAGAGCTATAGCACAAGAACAATGGATGGGCGGCTTGCCACGTTCAAAGGGCAGCCTGTAACATATCAAGGTGGACAGCCTGGCATTCGTGCGTTTGACGGCACATGGACGAGGATATGGTTCCCCAACGGGCCCCCAGGATACAACAAGGATACAGAACTACCTATTCAAGAATACAGCGACACGGTGAAGAAACAGTGGGCTGCCTTTGCCCAGACGGGGGTATTCGCGGACGGACTGATGCCAGAGCTACCACCGCCGCGAGAATGTACACAGTGGGATTTCTAACGAGCCTTGATATTTACGGACACCCACCATATGGACTGGAGCTCAAACGGGCATGAGATGGAGTTAATGAAGGGATCAATATTGGCGTTATCAATACGAATACGTATTCTGTAACTAAGGCGGACAAGACGGCGTTTTCAGGGTGCACTTTTGATGACAGGATCAACCAGCGACAAGCGAAACCTCATGAGAATGTAACGACGCCATTGGGGTCGGAAGATTGGGCGTGCCTCTGATATCCTTCAACAGTCTTTCAAGGCCCTGATTCCATTTGTATGTCTTGGGGCACAGAGAGGCAAGAGGCATCATTGTCACCATGAATGCGAGAAGAAACAAAGGATATATGTCTTGAACCAGTTTATTGAGTGCCTATCTGCTTTGAGAGCGGTCTCAACCGCCCTCAACGCCACTCCAACATCTTTACGAGATTGGAGCTTCGCTTAAGCAGCAATGGTGACCTCAACCTCGACACCGGCGTCGATGTTGACAATGATCTGCTTGACGACCTCGGTAGGGGCGTGGAGGCTGCATAACAAAAATAACTAAGATTAGCGGTTGTTTCCCCCCCAATGATGCCATAGAAAGCGGAACAGAAACAGGATAAAGGAAAGAGAAGGGAAGGGAAGACGCACTCGATGAGACGCTTGTGGATGCGCATCTCGAAGCGGTCCCAGGTCTTGGAACCCTCACCGCAAGGGGTCTTGCGGGGAGTGACGGTCAGGCACTTGGTGGGCAAGCGGACGGGGCCCTTGGCGCGGAGGTCCTTGGTCTTTGCGCGGTCGATGATCTCGGAGCAGACCTTCTCGAGGACCTGGACCTTGCGGGAAGACAGGGTGATGCGGATCTTGTGGCTCTTCTGAACGGGAAGTATTAGCGATCTCTGCTGGACGTCGTCTCCCTAGCTTCGGCATGGGAGCTGGCAGAGGGTGATGACGGGGTGAACACGAACAGCCGGCTCCTGGACGTCCTTCTCGTTCTTCTGGTAAGACATTTTGAAACGGCTTCACGACTCGAACGGATCGGTTTGATAGGGATTGAAGATGGCGCGATCTGCGTTGCGGCAAAGTGATGAGGCCGTTGGTTGATTTTTTGGATTGCTGTTGTTGTCGGAGAGGAAAGTGGAAAAGTTCCAAGCCAATATCGCAGAACTTCTTTTTTTGGTGGGGTTGCCAAATTGTAGGGCTCTCGCTGTGCGCTGCGCTAGTCCCGTTATGGAGACGTGCACTTCTGAGTGATTGCAGTGCTGCGATTGGTCCGCTGCGGCTGGGGGGGGTCGGCGAAAGATGGATCTGGTTTTGGCTAACCGAAAGGGGACGAAGCCTTCTGGGTCCAATGAATCATCCGGCGATGATGCAGGTGCTTTGAGTGAGAGAGGGAGAGAGTGTGTGAGTGAGTGAGAAGCTTCAAGGGCGGAGAATTGCTTATAAGGAGACGAGACGGCTGTTTTTTCCAACTCCCGGAACTGCGGACCATCTTCAACGTCGTCTCGATTTTCAAAGCAGAAAAGAAGTGAGGAAACAGCGGTCATGAGCTCCTCTCTCCCGCCGTTTGCGCCGTTCCCAAAGGCCTCGTGGCGGCAACGCATCTCACCAGCCGAGTGGGAAGCTCTATCAGAAGCCTGGATCGCCCTCTCACAAGCCTACCTCGCCCTGGACGACGCCGCATTCGACAAGGAGGCCTCGGCAGACGACAGCTCCCTAACGGCATTCGTATCGACATTCGTCGAGGAGACAGCAGCAGCAGAGTCCGACGCAAAGACGATAGTAGCTTCGTCACCCCGGCTGCTCAAGACGATATTCCGCCTCACATCACGCATCCTCACAGCTTCCCCTCCTCCTCCTCCTCGGCTGCTGGACGTCCATTTCCTCGCCGGCTTCGCGCGGACGTTTCCAAAGAAGCACACGGCGCCCCTCCTGGCGCGGCTCTTCGCCAGCCACGCCGCCGCCGCCGCCGTCGAATCGTCGCTGCTCGCCCTCAAGAAGCTCCTCATCCCGCAGCTGGACGCCGGCAGCAAGGGCGACCTCAAGCTCGTCGAGCGGGAGCTCGCGCGGCTGAACCCGCTGCTGCATGCCTCCCCCGATGCGTGCATGCTGCTGCTCGCCGGGTCCGACTTCTTCGATGGCCTGGTGACGTGCTTCCGGGTCGTCAATCCGCCCCTGCGCAAGACCATCGTCACGACCGTCTACCTGTGTCTCGTCGGGTTGACAGAGGTGGAGCCTCCGAAATGGTCCATGATTAGCGATCAGCTGTATGCCATTCAGGTTGCTGCCGAAGCGCACAGGAAGGGGCCCCTGAATCCCAACGACTCTCTGGGGGCGGATCTTGTGACGAACACGCCGATACTCAAGACGCTGCTCCGGAAAGTAGAATCATCAGCATCAGCACCCTCCAACATCAAACATCGCATCACAGCACTGGAATCCTTCAAATCAGGCATCATCGTCCGGCCAAAGAAGCTGGTCAAGAGAAAGTTGGACAAGGGCAAGGGGAGAGAAGCACCCGAGGACGTGCATGCGGAGATGCATGTGCACCAGATGAGTCAAATAGCTCATGTGCAAGACCTCTTCCCAGATCTGGGCGCTGGTTTCATAGTAAAATGCCTGGATGAGTATCACGACAACGTCGAGCAGGTCATTGCGAACCTGATCGATGAAACGCTACCGCCCCATCTCGCTACTGCAGACAGGAGCGAGCCATTGTGAGTCTCATTCTTCATGTGCTCTCATCCATGAGAGGCGACTTTCCGTATAACTAGGCTAACTTTGTGTAAAAGATCACATTCACAACCCGACATCAAACCACACAAAGACCTCGCCCCCCGCTCAACACCCCCCCAACTCCCCACGAGGCGCAACGTCTTCGACGACGACGAATTCGACCGCCTGGCAATCGACGCATTCAAGCTCTCCTTCGGCAAGAGGAACCCCGGCAGGACCGCCGACGACGTCCTCAAGGACAAGTCCACGGCCCCCAACAAGGCCGCCATCCTCTCCGCCCTCGCGGCGCTCGACCCGGACGACGACGAGCGCGACGACACCTACGACGCCGCCGACGTGGGCGGCACCGTCGACGCCGGCAGCAGCAGCCTGGACGCCGACGGCAACGAGGAGCTGCTCTTCCGCGCGTTCCAGGCGGGCCCCAAGGTCTTTGGCAGAGACGCCGAGACGAGGAGGAGCGGCGCGCGCGGGAAGCTGCGGGACGAGACGGGCATGGCCGACGAGGCCATCGAGGGGTGGGCCGTCATGCTGCAGCGGAACCCGGCGCAGATGAAGCGCCTCGAGGCAAAGTATGCGTGGAGCGGCCAGCAGGCGCAGCTCGAGCGCACGTCGTGGAGGGCTGCTGCCGCCGCGGGTTCAGGCGCCGAGGAGAGCGATCCGGACGGAGGCAGCAGCTCGAGTAGAGGCGGCAGAGGCGGCCGCGCAAGAGGAGGGGGGAGGAGGACGTGGTCGGGGCGGAGGAGGTCGTGGCAGGGGGGGCGGCAATGTCGCCGGGCCGACGGGGGAGAAGGAGACGGAGGTGGCGAGGAAGAATAAGGAGGCGCATAAGGGGGCGAGGGCGAATCATAACAGGCGGGATGCGAGGGCGAAGAAGATGGCTCGCGGAGGGTTTGCAGGATGAGGTCAGCAGTGGTATAGAGGGTAAGGCGTTGTTTTTATTTCTTACTCTGAACCGGATCAGCTAGAAGGTCATGGCATGGGTAAACGTGATAGGTCTCAGAACAATATGTCATGGGTACTGAACGAGATGGGGAAGCCTAGGCACATCTCGCTGATATAGACTATAACAAGAGTCGAAGCAATGTCTGCCAAAGATATAAAGTAATGAGCCTCGGCAGCATCATATGAAATCCAATCTGACAAAAACAGAGCATGTTGCAATTTGTGAATATATCAATTTGCGTCTCTAAACAACCCATAACGCAAGACAGCCCATCAAAACGCCTTTCCAATAACCCATATATCTCCCCATTACCTTTCTCCCCTTTTTACAACCCCTCATAAAGCCCCTCAACCACATTCCCAAGCATCTTCAACCCATAATACCTCGCCACCCTCCTCATCACCCCCAGCTTCCGCACAACCTCCTCCCTCGAAAGCACCGCCTTCCACCCCCCGCTGCAGGTGCAGTGCTCCATAAAGTCATTGACCCTCAGCGCGCCGCACCGCTCGCACTTGAGATCCTGCACCGCCCACTCCGTCGCCCAGCCCTCCACCATGGCCAGCAGCCGCTCCTCGAGGCCCACCCGGTCGAACTCGCTGCCGCAGAAGCCGCACTGCCGCCGCCGCCGTTGTCGCCGGGGGCGCCAATCAGGTCCTCGTCGCGGCAGAAGTCGAGGTCTCGCGCCATGGTGCAGCTGTCGCACGACACTTGCAGCAGCTTCAGGCTCTCCGAGGGGTTCGTAAAGGTGCCCTCCTTGGAGAACTCGCGAATCTCAAAGAGGGCGAGCAGTTCTTTGCGCAGGAGCCTTGCTTCGAGCGTGATGTTCTTGTCCAGCGAGAGGACCTGCATGATGGACTTGACGAGCTCGAGGATCGGGTTGCGCAGCTGGAGGTGCGAACCGGGCAACGAGGGGAAGCTGTAGTCTTCCGCCAGCTCCGGATGCAGGAGCTCGCGCTTCTGCTGGTTGATCAGGCCGATGATGACCTTCTTGAACGGCTTTTCAAAGGCTTTGCCCAAGATGATTTGCGTGTCGCCGTCGAGCTCTTGGTTTCTATTCGGCAGCTGGGTGAGCCGCGGAGTCGAGTCGGGGTCATTATTCTCCGGACGTTTGAGCTTATGCATGAGCTGGATGAACTCAATCACCCAGTCCTGGAAGATGGGCTGTAGCCGGAGAGGCAAGAATGTGGCCATCTGCCAGTGCATAATCGTCTCCAGGTTCTGCTCGTCAGAGTCGGCAACCTGCTGGCAGGCTTTTCCACCGTAGTTGAATTCGTCGTACCACACAAGGTAGTCCCAATACTCCTTGATCTCAAGATCGATGAAGTGAAACAGCGACTTGCTCTTGATCGACTTGATGATGTACTGGCTGTAAGCAAAGGCGTTGCCGACCTCCGCCTTGGTTGTCTGCAGAATCAGTCGGTTTGCACTCGCAAAGATGACCTGTGAGCCGACACGCCTGAAGTCTGCCATGAGCTGCTGAAATGCCTTCCGCGACATCATCTGCACATAGTAGTGCAGTGCTCGGTCGTACATGAATGAGTCCGGATTCTCGACCCATCGGACAAGATGCTGAACGAGTACATCGGCCATCGTACTGCCCTTGCAAGCCTCTGCCCACCATGCCTTGACCATCTCGCGGAGGACCAGCACTCCGGCATTGGCGAATCCATTCTCCGAGGCCAGAATCTCTGATCCGTCAGCTGTAGGATTGAAGGAGATTGATTCAGCGCCTTCCAGCTCGTTGATCAGGGACGAGGTCAATATCGTGTTGATGGCGAGGTTGCGGACGTCCAGATCGATGCAGACAGACGAAAAAGTCCCCGGATTGTTGATGCTAGGCATCTTGACAGTGTCAAGAGACCCCGTAATATCGTCCTTTTCATAGCCAGCGTGGTCAGGCCGGGGATCGGGAGACCACCACAACACAACGCCGTTCGCCTGTAGCCGCCTGGCGTACGCAATGTCGATCAGGAACCGAGGATCATCACGCTCCAAGTTGCACAGAGGCACGTCGCCGTAGCGCGCCAGGGCCGTAAGGTGCAAGATCCAGGATCCCAGGCCCAAGTAGTGCCCAACCAGACGCCGGGCAACGACCGCTTGCCAGCCAAGAGGCGGTAGTGCGCTGTCAGAGGCATCGTATTTGAGCGGCAGTACCGGAAACTCGCCCAGAATAGGAATGTCATGAACAAGAAGGTTCCGCTGAGACGACTGGATAACCATCATTTGAGGTCGTGACTCGTCTTTGCGGAGCTTTCGGACCACATCAGCGACCTCCAAATGAGCCTTGCGCCGTGTCGTCACCTGGGTGACCTTGAAGGTGATCTTCTCTTGATACTTGAAGCAGTCTTGCCAGTTCGTCCCCGCAGCTTCCTCTGCTCTCTTTGCCAGCAGTTCCGAGTACAACCTCGTTATATTTGGGAGATCCGATCCAGAATCACGCCCTTTCTGCAGTATCACGACGTAAGCCTGGTCGCTCGTCGTCGAGAACAGACCAAAGATCTGGCGATCTCCCGCAGTAATGTGCGAGATGTAGATGTAAGCCAAGGGAGATGACTCTAGATAGGTCTTTGGCTTTGCAGGTCGTTTCAGCCCCATCAGGTCAAAGCCTTGCTCGAGACCCTTGCCAAGGACAGCCTCTTGTTCCTCGTCAATGGTGCATAGGTTACCCAGCCGGAGCACTGCGCGAATATTCAGGGGCACTTGCTTTTCATACACACCCTCTACACTAGGATGGTTGAACAAGAGCGAGAACTTCTCCGTTTCGTTAAAGTACACGTCCTCGGGCACAGTGAGCTTGAAGAGATGCTTGGACTCGTGGCCGTTGGGGAGAGTATAGTTGACTTGCTCAACCTCGCACCCGGCAATCTCCACATCTGGCAGCTCTTCCTTTTTGAGATTGAGAAAGATCTGGCGTGGGACGTTGATTTTTAGCGTGTGAATCTTTGCATCGATCAATACGTGCGCTGTCACAATGCCCGGGGTATCAGTGGCTTTGAGATGAAGCAGCTGCCACGTATTCATAAACGTCAGGTGAGCCTGCTTCATAAAGGTCTGCTGAATGTTGCTGCTGAGGTTGCCTCTCCTCTCACCAAACAGCTGTCTCCTGCGAATGCGTGCCTGTTTCTGTAGCTTCCACTTCTTCTTCTGATACTGCAAGAATCCAACATAGTCATCCGATGGATCAGGCATGGCGCTTGGCAAAGCGGCAACGGGATTGGGCCGCTCCTCTGCCGGCTCAGGAGATTTGCGCTTCTGCGAGGTAGCTTGCACCTGCGACGATGCGATGAGTGCCCCGAGCTGTTTGGGTTTTAGCAGCTTGGAGCCAAAGTCCTCCATGTCATCCGCGCGAGGTCCGTTGATATTCGTAATATCTGCCAGCGGCTCTTTGCTGCTGAAGAGGTCCGTGAGTTTCTTTTGCTTCATCTTGTCGTCCTTGATATTGATCCTTCGCTGAAGCCAGTCGGGGTGAGGCACTCGCGGCACGGGATTGCGCACTTTCTGCAGCGCGGCAGGGATCGTGATGAGTTTCTGGATGACGGAGCCCAGACGTTCCAAGTAGTAATCCCAGTCCAAAAGAGCCCGAGGGTCAGTATCTGCAGGCTCCTCTTTGAGCCACTTCTTCAGGTAGGCGCGCTTCACGGTTTCTTCGGCGGAGAAGATGGCGACGGGAACGGCCCGCTCCGTAACGGGTGCATTTCGAGGTCGAGAACAGATAATGAACTTACAGTTCAATCCCTTGTCCTTGACCATCTGCTCGCCCAAGAAGTCGGCAAGACGTCGTGCTGTTGTGATACTGGTAGACTTCTGACTGCCGTACTCCTCGAGGGTCTTGGACATGCTTCGATTTTCAGAAATCAGCTCCATCAGCTCTTCATCGGCTAGAGTAGATCCCTTGTTGTGCAGCACATCCAGCCACTGGTTTGCAACCTTTGCCACAGCAGTATAGCATTGCGTCAAATCTTCTCCTTCCAGGAAGAACTTGAAAATCTGTTGCTGGAAGATCTTGATCAGCTTGAGCTCACCACGACGCTTCACTTCGAATCCTTTCAGCTCTGCCAGACTGCCATCGTCATTGAAGACGGCATATCTCTTTTTCAAATTCTTATCTTCTTCTTTGGACGTGGGCAAAATCATGGCCTTGTACGGCCCATCGACTTCAAAGAAGATGGAGTTGTCGCTGTGGGTTTCGTATCTGAACGTTTTGGGATCGACCAAAGTCTGATACTGGTGGTTGGTGAACTTGTCATGCACAAGGTGGTTAAGCATGACGCAGGGATAAGAAACGTTCATCTTCTTCCCGTTCTTGAGTTTGAACGAAAAGTTCTCCGGAAAGGTCGCCGGGAGCATACACCAAATACCGTCGGTGTCCAGCTCGAGAGGCCGGCCGAGGCGCTCGACAAGCTGACGAGCAAGTTGAATAATGGTTGCTCCCGTTAAGCAGGTGACGCCCGCCATTTCCATGGAGTACCAGCGAGAGCCTTTTCTCATGACGTATCCGTAGAACGAGTTCAGGATGACCTTGTGTGCAAGCTGTAGAGAGTCGTACACAATACTCATCTTTTTCGCATCCTCAATCTCGCTGCCGGGGGCACCAGCTGCCTTCAGCGCATCCGTCTTGCCCTTCCAAATCTTTGCCTTGCCCTTGTAATCGTATCGACGATCACGGAAGTCGCGAACAGTGTTGATGTAGAAGGGATTTTCTCGCTGGCAAATGATTGCCTCTCGAACAATTGTGGTAGAGTCGTGGATCTTGTGATATACTTTCTGGGAGTAGAGCTGGAGACGTTTCCTCACCAGGTTCGCCTGTTCATCGGCACTCAACTCCTGGAATGTCCTAGGGGGGGCCTTTGGTGTTTTGCCAGGGAACTTTTCGTTCTCCAGAGCATGCCGGATCATGTTGTACTCGTCTCTCTTCGCCGGTATGTACTCTCCTCTCCAAGCCCAGGGTAGTCGTCGATCACATGTTTTGCCTGGCCGATTGAAATCGCAGGCCGCGCAATCCGATTCTGAAATCATCGAATCCGGTTGCAATCTGTTCGTTGTCATGATATTCGGGTACATGGAGGCGACATCCAAATGGTAAATGAGTGGCCTCTCGTTGCGATTAGGCGTCTCTTTCAGATTCAGAAGCTTGCTCATGATCTGCTGCTTGACTTCGTCGTAGTTGGTGACGTCGTCGAGAGACTTCTTCTCCTCGACCGTAATGACGAACTTGAGCGCATTGTCCAGGTCTCGTAGGAGCTCGTCCACTGCACCGGGATCAACCGCAAAGTTGACAGGAATGTCCGATCGAAACACTCCGGCTTCGATACTCTCGACGTGACCGCCGACGTATGTCTCGGAATCGAGTAAATGGCCGTCCCAGAATGCCTCTTTTGGGGTGACGTGCTTGTTTGGCAGTACAATCTCCTGTTGATATGCCTGCACCATCAGAAGCATTTCACAGAGAGTACCAGTACCCTTTCTGAGGGTATCGTCTGCCCCCAATGGCAGAATCGTACAGAGCGAGAAAATGAAGGGGTGTACGTATTTCATGTACAGATAATAGGTTGCAACGGCATCGGAAACTGAGTATTCTGCCAGTGTCTGTGGTCTCTCGGACGCATATGGTGTCATCAGTTCCGGGTCGAGCTCGTCGGGGTCGTATCCCAGCTTGGCGACAGTCACGGCCTTCAAGCCTCGAGATCCCTGCGGCAGGTAAGAGTCTCGGTTGACCCAGTGGAAACAGTCCATGTGAACACTGTAGCTGCACTTGTACTGATCTTCGCTGTCCTTTTTCCAGCCAATCTCTTGGTACATGTCGATGCCGTTGACGCTCGCCCTCGCCTCGACAAAGGGCCAATCGAAGAAGTCACCGTTGTACGTCGCGATGACAGTCGGACGAGCTTCCTTGATGTGGAGAAAGAACCTCTCAATGACAGACTTTTCATCCGGCTCGTTGAAGATCATAAACGGGCCGGGGTACTCGGGCTTTGGTGTATAGTCGAAGTCGCCAATGTCTTCGGAAATGATTTCTCGGTTGGTGATTAGGAATCCTTGGCCGTCAATCATGTACGATATCATCATAATCTGATCGGTCGCGGCATCGGGGAACTTCAAGGGTAGCTTTGACGTCTCGATATCGTATGCCATGACCACGGGATCAGCTGGCAAAGACCGACCCTCGTTCAATGTGACTTTGGTGACGCCATGCTTCGCTTCAACAAAATACCATTTTCCCACTCTAATGTCTAGGAAGCCAGTTAGCCAAAGCCCAAGCCGTGCCACAGCCAAGGGCATGTACCTAGATCTATCATTACTCTAACGTGGTATGGAACATCGTATTCGCGTATATCGACGATGAAGTCGCTCGCTTCAGAAATGGAAGTACTCGTGTTTCGCTCGTCATCTCGTAAATCGTTATCAAAAAGGTCAAAGTTGCCATTGTTCCTGCAGTGATATGCGTGTTAGGCCCCGCCACAGCATCTCAAGAACTATCTCGACGTCAGGGGGTGGTGGAGGATACTGACGTGGCAACCTCGGCGTAGGCATCCATGGCATTCATGTTCTTCTTGTTCTTCTCCGCAATCGGCAAAACGTCTCTTCTCGCGGCCATCAGATCGTTGACATTGGCGAATCTGAGCTCAATGAATGTGCGTCGGTAGCCCATCAGGTGATTTGGCATGCTGAGATCTTCCTTCTCTATCCTCCTGATTGCTTTCACGACGCCTCCGCCCGGTACCCTCTTCACCCACTCTTCCACTTCAGACTCTCGGCCCTTTTTGACCGCAATGATGAAGTAGGGGTCATATTCGACCGTCGCTTTGAAGGTGCTTCCATCGAGCTCGATGAAGTAGCAGTCCAGCGCCGCTCGACCGCCCGGTATCCTCTCGTCTTCGACAGAGGTCGGCTGAACATTGACTAGCCAGCCTTCCTTCTTCTTGCCGCTCTCGTACCGGGCAAAGCCCATCCTGTCGTCGATGCTCTGGGCCAGACGAGTGCGCTCCCACTTTTCGTCGGCAGAGGTACCTTCGGCCCTCGAGGAGGCAGCGAAAGTCCGAGTTTTGGCGCCATGATAGGCAGTTTTACCTCCTCGCTTGTAGCCCTTTGTCGGGCGTCGAAGGGATGTGTTCGGCATCCTCGAAGGCGGGCGACTGGAAAGAGACTGCTGCCGAGTTGACAATTGGAGAAACTCGAACTTAATCGGTTGATGGGCCCGTCATGGATTATGGCGTTCTGCTGCACAAAACTGCTATAAAGACAGATTGCTATTCGCATGCAGCAGCTGTTGCTGTCCTCTCTGTTAGTGCAGTGCAGAATGCTCAGAGCCTTGTCCGGGCGAGCAAACAGAGATCCAACAGAGCCCAGCAACAAAACGACAACGGCCCGCACAGGCTGTTCGGCAAAGATGTGTGTGTAGTAGTACCTTGTGTGTGTCCAGTGAGACGCGTCTAGACGCGTGAAAACGCGAATGGATCTGGCCAGTACGCGCCACATCTTTAATTGATTCCAGCCACAACCAGCAGCTTCGCACAGCCACACCCCACCAACAGCAGCAATTCGAGTATAAATCGTTCCAAGCGTCATAGCAGCCCATCAGAGGGACCGCTCACAAAAAAGGCGACTGCCGTCCATGCCAGCAATCCGACAAACAAGGTAGCCAGAAATGGCCCCGACCAACGACGACGAGCGGCCTAATGCAAACGAAAAGGTGCTGCATGTGTGGTCTAAGCCGATAGCGGAGGGCGATCAGGTTCCCGGGTCTCAAGGGCCGGATAAGAACCCGGACGGGACCCCGAGAGGCTCCAAGTCTGCCTTTACAGAGGCCGTGTCGATGATCAAGAAGGAGGATTTTGCAAACGTTGCGAACACGCCTTGCGCGCGGCAAGGACTGTTGACGGGAATTGGGGCGGGCGCCGGCCTGGGCGGCCTGAAGTTTGTGATTCAAGGTAACGGCTCTCGAAACCCGAGTGCGATACAGGGAATGGCCAGGTTTTGGGTAGCTGACGGTCTTCGTTACGACAGGCAATGCGACCAAATCGGCCAATTGGGCGGTTGGCTTCTTCATTCTGAGTAGCATAGCCTCATACGAGTACTGCCAATACCGACGGCGCGCCGAGAAGATCCAGATGAAGCGACACATCGAGGTGGTGACGCAGAATCGGAAAGAGCAGGCAAGGAAACTGGCCGAAGAGAGGCGCGAACAGCTGAGGATAGAGGAAGAGCAAAAAGCACGAAACAGGGCTTGGTATAAGTTTTGGTAAAGGGTAGGCAGATGAGCTGCCATGTACTATTACGTGTAAAAAATATAGACTCTGCTTGGGATATCACGGCAATCTTCAGATCGATGCACTGTACGCGAGGAGCGCAAGGTGCACAAGTTGACAATTGAAGCGCCAATGGAACAGTTGGCCTTACTCTGGTATATCGAATGCCAATCAGAAGCAGGACTGCTATGAACTCTGAGCTGAAAAGGAAAAGAATAGTACAAAAAAAGCAGAAACGACTAGATAGAAGATCTCTCAACGCCAGGCGGCCTACTTTTGCAGAAGCCGTCCTCTTATCCTATGTCCCTTGTCTGCCCCCAAAAGCCGAGATTCGTTCATGTCATCAAGAAAACTGCCCCTCAAACGCCGCCATTGAGACGACATCTTCCAAAGTCAGCGTCCGTCTCAATGTCAATCCCCATGTCCCATATACCTGTCGAAATAGAAATCTCAATTCACAAGTGTCCATAATCATGCCGTCATGGTCAGGTTCCTATTCTCTCCATCCATGAACCTAACCCTCCTCGAAGGCGGCGACTTGCGATCTCGCCTTGCCGAAAGAGCCAGTTCTCCCCGGCGTCTCTGCATTCTCTTGTTTCTGGCGTCATTCTCCTCTCGTTTCCGGTATTCGGCCATTTGCTGTCGTCTCTTCATGATCCGGGCATGTGCAAGAGCAGGGGTCGGCTTGAATCCCACGCCGTTGATGCCTGTGCCATCGTCATCTTTGTCATCAGGGTCGTAGATTGTGATTTCGTCCTCGTGCCAGGTCAGTGAGGCGCGCAAAGGATCTGCAACTTCGGCTTCGTCGTCGGCATCAGATTGTCCGTCTTGAGGGTTCCCTTTCCTGAATCGGAGAGGCGGAGTGCCGGCCCTCTTCTTTTTAGGCTGTGGCTCAGACGTGGGATTGATCGAAGGTGATGCTGTGCCGGTCTGGAGCAGACCTTCGGTTGAGGGCTGTACTTGTGCAGACACCACGGAACGATCGACCATTTCCACAGCGGCGGACTCCATCTCCGGTACCGGTTTGGGCTGTGCCTCGGGCTGTGGCTGTATCGGTGCAATGGTACGTGCCTCCGGGTCTGGTTTATGGCGTTTTCTCGCAGACGCATCCGATTCCACGTCCATCTCATCAGCAGCCTCGACGACCGAGCCGCCGTTCCCAAGCGCAAGGCCGCGGAACCTGTGGACCACGGTGGACGAGCGAGGGCTGCCTGTGTCCTCCAAAGGGCCGGCAGCGGAGAGATCAAACGAGAATATCAAGGGCGATACAGAGGCGTGTGCTCCTCTCTTCCGCTTGGGCGTGACGTTTACGATATCTGTCATTGTTCCCGGGTATTTGGTCCGTTACCGGGCAGTTGGAGATGTGAGGATGATGGCGACCGGGGGCTGGCGAAGAGCGCTGATGAGAAAACGGCGTGAGAGCAAGAGCGAGAGAGCGCACGAAGGAAGCCGGCAGATGTCATGCAATGGGGGCCGCGGAGGGCGGTCAAGCAATATGTGTGGCCGACGAGCGAAAAGATATGAGTCTGGGGTTCTGAGAGCAAAGTGAGAGACGCGCAGACGGCCGGGTGGAACGCTGCAGCTGCCACATCGGCGACATGGGCGGCGTCCAATCGAGGTGAGGTGACTTGAGGTGAGTATGTTCTGTTCAGTTCAGACTCAGGCTGTCGCTGTGCATTGCAGGTTGAGCTGACTGTGCCTTGCGACTGCGACTGCAACTCTACAGTGCCTCCAACTGGCTCCGGCTGACGTTGCAGGAGCAGCGTCACAAGACCAGCGCCGACTTGGATCCCGTTGAAGCGCCACGTGGGGAGCGGCGGCGATTGGATCTGATCAAATGGCACTGGACTCTGGCTGACAGTCGGCAACAGAAGCGGGCGGTGGGGGCGAGAACTGGATGGGACCAGACGGCACAAAGCCCTCTGTAAGGCACAGGCACAGGTACCGTTTGCGCTGACGGTGGCTTCTGATTAGACACCTCTGTGAGGCTTGTTGTAGGTGATTATTGTGGAAGGGCATGCGCATATTGGAAAAGCTGCGAATCGAGCGCATCGCAGGGTAGCAGCATGTAGATTCTCTAACGCTTTCCAGCGCCGTTTGCCCGAGCTCCACAGGGGTCCTGTACTGTATGTAAGGTACTGTATCATGCTTGCCGAGCAGAGTTCAGTTGCCACCAAACATTTGCCATTGTTTGCTCTTCAGGATACAGGTGATAGAGTAGCCCACCGGAACTTCGCCAACCCCCCAAGATTGCCAGCCCTTTTACACCAAAAGTACTATGTTTTTAATATGCATTATAAAATCAGGCTAATATCTAAAATAAGAGATACTTTAAATATAGCTATTTAAATAGCCTAACATGATATACCTATTATTTAAAAAAATCCAATTAAATTATTTTTTATAAAAATACTTACTTAAACTTAAGGCTTAGAAAATATTAGTATTTTACTAGTATTTACTAGTATTTCCTTAATAGATTTTAAAGTATAATTAAAAATTAAAATAATATTAAAAGAATTTACTTTCTTAATATTAATAATATTTATATTAATATAGTCTTAGTAATATTAATAGCTTACTTAAATTACTAATTATAAGCTATTTTATTTTAGTTTTAAATTTCCCCTTAATAAAATTTATTAAGGATATTTAAATTTAAGTATATAGTATTAAATAAGCTAAATAATATAATTTCTTTTATTTATTATAAATAAATAAAACTTTAGCTATTATAATATAAGACTTTTATTATATATAGATTTTTTTAGAATTATTTATTAATTAATTAGATCTGTTAAGAAAATACTAGTAAATACTAGTAAAATACTAACAGTTTTTAACCTTTAACTTTAAGTAAGTATTTTTATATAAAATAATTTAATTAGATTTTTTTAAAATATACTTATATATACTTTAGCTAATAAACTATATATAAAGACCTTATATAGGCTTTTTAATTATAGAATTGATTTTATATTAGTAATTAAAAAAGTAGCACTTTTGGTGTAAAAGAGGTGGCGATCTTGGGGGGGTGGCCAACTTCCGGTGGGAGACTCTAGATGGCCATGAGTATAGCGCAAAGAATAGGAAAACAATACATGATACGGCTGGATATCAGTAGCCTTGCGGGTTGTTTTTCTTTTGTTTGTCGCTCACATAGTCACTTGGTTGCAGTTTGCCTTTTGGATACCGACGTGTTTGAGCGGATATTCACCCGTGCAGCCCTTGTAGTACATTAAAGCATGGAGGATGAGTGAGAAAGCGGCTGTTGTGCAGCTTGGTATCACTTCCATGTTCAAAATGGCAATATCATAACTACCTATACTAAGGTAATATAGTATCAATGAGCTATTGCATGTTCAGATAAATCAGGACATTACCTTGTCTGATATACGAGTACCTCAGTGCTAATGGCAGGCATTCCGGCTATATTGAATCGACTCGGAGCCCCGGCCTTGGAGAACCTGCAAAGCTCCAACTCTCCAACAGCCGAATCTCCAACAAAATCACTCGCAAGTCTCCAAATTTACCCCGCCATCTGCCCCGCCGTCATGGATGATGCCCTGTAAATGTACTTCCCAGTGCGAACGCGGTGGATCGTCCAGCAAGGTTCGCATATCCGCTCATGCGTGCTAATGAACGACGGAGCTTGGAGAGTCGCAAAACAGCCTGAATGAGGCAAATGGGGAAATACCAAGGCGAACTGCGCAATATATCCGAGAGAATCGCCCGTTGATGCGCATAGCTTCTCCATAGTTTGACGCCATTACATTCTTAATTCTTCTTCAACCTGCCTTGGGTACCTTGCTTTCAGGTACCGAGCTCTGTGCAGTCATTCCGTGTGGGACAATATAAACATCGCCGAGCTCGCCTCCTCTCTCAAGTTGAACTCCCGTCTCATCCCGCTTCAATCACCACCTCGCCACATCATCCTCATCACCCTCTTTCACCCTTCGCCATGACCGACGCAGTCTTCAAGTTCCTCCCCCTCGGGGCCATCATCCAGTCCTTCAAGGTCAAGGACACAAACATCGTCCTCGGCTTCCCCGAGCAGGAGCACTACGTCAAGTACAACACGGCCTACTTCGGCGAGACCATCGGCCGCATCGCCAACCGCATCAAGGACGCCCGCATCGACAGCCTCAACGGCGGCAAGTCGTACACGCTCGCCGCCAACGACGGGCCCAACAGCCTGCACGGCGGCAACGAGGGCTGGGGCAAGCGCATCTGGAAGGGCCCGACGCCCGTGGGCACCAGGCAGATCCCCGGCGTCGACGGCCTGCGCGGCGGCGAGAGCGTCGAGTTTACCCTGCGCAGCGAGGACGGCGACGAGGGCTACCCCGGCACCGTCGAGGCAAAGGTCGTCTACACCACCGGCAACCAGGTCGTCAACGGCAACGAGGCCATCGTCCTCGGCATCGAGTACGAGGCCCGGCTAGTCGGCGGCGCCGACGAGACCGTCGTCAACATGACCAACCACTCCTACTTCAACCTCACCGGCGACGACAACATCGCCGGCACCACCGTCACCCTCGCCACCAACAACCACCTCCCCGCCGAGGACGACTCCATCCCCCTCGGCGGCCCCGTGCCCTTCCCCGGCATCGACACCTCCAAGCCCTTCGCCCTCGGCGCCGAGGAGCCCAAGTTCGACCGCTGCTTCACAACCACCACCGACCCGTCCTCCGTCCCCATCGACACCCGCTCCCAGCCCCTTGCCCTCAACCTCTCCGCCTTCCACCCCAAGTCCGGCATCCACCTCGAGGTCCTCAGCACGGAGCCCTCCTTCCAGTTCTACACCGGCGACCTGACCAATGTGCCCGCCGCCGAGGGCCTGCCCGCACGAGGCGCACGGAGCGCCTTCTGCTGCGAGCCCGGCCGCTGGATCAACGCCTGCAACGTCCCTGAGTGGAGGAACATGGTCCTCTTGAAGAAGGGCGAGACGTATGGCGCGAGAATCGTGTACAAGGCTTGGACAGAATAAAGTGAGAGGTATTGCAAGCGGTTAGCGTATAGTAACGACGAAACGTTTTTCATGACACATTCTCTTTTTGTATCCCATCGTCTGCTTTTCTCAGTTGCTGTTACATAAAACTTGTACATGGAAGAACAAAAAATGAACAGAATAAACGCATAACCGGTACCGTGTTGCCCTCCTGGTCGTAAACCCAACGCCATGCCACATGAGTCATGCAGTGAATATCCCGCCTGCTCCCTGAGTAAATAAACACTTGATAAATGACCAGCGGTCGGCTGTCCCTAGTCGGAATCGCTCTCGTCTCCTAGAAAGGCCAGATCCGCATGGGCCTTTCTGCGTCTCGCAGCAAAAGAAGTCGGCTCGTCGTCCTCATTGTCATCGTCATCGCGGTCCTCTCCGCTTTCCGGCTTCGCTACCTTTGTAGCGGCCTTGGTACTGCCCCTGCTGGCCCTTCCGCCAGAGCTTGTTCCCCAGAGTCGATCCATCTCCTGAGCAGCCTCGACATCTGCTTGCAGCTCTCGCATCTCCTTGATCTCGCGGGCCTTGGCCTCGGAGAACCGCCCATCCATACCAACGTCCGCCAGCATCTTCTTCAGATGGCGGATCTTTGCGTTGGCATTGTCTCCGTACTGCTTCAGTTCGTTGTGCCAGAGCTTTCGAATCCCGCATTTCATCAAGTGCGATTGCAGTTTCTTGATTTCCGCTTCCTTGGGATCCTCCGGGGCAGCCTCCTTTTTGGTTGTTGATTTGGATGCCTTTGATTTTGATGAGGCCTCCTTTTTCTCGCCCCTCTTGCGCTTTGGAGGCGGTGGTTCGTCGATGACGTCGGAATACTCGTCCTCCTCGTTGATCTCGGGCTTGGATTCATCCTTTACATCCGCCTTTGCATCCTCGGCTCCTGAGTCGGGCTGAGCTTTCACTGACGGCTTGTTCTCGTCATCTGATGTCTCTCCCTTCTTGACACTTGCGTCTCCGCCAGCCTTGTGCTTAGATTTCGATTCATCATCTGATTCCTCTTTCATGCTTCGTTTCCGACTGGCAACAGGCGACGGGCTGTCTTCGAGCTTGGCATCTTCGTCATCGGAATCACCCGCCTTTACCTTGCGACGAGACACCAGCTTCTTGACCTTGGCTTTTGAATCTTTTGATGGGTTCTCATCAACGTCGGACTCCTCCTTCTTCTTCGCACCTCTCGATACTTTCTTCCGCCGCTTAGGTTCGGGAGACTCGACTTCGGACGATTGCCGCTTGATGCCAACTTTTGTGTCTGACTCATATTTCGGCTCAGAAGCGTCTTCCTCGAGCAATTTGTCCTGGGAACCATGGCATTGGCGGGGTCAGAAAAGACAGGCAGGGGCGGCAGCAGTTTGCTTGAAAGAGTGGTCAGACTTACGACTTGTTCTTTGATAATGGTCTTGCTCTTTTGCTTCCACGCATCGCTGGTGAAGAAGCCATCCTCCAGCCCGAGCTTTTCTTCAACGTGCCGTCGCACTTTGTTGACGGAAGTGCCATCGGGCTCTGCTTGGTACACCTCCCGGGTCCCCTCGACCAGCGCTTCTTTCAGCTTGGCCGCTGAAGGCGCCATCGTGATGGGGGAGATGAGGAGATGATTCAGATGCGGCGATTCGGCGTCTCTTTGGGCTTCAGCGACACGTGATGCATACGATGTTGAATAACGATGCGCTCGCTGCTGCCGATATTGCGAGAGGCGCGTCTGGGACGCGATCGGATTGTGATTGGAGAGACTCGAGTGAGGCTGTTGCTGGGCCGGAGCTGCAGTCGGTTTATGGGGCTTCGGGTTTGGGCGAACAAGGATCAACCCGCCAATCGGACCGGGGCGAGACGTGCTGGATGCGGCCAATGAAGCGGCGCATTCAACTTTTTAGTGGAGACCCAGCCTGAGGCTTGCAATGCGCATTTAGCTGCTGCTCTTCGTACTGTGCACAGTATTAGAAAGTTGGACATTGTGATCTTCAACTTGACCAAGATCTTGTAGGGCCGCATTTTTTCATCCAGGATCTGACAACTATCGAAGCTTTCACCATCTCAAAAATCTCGACGCATCTATTTAGATTATCTTACTGTCCTACTCTGTACGGTACCTCCGATACAGGGACGCCCGATTCTGGACGGAGATGTCGGCATCACTTGCGCCAGAGTGTAACGAGGTGAAGGAGTAAGTGTGCTCATTGACATCTGACGATGTTTTACATGAAGCTCATACAACGAAACCAAGGCGTTACGACACATGCTTTTTAAAATGGTATAGCGAAAGTGAGAGAACATGCTCCCTTGGTCCAAGTCATGCAGCTGTTCCACTTGACTTACACATTCACAGAGTATCTCCGTGGAGCGGAAAAGGACAACAAGGAATGCGCCGACTTGTTCAACGAATATCAGAAATGCCTAGGTGTACGAAGCTGCCAAGCCGAGCAAGGGCTGGAAACGAGATCATCTCATTGATCATGGGCTGACGGGTGAATTTAGGTTGCACTGAAGTCTCGAGGCATAGATAAGCTTCTCGACGAGGCTCGGGAAGACAACAAGGACAACGACGTAAGGTTAACAGCGCCGAAGAGTAAGTCCACGAATCAAGCAGCGGAAGACGCGTGTGTTTGTATTAATAGCTGTCCAGAGTAGATGGAGCCACGGTTTGACGTCGATTCGTTTTGCGGGGAAGAGGGCATGTCCATCCATAGAACGATGCGATGTTGGCTTTTGCGGAGAGAGGCTCAGACCTGGAACCTCGTATTTGCAGCTTAGATCAACTTAGAAGTGTACATATATAAATATCGCAACGTCGTTTTCCGCACCATTTTGCAAGGTGAACGTCTACGTACGCAGCAGCCGCAGCAGCATGCACCCTCATGCAGCTCGCTGGCCGCGGGCATCGTGAACGAGGCGATACGCAAGCAGAGGCCCATGGATGAGCGGCAATCGTCGTCAACTGCGCGCCACGTGATTCGCTGCGCGGCGCAAACACCTCCAAGAGCCTCCACTCTTGGTGGGCGGCGGGCTTTTTAGTGGACGAGCTGCTCGCCCTGCAGCACCAGCCAGCAGCTTTTCGGCTACGTGCCATCACAGGGACCTGCAACTTGGACTGGACCTGGACCTGGAACTGGACGGACAGCAAAGCACCGCAGCTCGACACACGTCGCGAATCCCCTCCCCTGCGATCGATTGCGCCGCCCGCCCCGAGTATAAAGCCCAGCTCGCGGCTCCGGGCTTCTGCTGTTTGTCGACCGTCCAGAGGCGTCACTTGCGACTGCGGAGCTTGTCCAGACAGACCATCCCGCCCAACGTCGACGCGCGCGCGAGAGACAGAGAGACAGACCCGAAGCCATCGCTCAACCAGCGTCTCACTACGAGCACCTGCGACCTTGACGACTGCGAGCAGCAATTGCACCGTCCAGCACCTCCGTCTTCAGCTCCCCCCCCTTGGCCAGCGGCATGTCCCACCGACCGCAGTAACGCTCTATGCACCCCTTCTCGACCGTGACCCTCGGCATCTTCGTCGCTGGCTACATCACCGCGCGCTGGGACCTCGTTACTCGCCTCTATGAGCTGGCCATCTTTGCCGTGGAATACGGAGTTGTCGTGAGTCGCCCGCCAGCTTTGCGCCGTCGCAATTCGCAGTTTCCAGCATCCCTGGGGGACCAACTTGTCTGACGTTGACGTCCGTCTTTCCTTGTCTGCTTTTAGTTGCGTGTAGCCCGCGGGATTGTGGTCCTGACTGCCTTCTACCTTGCCATCTTTGTGCCAGTGGCCCTCCTCGCCAGGAGAGAAACAAGCCTTGTATGTGTCCCGCCACATCGGTCAACTGCTGCCACACGACCTTCAGCGGAACGAAAAGAAGCTAATGTACCAACGGCTAGCACCCACGAGATCCTGGAGTTGGAATATCTGCGCGAGAGCAGCTCAAGCGACGAGGCTCAATCTGAGTGCTGGGCCTCGTCCTGCCGATAACCATCCTTTGTCATGGTAGAGCATGATGGGTTGATGAGAGTGTTTTGGCCGACAGACATTCGCAAATCTGATCGCACGGGCGTCGTCGTCGGTTGGAGAAACTCGACCCTCGACGTTTTCGTCGTCACCATCCTCGAAGATGTCGATGTCCGTCCTCTTCCAATCCTCGTCCCTCGCTTCTTCTCAAAGTAAACCCGTGGCTAACGCGTTCATCCCGCATCTGCAGGCGCACAATGTCGAGTTCCATCTCAGGTCCGGCACTTTCTTCCGGAGTAGCTCCCACTCCCCGAGCCGGATTTACGAGCACTGTGGCCACTCGTCGATGCATGTCCTAGGTGTGTCCAATGCGGCAGCTCATGATGCGATTGACCCTTCATGGGTCTGCGCCAAGACCAGCACTTACAGCCGCTACCCTCGGATCTCCTGCGCCAAGGCTTCCAGCATCCAGCTCATCCTGTACGATAGGCCCCGCCCAAAGGGCATGCAGTACATATCCCTGAATCCGATAGCGTTGGCTTTGGGGGACAAGGGGACGTTGCCCGAGGATGTCGCCAGCAGCGAAGACGACAGCGAAGAGGCCAAGCTCGAAAAGGAAATGAAGGAGAACCGGCGTAAGCTGGTCGAGAAGCTCAAGCAGCACAGCATTGTCAGGCGAGTTGCGTCGGCCAGAGACAAAGCGCTGCCCAAGATTGTCAACCAAGTCAACTGGTCATGGGAGCTGGAGCAGGCGCTGCAGCACAACGTGGGACGGCTGGGCCCGCGGCCGAAGCGAGGTCTGAGTGTCTCGGAGAGGGTGGTGGAATCGGCCACGACAATGCGGAACTATGTGCTCGTGCAGTTGTGGACCCTGTTCTCGGTATACCTCTTTCCAATCGTGCAAAAGGCCTTTGTCCTCGTGCTGCTCTTCCATCGGATGGTGGCGGAGATTTTTCTCATCATCCTGGAGTTTCGAGCCAAGCCGGGATACGCCGCCCTCAAAGACATCTCGGCCACAGCCCAGCAGATTGAGATCCGCCTCCAGCAGTTTTGCTACTGGCCCATGCAGTACGTCACTCTCCGCCAGCGAAAGGCCAATTGGGCGAGCGTCACGACCAGCCATCCAGACTACATCCGCTTCTACAACAGTCTGTGGCTCGTTGCCAACGACGTCATCATCGGCATGGCTGTGGGCTCGTACATCATTGAGCACAAGGACTGGGTTGCGGACCAGATCCGAGATCTCCTGCGCACCTACACAGTGGAGGCTCTCCAGCGCGGCATATCGTGGCTCATGGGGTGGCCTGCAGGTCTGAAGCTAAACGGTGAACTGGCTGCCTTTCTGGGCGATTTGTTTCTCTGGGTCATTGACTATTGGTCGAGTAAGTCCTGCCATCCGCTACCGTTGTGGAACCTCTGCAAGCTGACACGCCCTCGCGTGATATAGGCTGCATTGAGACGCTGAACCCCATGCTACCGCACATTATCTGGTTCATAGGGTTTTCGTCCTTTGCTGGGGCAAGCATGCCCATCGCCATGTTCTCCGACCTCTTGTCGGTCCTCACCATGCACATCTACTCGTTCTATCTCGCGTCGGCAAGGATATACCACTGGCAGCTCACCATTCTGCGGTCTCTGTTTCACCTGTTTCGAGGAAAGAAGCACAACGTCCTCCGCAATCGTATCGATTCGTGCGACTACGACCTCGACCAGCTGCTCGTGGGCACGATCCTGTTCACCTTGCTCTTCTTTCTTCTGCCCACCGTGATGGTGTTCTACCTCAACTTTGCCATTGCTCGGATGATCATCATATCACTCAAGGCAGGCTTTGATACGCTGCTGTCCTGTTTGAATCATTTCCCCCTATTTGCCCTGATGTTGCGGTTGAAGGATCCGGCCAGATTACCTGGTGAGTACAAGACGTCGTGGAATGACATGTGGAAAAGTGCTAGGGGGTGGGAGGACTAACTTGGACTTGCTAGGCGGCATCCATTTTGAGCTTCGAGATACCCATTATCCTACATCCCCCGACGCTAATGATAACCTTCTTAATGAGCCCCCAACTTCCATCATCTATCTCAAGGTTAGCCTCCACGCCCTAAATCTCACAGCCCAAAAGCAAGTTTGAACTCTAACTCGTCGGTGCAGAACATCCCCCTTCCCTTCCGCGACATGTTCCACCAATACTTCCAAATGGCCCACCGCATCCGCAAGCATTACCTGTCGCCGCGTGTGCTGCTCTGCCTGGTGACTGGGCAGTTTGTGCCGCCGATCAACAGGAAGAATCTGTATAGTCTGCAGTACAGCATGTTGCCGGCGAGGAGGGCCACCGTGTGGGAGATGTGGCGGGCGGTGAATACGGAAATCGACATTCCGCAGAAGAAGCCCTTTCAGATGCCCAATATTCCCCAGTTGCAGAATGGAGGTAAACGGCCTACGGGCTTTGGGAGGACCAGGTCGTAGGGACGAAGGAGAATCCCTCCGAATAATACAAAGTAACTTTTTCAACTCTTCTTTGACTCATCCGCCCAGGAAGCAATTACTTTCATATGCCGGCCAGATTGTTCGATTAGGGACTAGGCCGCGTAGCTTTTGCATACGAAAAGAAACACAAACCTTAACTCAGCATCAAACTATCTTATATCGGCTAAGAAGTGTTCCTCAACGGACCGGCCTCTAACAAGCACATCGTGGCGTTACCTGAAGTACGAGTCTAGAAGGGGGGCTGGGCGAGGCGCAAGAGGGCTTTGACCATTCGAAGCGTTCAAGTTCCCCAACAAGCCGCAGCGCATGTATATAAGAAAGGGGCCCGTCCCCCCCCCCCCCAGTCCAGTCCAGTCCGCTACTTCGCACACATACACACACATTCTCTCCCAGTCCAATCAGACAACAACGATCTTGTTGTCTCATATTCTTCAATAACACACACCCTCAGCCGCTCTCGCTTGCCGAAAAAAAAAATATGCGTTCCGGCCGCAAGCCCACCCTCGGCGACCAAATCGCCGACGCGTACATGGGCGCCGTCATCAACCCGGACCGCACGCGCCGGCCCAGGATCCCAGAGATCCGCGTGGCCTCTCCAAGCGGCGCGGTGACCCGCGTCACCGAGATATGCCACTTCTCCTTCGACGGGCCTCTCGAGAAGGAGCGTAGGGAGACGCTGCGCGAGAGTCTGGCAGAGCTCGAGGAGCGGCGCCGGGAAAGGGCCGCGAGAAATCGCAGCCGGAATCAACCGTGTCTGGCAGATCAGCCAGAGAAGGTACGTTATGAATACCAGTTCTTTTTTGCCAGCAGGACTTTTGTCTGACGGGTGAGAAAAAAGCAGCCTCTCGAAACCAAGCCGGCGGAGAATGAAAAGGCTCCGGCGGAGGAGAAGCCTCCACAGAAAGAAGAGGCTCCGGAACCGAAAAAGGTTCCGAAGGCGGAAGCTCCTCAAGCTTCCTCTGGACCAGTCCGCAAGGGAACTTTCAGAGCCTTGCTGACCTTCGGACGCCATTTCATGCCTTCGAGCCGCGCGAGCTCGCGAGGGTGGCGCCAGTCGCTCATGGGTTGAAGGTTTGGTGGCTGCTCGGGTTTCTGATTTCTCTTCTGGTTGGAATGGCGAAAATTGTTATGGCTGATCGGATCTTTGTTGTTTTTGAGTGGCATCGCCTTACAAGAAATTGGCTTTGGATACCCCTTTTGTTAGATCTTGAATGATATGGACGCGTATAAACAACCTACATTTGACTGGCCAGTGAGTTGAAGTGCCCTCTCCTTATTTGAATCCTCAGCTCCTCCAATATCGAAAGTCTAACATGTGAATCGTGGCCTGTATTTCACCGTGAAGCCTCCGGTATGGCATGAATTCGCTCTATACAGTCACCTCAAGCTGAATCACTGTCGGTGAGCAACGGTGAGGCTCAGAAGCTGGACGGCTGAATCAACGAGGACTAGCCATCGGACAGCGCCTTCCTCCGAACCCATGTTGAACAGATCACGATGCCACCTGCCTCGACACAGGCTTGGCGTCAGCCTGTACCTCAGGCATACGTATTCACCCACCAACAGACTTGCCTTCTCACACTCTTCTCCTACAAAACCATCTTCAATATGCGAATTCGAACCTCATTTTCTGATTGTCTTCCTCATAATGCCTAATATACATCCATGAAACTTCTTCGAAACCTCTAGACGACTTTTCCGAGTGGCTTTCCTGCCGTATCAACTACCTTGTTCAAAAGTCAGACAACGACAAAAGCAAATAAACAGGGGCAGAAACACTCACATTCTGCTAAAAGCCATCATTGCTTAATAAACGAAGCCTCTCTCTGGGTATCTTTGAATGTGGTATGATTCCTTCAAACGACATGCTTAATCCTTGCCTAACAAATATTAGTACCTCGAGCCTCGGACCATGCGAAAGCAATGACATACATATTATAATAGCAACAGCATTGGTCTTCGACCGTTGGCGTACTCCTTCTCGCTCGTTCAGTCTTCGGCGTCCGTCATCTCGGTGTCTTCTTCGGCAGCCTGGGATGCAAAAGCTCCCGCGTTGGTGCCTCCGGGTGCCGGGTGATAGGTGGTCCCCGTGGCCGCTTGACCGTGGCCGAATGGCTCTGGGTTAGGATAAGCGATGGGACGGCTCTGAACTCCATGCTGGCTGGCGGGCAAAGCATGGAACTGGTGGCTGTTCCAAAGCTGCTGCTGTGCTCCAGAGCCCACAGTACCAAAGGTGGCATCTCTGAATCGCTCCGGGACATTTACGAACTGGCCCGTGAAAGCTGGGGCCGCAGCTCCTGAGAACATCGACGACTGCGCGCCGAGAGCTGCTCCGTGGCCGTAGGAAGCGCCCATGGGCGGCGCCACGGACTGGTTGGCAGCCTGCATTGAACTGACGTTCAAAGGGTTCTGATACAGCTGCTCTCCAGGGAAGCGTTGCTGACTCGGGAATCCACTGTTGCCCTGAAGGACGTTGTTCTGCGAATACATGGAAGGGTCAAGAGGCGCGCTTCCAGCAAGGACGCCAATTCGAGAAGCTCTAGGGGTCTCCTGGTCCTCTCCACCGGGTTGGGATGGAAAGGCAGGGGTTCCAGCGCGAGGAGTGCGGTTTCCAGGCGCACTCCTCTGCTTGGCTCGAGCTGCGGCCTCGGAGGCGGCCGAGCCTGGGGCAGACCCGGAAACATCATATCCCTTTCTAGGCATCTTTTCTCGGGGTTCGTTCAAGATACAGTAAAGGAATATCTGACGAAAGATTAGCTGCGGATGCAGAGAAACGATAACGAGGAGCAAGTTGCAAACTCGGAGAAGGAGGCTGGCTCGGGATGAGGCTCACTGAATTTATGGGTATGGCAGTAACTGTTACTGAAAGGCGGATGAAACGGTGAATCGAGTGTGTTTGGTGAATTCGAGTGAAGTAGGAAGAGGCTGGAGGGTGCCGTGCCCTCGAAAGCTGCGGCGAGGAAATATGCGCGGCTCCATTGCGCGGAGAGGGAGCATTGCTCACTTCTTGCTCAGCTTGAGAGGTCGTTAGCCGGCCGAACCGAGCTGAAACTGAATAGAAAGTCAGTTTTCTTCTTTTGCAAGAGGGCCAGCCGGGTGCTTGCCCCGTTTGGTGGCAAAGGAAAGCTCGATGGAAGGGAGCACACATGGGCAGCCATGAGGCTCGAAGGATAGCAGCTGGCGAGGATGTTCTCCCGGTCTGCCACCATCATGAGGATGAAGCTCTCAAATGCTTATTGATTGTCAACGAGTCAAAAAAAAAGCCGAATGCAGATACTGATAGTCTTAGGAGGTAACTATATTCAATACATTGGCTGTCTGATATACATGGATTTCTTCGAGTCGTCTCTACATAAGCTACACCAAAACGAGGCAGGCAGGCAGGCACCCTTTCCCACCAAACCCAGGAACATTCCATACATGAAAAGAAACGTCTCGTCAAACGAAACATGCCAAGCTGCAGTCAAGTGATCTGATATCATGCCTCTGGCCGAGCGACAGATCGGGTAGTAAGGCAGGCCAACTGCACGTCTCCAGGGGCCTACCGTACTTATAAACAAACGGGGCGAGCGAGTTGGCGGGTGGTTCGTTCACTCCTCGGCATCAGCCATCTCGACGTCGCCGTCCTTGGATTTCTTCTTCTTCTCTTTTCTCTTCTTCTTCTTTTCCTGCGCCTCGCCGCCTTCTCCCGCTTCTTCTTCCGCCTTCTTCTTCTTCTCCTTCTTTTCCTTTTTTGCCTTCTTGTCCTTCTTATCCTTCTTCTCTTTTCGGACGGCGGCAGCTTCGTCGTTGCCGTTGCCGTTTCCGTTTACGTCTTCCGCAACTTCATCCGTCTTTTCGTCCTTTTGCTCAGCATCCTCCTCCGCCTCCTCCTCCTTTGCCGTCTTTTTCTCGCCGTTGGCCTTGACTTCGCCCTTGTTCTTGGGCGCAGCCGCAGCCGGCGCCTTGATTTCGTCAAGCTCCTTCATCCAGTTCTTCCAGTCAAAGCGCCGCGTCTTCCACATGTCTCCCTTCCACGTCCGCCAGACGCTCCGCCCCATCCACGACTCTCTCAGCTGGGGCTCGTGCGACGCGAGGGCGGTCATGACCTTGTCCTTGATGTGCTGGGGTATGCTCCAGTCCTTGCCCTTGCTGGGGATCTCGGCGATGGCGTTGATGAGGTTGTGGCCGTACTGGGATGTTGCCAGGTCGGCTATGTGTGGCATCAGCGTGTTGACGAGGCCCTTTTGGAAGACGGAGTTGGAAGACGGCGTGGCGATGGCGGTGGTGAGGACGGTGACGGTGGGCAGCGAGGTGTTGGCGAGGCGGAGGACGAGGTCGGATGGCAAGGCGAGGATGGATTCGTGGACGGCCTTGGATGGGCCGGGGATGGATAGGAGAGTGGTCAACAGCTTGGCGCCGTGAGACTGGACGGCGTATTGGTTCTTGGTCACCTGCTGTACATCCTTCTTCTTTTTCTGCTCTTCCTCTTCGCTGGCAGATAAAGAGCACAATGTCATGACTAGGTCGGCGGGTTGACTGCCGCAGCCCTCTTTCAGGCCCTTCATTAACTTCTTGATTTCGTCATTGATGTTTCGGGCCGCGCATCGCTCGAAGAGGGTCGACAGGACGTTGTATCTTGCTTTGGAGACCAGCTGTGGGACGGTCGGCGCAATCTGATCGACGGCCTTGGCGAGATCATCTTTGCCGAGCCGCTGCAGTACCCGGATGGCCGGGTAGCAGGAGATGTCGTTGCGGACGTAGCCCTGTATCCTAGGAAGGAAAATGTTTTGGTTGAGCGCCTTGAAGATCTTTCCCGGCGCGTGAGTGACGAGGGTCTCGATGAGCCGGGAGCCGATTTGGTCGTAGATCATGCCGTTGACGAACTCGGAGGCCGCAGAAGAGCCATCAGATAGAGATTTAGGGGCTCCAGGGAGCAGCTTCTGGAGCAGAGAAGGCGAGGCATCGCCAGCGTTCCCATCCTCGCCTTTGGCCTTGGCCTCACCCTTGTTGAGCGTCAGGTCCAGCTCCAAGATGAGCTGCAGGATCGGGTTGCCAATGGGGTGCTTGGCCAGGACCTGAATCGCCGTGGCGTCCATCCCTTCCACCGAATCCCGCATAATCTTGTTGGCCGCCATGATGAAGGATGCCGGCACAGCTCGCTTGCCGCGGTTTTGCGCATCCGCCTCTGTTGACCCAACCACTGTAATCTTCTCTTTCCTCTTGCTCTTGAGCAGCGTCCGCGATGATTGTTCTTCCAGGGGCATCCCGGACAAGACGAGCAACAGGACCCGCAGCGTGTGTGAGGCGAAGCGGTCGGTGATGAGGTACCCCAGGCTGCCCTCGAGCTCGTCCAGCGTGGCCAGGAACAGGTGCTCCATGGACGCCTCCGGCTGCTGCTCCTCGACGTCGGCGCCCTTGGTGTCCATGACGAAGCCGGTAAAGCCGGCGAGCTCCTGCGTGACGACGCCGGCGGACCGGAGGAAGAGGGCTTCGCAGCAGTGGCTGGCGAAGCGGTGCTGCACCAGCGACAGGAAGTGGCCGCCAAAGGCCTCGAACAGCTGCTTCTTCTGCGAGGTGCTGGCGAGCTGGATCAGGCGCTCCATGAGCCGCGAGCAGGACTGGCTGCTGGCGATCTTGAGCTCCTTGCCCCTGGCCTCGCGGTAGACGCTCTGCAGGAACATGTCGCGGTCCTCGGGGGTCGGGAACTGGTTCAGCTCGAGCATCTCGTCGGCTCGTCGGAAGTACTCCTGCTCGTCGTCGGCCAGCATGCCGAAGAACTCGCGTTCGCCGGGACCACCACCGCCCTGGTGATGCGAGGATCCGTAGTCCTCCTCCTCGCCATTTGCGTTGTGGTAGTGAGTGCTGTAGTCGTTGGTGTTGTTGTAGTCGCCTTCGTCATCGTCTCGGCGCTGGCGCTTGTGTTCGTGGGCGTTGGGATTGGCAGTTTCGGAATGTTTGCGCTTGCGCTCCTCGCGCACGGCGCCTCGTTTTGTTCGCGGCTTGGGCATTGTGGTTGCAGGGCGATTTCGGCAAAGAATTGTGTGGGGAAATCGACAGAGAAAGAGAAAGACGGGGGGGGGGAGCTTGAGATGAAGTTTTGGAACTTTTTTTTTTCTTGGACGGAAGATTGTCGTTGATAAGATCTTATCGCAGCTAGCGCAATTGACAGGGGTCACATATGCAGCGGAGTGGAGAGCTGGGGTGCGCTTCGACAGAATGCGGTGGTGAAGCATCAGTAGAACATTGATCTCTTGAGAAACCGACTGGGAGAGCGGGTTCTAGAAATCGCACGATGAGCCTGTAAAATTTGATGGAAGAAGATAGATATATGCATGCTGACATGTATACTGCAAGGCAGGGAGTGGCTAGTATTCGACACCTTAACTTGACTAGGTACCCAAGTACCGTACAGCATACATACATATCGCGAGGTTCGTATAGAGCAAGTGTTCATAAATATCCTGTAAAAGTCTATGCCAAAATTCCTACAAGGTTCGATAAGTAGTAGTATATGCGTTTTAAATGCCAATAAACCATGAAACGTAAAACTCTATCCAACAACCACCTTCTTCAACTTCAGTGGAATGCCCGGTCCGTCTTCAGAGGGGAATTGCCTGGCTCAGCTCGTTCATGGCCTTGACGAGACCCTCCACCGTTCCCTCCAGCGTCTGCAGATTGACCACGACACGCAAGAAGCTGCCGTGGTCGCCGGGGGCGTAATCGACCATGAACCCTCTCCCAATGAGCGCCTGGGCAATCTGCTGCGTTCTGAGCGTGTTCACCTTCCTGTCAGAAGGCAACTTGCCTCCAGGGGCCGAGTAGAAGCAGACCTGGAGACAGGGAGGCGGGTTCGTCGAGACCATGACATAGTCGCCGGCTTCGTCCAGGAGCTTGTATAGGTAGCTGGCCATGTCAAAAGCGTGGTCGATTTGCCGCTCGAAACCCTTGGCGCCGTAATAGACCCAAGCCAGGGCAATCTTGAGGGCGTCTCCTCGTCGGCCACACTGCAGCGTCAGGTCCGCCAGATCCCAAATCTCCTCGTCGCCGCCGCCGTGGAAGAGGTACCCCGCCGAAGTGCTGTTTGCGCGCTGGAAGATGCGCACGTCCGGGCCCAGCAGCAGGGAGCACGTGCAGGGGGCGTTGAGCATCTTGTGCGGGTTCACCGTCAGCGAGTCGGCCAGGTGCGAGCCCTTCATCTTCCAGGCCTGCGCCTTGGAGAAGATGACGCTGCCGCCCCAGCTGGCGTCGATGTGCATCCACAGGCCAAACTCCTTGCAGATCTTGCCAATCTCCTCAAACGGGTCAAAGGAGCCCTTGACCGTGGTGCCGGCCGTCGTGTTGACGTACAAGGGCGTCTTGCCCTGCTTCTTGGCGAGCAGGACGAGCTCTCGGAGGGCTTGCGGCCTCATCCGGCCCTCGCCGTCGACGGGGACCGCCCACACGGCGGACGAGCCCATGCCGGCCGTCATGGCGGCCTTTTCCACCGAATAGTGGCCGTGTGCGCTTGTGAAGACGACAAAGTCATGCTTGCCGTTGCCTCCGGTCTTGCTTTGCGGGTACAGCGTGTTGCGGGCTACGATGAGAGATGTGAGGTTGGATCCGCTGCCTCCGGGACATGAGACGCCGCCGGCAAATTGCCCATCAAAGTTGAAGAGATTGGCAAATGCCCTGGTGGTTGTCTTTTCGATGACGGTCAAAGCCGGCGAGACGCTGTATACGTGCAGCTTGAGAAGGAGTTGGTCGATTAGGACAGGCAGTGCATGAGTCAGAGATACGACTTACATTGGTGTTGAGAACAGACAATAAGAGATCGGCGATAACTCCCACCTGAAAGTGTCCATCAGCGTCGGGTCCATACGGTAGGCAACTGATGTAAAAAAAGACACTTACTGGAGTATTACTCGCGTAGAGTTTGTCCAGAAACCCTTGGTCCCAGGTATTCACGCTGTACTTGAGCAGCCTCTCGATGGTTTGCAAGAGGCCATCTTTACCCAGCCCTTCCTCCGGCAGAAGGAACTTTAGCCTGGCGACCAGATCCGACGGCTTTCTTGAGTCAATCAGGACGTTGTGAGGCTCTCCGTTGGCATTCACGCCCAGATTCCCCGTGACCTTGTCGGCCGCGGCATCGTCGGCAGCCTTGATGAAGGGAATGATGAGCTGCTGAACAGACTCTAGGAGCTATAAAGTAGCGAAATTAGTTCTCCAGCCAAAAAGCAAAGGGGACCGAAAACGGTCAGGATTGATGGATCGTACATCGGCAGTCTCCACAGCCCTGTTCAGCTGGAGTTGAGGCTCGCCGTTGCTGGTGAGGCCGTTGCCTGTGGCAGTCATGGCAGGGGACTTTTTATTTTACTTTCGGAAGCAAAGAAGAACAAAAGCGGTTGGCCTTGTTGTCGAGAGAGTAGGAGGGATAATAGAAAAAAAAATCCAAAGGAGAATCAGACACTAAAAGAGCCACCGTCTCTTTATTTACTAATTCGCTCAGCCTCGACTTGCGAAGAGGCGGCGAGGATGACAGAATCTACCAGGTAAAAGGCAGCACGGGAGCAGCGACATTCAATGCTAATACTGAGCCAGCCTGACGCGAACCAACGAAGCCGACGAGGCAATCCAAGGCAGATGCACTGCAGATGGAGGAACAATTCACTCGAATCAACATCATTCTTCCTATCCAGAACAAAGGTATGGTAAATACCCAGTCAACCGAGCCTTTGCCGCATCGACAACCCATCATTAGTGACTTGAGCCACCCTGGACCTCTTCTTCCCAATTGCGCCATTGAGCTGTCCTCTGTCGTTTTCCCATACCTCGGCCTGTCGGGAAATTTTTCTTTCGTCGCGACGTGGATGAGTTGGCACTTGGCGGCTAAAGATGCGTGCTAGGCTCTGGCTCAATGCCGCTCAGAGTTGAGGCGACATTCCGGATCTCATTGAATCTTTTGCTTACCTACCTTACCTATGGTGGGTCGCTGATGGGGGTGACGATGGCTTCATCATCATTGGCAATGACAGCCTCGTCTTATAAGATGGATGCATTTGGTACAAGGCCGTCATGCTGGGCCATGCCAAACGACATTCACATGCGAGTAAGACGATCATGGCAAGTCTTTCCAGCCACTCACGAGATCCCAGTGAGACAAGACATGACGAGTGTGCGAAACAGGCGACCAGTGATATCGTGGCTCGACGCCCAAAAGAGAAACGCATCTGATTGATAGCGCAAGCCTTGAGAATCGCACTTGTTACATATCCATACAAACCTTGGTACTACTGGTATTGACTCCGTCCTGGCCAAGAGCAGGCTGCATCGCGCTATAGATGCAGTATTGATTCCATGAGCATCCCAAGTAGGTATTCTATGCATCAGCCCGGCGTTGCAACGACACGGAGGTTCCCGACCAGCCTTGCTGATCTTGCATCAATAAACGACCAACAGCACGATACAGTCGCATCGCTCATCACGGCTGCCGGACTCATAGAAGATGATGACGACTTGGTGCCATGTTCCATGCCCAGTCTCAAAGGCGGCTGTCAACTTAATACCTCCACGCAGTGAATTGGACAAAGTTCCTTTCAGCCGTCACAGGGCTGTTTGATGCGCACTCATCCGGGCGCACGCTCGGTAGTGAAGGCGGTACTCGTGTCCATAGGGCCAGTCCTGGGGCGTCAGGGCGTAAATGGTTTCGTCTCAGACGGGACGGCAGAGAACTGGAAGGCATCTCAACGGCTTATCTGGATCAAGCGGCATTGCATCCCAGCCCCAACAACTTGACACATGCCGGTGTCGGTGTATCCCGCGTCGAGGTAGGGCGTTAGCGAAAGTAGAGTGAACCGTTGCCGTGGCGCACAGGCAGCATCTGCAAGACCATCTGTTCTTTGGCGAGATTGATCATGCCCGAGTAACGCAAGGGAAGCACAGCACGGGTTTGAGTTGACTGTAGCAGCGTTGCAGGGTAGGGAGTCATGAGCATTGGCATGTGACGGTGATCTTGATCTTGTATTCATCATGCAACAAAGGCTCAAAGAAATCGTTGTCTGTGTTCCTGCTAACGCGAGGGGTAATGTCTATGTCGTCGGCTACAGCCATCGGAGTTTTGCCTGACTCGGACTCGGATGCTTCGTTTCTTGTATCCACGATGGGTTCATGCATGATGGGCCTCAAGCAGGTGTCAACGTCAAAAAGGTTGTTCTACCAATTACATTGCTTACCACGGATATACTATCCATGTCATCCATATCCTTTTGGCCCCTTGAATACGAGGGATACAGCATAGTTACTATGTTTATCTATCTCCCGGGTCGCCGGAAAAAGACAGACATGGTTCGCATTGGCTACCAAGATTGCGAGCCTCGAGATTCTGATACTGCCAAGGTGATGCGGCATCTGGCCGATTGATGCAGAAGCTCCAGCGTCCAGGGACGCCCATGACTTGCAGCTCCCCTGGAGGGGCTCCACACAGAACCAACGGCCGTGATTAAACGTCAAATGACAGGCGTCGATGGAATGCAACTGCTGGTGCCAGTGATGGAGGCACCTGTATGCAGGCAGGGATGCCGCTATCACAGCCTCAAATGGCTGACTGCTACTCATCAGTACGTCTACACAGTCACAGAGTCAAAGGAACAAATAATGAGAAACCAGGCAGCGAAGAGCAAAGAGCAAGCAACTTACGAGTACAATATAGGTTGATTATTCTGCAATGACACCTGTCACGATGCAGTCGCACTCCGTAGGTACTCTATCAAACTGTCTCCCTGCAAGTAACCCATCAATCACCACGCAGCTACAGGACTCACACGCAAAAAAGCATCAACCACCACCAACCAACGAATCCCATCCAATCCCACCCCCCATCCCGGAGCATTTCCAATCAATCAATCAAACCCGCCCACCAGCCTCAACATCCCCCTACAGGCTTCATCCTCGTCCCATCAAGCTAAGCTTCAGTTGCAACGGGACAAATTGGCGGGGACCTGCCCCGAGCGTCTTCTCGCCTAGCAGCTCCGAACCCTTGTCGGTGTCGGCGACGAGCGAAATTGCCCGCGATGCACGACGCCAGAGTCGGATTGATGCCCAGCTGCTGCTGAAAAGCCGTCTGGCGGCTCTTGACGACGACGGAGTCAACAGATGTCAAATGCCACCTGCAGCGTAAACCCCTGGCCCGTGTGTCCTCTCCGCTCTTCACGAGCGCTCAGGCTGCATCTGCATTTCTCTTTTCGGTCTGTTTCCGTTGTACAGAGGAGGGCGAGCTGATGACTGTTCAAGTTGAAAGCTTTTGCTTGTGTGTGCTCTCCTCAGCTGGTCTCTCGTCCCCCTTTAGATCGAAGGCTGTCAGAACAAACCCCCCTAAAACTATGCCCTGCTTCCGTCCATCTACCTCTTGTCTCTCTCTGCGGCATCATACAGCTCCTCCCTCAAGCCTCTTGAAATCTCCAGCTGGCATCGTGCCCTACCAAAGCCCCCAAAATCCCACCCAACCCGTCCCGTCCAATATCAGAATCCTGCCACGAGCATCCCCTGATCCCGGCCCTTGGCTTCGCTTGCCCCGGACCCCTTGACGCTCCTTGTCCTCTCTGGGCCATGCAAAATTTCGCCTCCACAGGCCCGCCAGCTCTCATGAATCCCTGCATTGTGCCTTTTTTCCCTCTTCTTCTGCCTATCTTTGCCGCTGCCTTTTACCAAGTACTACTCGTACGGAGGTACCAGCGGCTGAGAAAGGCCTCTTCTCCCTCCCTCTGTCAAGAGTGTTAGCCCAACATATCCAGGATTAGATAGTGCTAGCAGTAGTAGGTACTACCTATCTGCCGGTGAGTGGATTCGCAAAGGGATCCCCGAGCCCCAGATTTCCAGGCCCATTCATCAAAGCTGCAGCAGTAGCTTGCCAATAATAACGACGATTTCAACCTGCAGCTGGGCGGTTGGTGCTAGTAGTAGTAATCTGTGAAGTGTGTGTGTTGCTCACGATCCAGAACGCGGGTCCCTGAGCCTTGTGGTGGTACTCGTTCGAAAGGTACAGCCGTCTTTTTCTCGTGTTGGCGTTGAAAATCCCATCTTTTTCTTTCCTTTTTTCCTTGCTTTTCTTCTTCTTTCCTTTTTTTAACACTCTTCCCCTCTTTACAATTGTGCCTTGAACTAATTCTCGTTTGCCCTGTTCGTTTCCTACTTTCACTTCTCTGCCAGTCTCTTCTTTTCCCCGTGCTCTTGTTCCTTCAGCGAGCGAGTCGACGTGAACTGCCGAGCTTGATAAGCGGAACAAACTTCGTACCTTGCATACACCACCACTCCTTTGCAACATACTACCTTATTCGGGGCTTCTGCTTCTCTGCCCGCTTGAACCGACGAACCCTGTCCTTCGACAGACATCTTGAACATCATCGATCGTCCTCTGCCGTCTTCGCTCTCTCCAACCCTTTGCTGCCTGCAAATCGTATCTCTCCCGTCCGGGTAGCACAAAAGCCCAGCCCTCTCTCGTCTCCCTCTCTCCTCCATCCCGGCGCAACAACACAAACAGCAAACACACACACACACACACACACACACACACACACAAACACAAACATCCAAAACCTACGCCATGGCATCATCACAGACGCAGGCCCCCGTGCCCATCTCCATCACCATCTGCGGCGACGGCGGCTGCGGCAAGTCGTCCATCACGCTGCGCCTCGTGCGCTCCGCCTGGACGTCCGACTACGACCCGACCATCGAGGACAACTACAGCGTCACGCGCGTCATCGACGGCGTCACGTACCACCTCTGCCTGACGGACACGGCGGGCCAGGAGGAGTACCGCGGCATGTGGGCGTCGTCCAACCTCGGCGCCGACGCCTTCCTCATGGTCTACGACATCACGTCGCGCGACTCGCTCGACGCCCTGCAGCACTTTGACGAGCTCATCGACATGGAGGCCGAGGTGCGCCTGGACAACGCCGAGCGCGCCCGCGCCGCCGGCATCTCCCCGGCCTACACCGGCTCCGGCGCCGGCGCCAGCACCGTCCCGCCCGTCAAGATCGTCGCCGGCAACAAGTGCGACCTGCAGGAGAGCCGCGCCGTGCCCGCCGCCCAGGGGCTCGACTGGGCCCGCCGCCACGGCGCCGGCTTCATGGAGACGAGCGCCCGCCTCGAGGTCAACATCGAGGAGACGTTTGCCCTCATCGTCAAGCGCGTCGTCGAGCGCCGCCGCCTCGCCGAGGAGGGCGTCCTCGACAACACCGAGATGAGCGCCCGCGGCATGACCAAGCCCCTCACACCATTGCCCGGCGGCGAAGACGACGAGAAGCGCGGGCCGGGCGTCCGAGGACCCATGATCAACGGGGACAAGGTCGGCCGCGGGCAGGGCGGCTTCTGGAAGAAGCTGCGGTGTTGGTGACGACAAGACGAATTGCTGGGATTGTGTCGACACGAGTTCGCAGGGAGAAGAGTGCCAAAGACGGGACCAAAGCCTTTCATTTTCCCAATTCAGACATTTCCTCCCTTTTTTCGTTCTTCACATGTTTGTTTCCACTGCTTGTCGATCAATTGGGGGCATATCTTTTCTTATGTTATTTGTTATTTTTTTTTCCGTGTTTCTCATTTCGGTCCTTGTTCACAGATACCACATGGATACATACGTATGGCGGGCGTCAGGGTTGAGAATATGATATTCGGGCCAAAAAGCATCGTTAGTCGGAGGGACAAGCAGGTCTGTTATTTTCCTTTTTATTTTATTTTTTATCTTTGTGTTATTAACAGCGTCATGTATAAAAAGAGTCATGTATATCTTGCAGCATAACTGCTTCCCCGCAGGCCTACTCTAACCTAATCTCTCAAAAGCAACGTTCCGACTTGCTTTCTCTCATATTACAAGCTTCGGATTTTGAATGAATCACTTGGTCACTTGGACCTTGGTAGTGCAGATGAATAGTTGAAGTCTTTTGAGAAAGAAACTAAATCCGAGCTGAGAAATCCTTCCCTCCACTCTGCCTGCACGACACACGTCTATAAGCGCCGCAAGGTTTGCTGTATATCGTTCATTACCGTCCCTGATAGTTTCCCAAAGTATTACCCATGCCCATATACGCCCAAAAAAAAACATAGAATCCGTGTTCTCTTGTCTATAAGAACCCGCTCGGCCGAGCCGCATCACCGCAGACAAAAGACCATCCATTACTGCTTGCTGTCGACCCAATCCCTCCACTTCTTGTACTCGGGATAGTTGAGACTGACTTTCTTGCCTTGATACCGCGTCAACTTGATGTCCAGGTCCTGCCACTTGGAGCGGCTGCCCATCCACCCGGCCTTGCGAATCAAGCTGAAGAGCGTCTCATCCTTTGTCCACCCTTGCTCCAGCGCCACGTCGGGGAGATACGTCGCGCCGTAGCGCCGACCGCGATCGGAGAAGGAGATGCGGATGCCGTGGGTGCCAATCTCCCAGTCGTGCACGTCCTTGGCCTCCTCAAAGTCCGTGAGCAGCGTCACGGCGGCCTGGAGCGTCGGGAGCTCGCGCTTGGAGATGGGGCGGAACCGCGTGTCTTGCAGGGCCGAGATGAGGGCGTATTCGGGGATGCCCTCGGCCAGCGGCTGGGACTCAAAGGTGCCGATGCAGCCGCGCAGGGAGACGTCGCCGTCGGCGGGGTCGACGGTGTTCCATGTGACGAAGAGGGGGGCCGCAGTTGGCGGGGCGCCGGGCAGGGAGGACGTGGACGTTGCTGGCGTAGAGGCCGCGGCGGCTGACAGCGACGTCGAGGAGGAAGACGTCGAAGAAGATGACGAGGCGGTTTCGGCGGCGAGACGCCGCAGAGCGGGATTCAAGGGAGCGTCAGAGGGGCCGGACGCGGGGGCTGAAGCGGAGCTGCTGGCCTTGTATTCGGCCCACGAGGACTGGATCTCTTCAAGGGAGAGCGGCTTTCGGTTGTTGAGCTCGGCGTCGAGAGCCTCGAAACACGCGATGCAATGCTCGACGGTTGCCATCTTGGAGGGAGAGAGGGGAGTACTTGCAGCGGAGAAACACGGAACGAGAAGACGAAGCGAAGCACGAGAGGAGAAGGAAGTATGTTGTCACGGAGGAAACCAGAAGACGGCGAGAGGCAGAAAGGTTTTTGTTCTTTTTTCGGTCTTTCAACGCCACTTGAGCGACTAGAGAGGAGAATCAGAAGCACGGGATCTAGGAAAAGTTTGCAAAAGGGCAAAGTTCTCACTGGACGGCGAGAACGAGAGGGAAGGAGGAGGAAGAGGAGCGGAAGCACATGCAAAGAAGATGGACATCCGTTGAATCATGCATGGCTCCTCTTCCCGAGTCCAGCGCCCCCACCTGTGACTGGAGGTACCGGATGACCCCGCGATTGATGCGGTTTTTGCTGGGCTCGACTGGTGGCTGGGAGAAGGCTGAAAAAGGATGAGGGAATCGAAAAGAATACGCTCCCGGGTCCATTGATGACGAGATTGATCCTGATGGGTCAGCCACGGTGGCGCAGGAGGTGGGAGTGTGGCGATGCTGAGTTTTCTTTCCTTTTGCAAGTGGATGATGTAATCAGCTTGACGGCTTTGATTTGCGGGGAGACAGATTGGTCCGTCGGATCGTTTCTGTTTCGCCTGGCGTTTCAACTGGCGTTCATCAGACATTGGTGATGCTGGGATCTTTCGGTTTGCTGCTGGAGTTATTTCTTACATGTTCTTTCTTGGAATGTGCTTGCTGCTTTGATACTTATTTGAGTTCTTCTTATCTTGATTTGATAAGGTCGTACAGCAATGCGTTTTTGACAAGGGCCAGCAAAAGAGTTCAGTGGGAAGAACCCCTACATCCCCCAGCTTAGAGCTTAGACCTGTTGTTCATCTCTCAAGCTACTCCGTACAGTGACATACGAGTTACGGCTTGTCAAAACTTCTTTTGAGCTCTGAAAATCCCATGTCTTTTGTTTATACAGAAATTATCTCTCAATTATCAATTACGGTATCACCCCGTTGACGAATTCATCTGCTGCGACTTACACCAAACCCAAGCAGCCCCTCCATCTCCATGTCATCCCTCAGCCCCCAAATCCCAAAACCACACACTTTCAATCTCGAGCTTCACTCTGTTTCCCAATTCACCACCCTTTCTTCACCATACCACACAGCCATACGCGCCGTCCAAAACAACCTCCATGTCATTATTTCATCTTTTGCAGCGCCAAACGGTACTTGAGTCTTCTATTTAAGCTGCTCTGCCCCAGGGCGAAGGGAGGGAGGCTTCTGAAGCACGCCTGCGTTTCAGGTCCGGCTGGCCCCCCCTTTCTCCGTGACCGTCTCCCGATCGAAACGAAACCGGAACCGCCATGAATCATCTTTTATGCCTTTTCCAGCAACTGGATTCACATAAATCGTAGTACATGTAATATTTGTAGCATTCAATTCGGGAAAGGCGGTCTTGTTCTGTCTCTCCTTTCCCCCACGCTGCCGCCGCTCGGAGGCGCTAAATTGCTTGTTCGAGGCTCTCTTTCCGTGCTTCATCAGTTTCGGCTTGCGTTATTCAAGGAAAAAGGGTCAAGGGTCCAATGGATAGCAAGGATGGGAACCGCTTGTCTTCGTTCTCAGTACCCCGGGATGCCTGCCATTGTTGTTTCGGGGCTTCAACTCGCCGTGTTTGAGATCCGCTCCCGACTTGCCGATAGTAACAAGGAGAAACGTGTAGTGTGTTTGACATCGTTGACGAATTGATGTAGTTCCAAAGGCCAGACGGGCGGCTCGCCGTACGTACATATAAACGGCTTGGCTCTTCTCTGTTTCCTGGCTTCTTCTTTCTTTCTTTTCCTTTCTTCATTCCTTTCAAGCATCCTTCACTCACTCTTCGTGTTTTCCATTTTTTTTTTTGGTTCTATCTTCTTGACTCTTGTCGCCGGTCGACTTTTCATCATCAATCGCTTCATTTTTCTTCACTCGATCTCTTCTTTCTTCGCCCTCTTTCCAAAAAGCAATATATATCCACATCATTTAAGATGCAGTTCTCCATCATGACCGTTCTCGCCCTGGCTGCTGCTGCCATCGCCATGCCCACCGGTACGTCCCCCCGCCTCAACAACAACAACACCAACCCCAAACTCCTTTCCACGAAAAAAAAAAAAAAAAACCACACACATTCTCCGTAACATCACGAGCCCAAACCCCCTGATGCTAATTCAAACTGTTCCCACAGCCAACGTGAAGCAAAACACAATTGCCAAGCGCCAGATCGTCAGCGACGCCATCCCCGCCAACGCCGCGGCCATGACAGACGCCAGCGGCAACGTGAAGCCCTTCGTCTCCAAGGACGTCTACGTCCACCCTGCCAACTAAACGGGGCCCTTTTCACGTTCGCCTTCATTTTTCTACAAGCAGCAGCAAAAAACTTTCAATATACGAGGACGATTTTTTGGGGAATGGGGAAATATAATCGCTTTTTTTTAAATATCAAGAGGAGGGAAGAAAAAGAGAGAAGGGGAAGGAGGAATGTGTGCAAGGAGAGCCAACATTGTATGGAACACACTGGAGGGGGGAGTGAATTTAGTTTATTCGCAGGATGTGATTCTTTCAATATAGCGGCGCATCTCGCAAGGGGTGCGTTGTTTCTTCTTTACTTCCGTGCCTTCGCTCGCGTATCTAATGCTTCGTACTTGATCGGACAACTGTTGTGAAATCTCTGTGATTGAAAGACAAATTGTATACTGTAAAATAGGGTACGGATAACAAGACGCCCGAAGTCTAAGACCACCTTAAGGAGAGCTTCCATGCCTGTCCAACCTTCTCGTGCCTAGGAGGAAACAAGCAGCGAGAGCCGCAGCGAGTTCCACCATCATCGATTTAAGAATAGCATTTAGTGATTACTATCGTCGATCCAGCGGGCATAAAGCACCGACATAATGCACCGAAATACTACATAACCTGGAGCGCCTCCAGTAGGTGCCAGCCCAGCGGCAATGTGCTGTGTGGCTGAGCGCCCTAAGCGCGGAGAAGCGCATCAATTTTCAAACTTGGTTCTTCGGTATGCGCTACCTTACTCAATGGAGCAGGTGATAGGATGTGTAGTAGTAGTAGTATGTATTGTAGGGCAGCATCTCAGGAACAGAACTGGTTCGTGGCAAGGCCCGCCCACCTGGCAAACAGCTTAATGTATCAAGTGTGGCGTGTTGTATTCAAACGAGCTTAAACCAACAAGGTTCTGCGGAGAATATTTGCGATCAGATGCATGTCGGTAGAGGCTACCAACACCGCCTCTCGATCCTGGGGAGGGGAGCCCTTTGTCAGTGCCTCCTGAGGGTTTTTCCAATCCTGAGCAGTGCCTACAGGATATCCCAAGAGGGAATCCTACGTGGCAATGTTGATGCTGTTTGCAGGTCGGCAAAGGCAGCGTCGCATACTTCACATGCACCCTTCTCTCACTGTTGTCGATATCGTGAGGGCCATGACAGAGCACATACGTCCTGCTCACAACGATGCACCCCATTCTCATCTACCAAGCGTTATTAGCTAGTACTTTCGTTCACGGACGAAGTAGATGTGTGGCATTCGTGCTAGTACCTTCGTTCACGGACGAAGTATTTTACGGACGAAGCAGTTGTACGTGCCTGGACTCGTACGAGTACGTGTGAGAAACTAAAGGCCCAAGCATGAGCCCTTCCACCGCTTCTCTGGAAATCCCCTCGCCAATCAAGACTCAACCATGAGCTGAGCACGACTCCACATTGGGTGCCCAAAATAGTACCTACAACCCTACCGTCATTGTCAGCCTGGGATGCCGGAGCCCAGGTGGCGGGTTCGATCTGGCGAGCTCGGCTCCGCTGCGACCTTGCGAGAAGCGCATCTTAAATGCTGACATACATGGGGGTCCTTTGGTTTGGATCCAGCAGCAGCAAGACAAATTCGACGGTTGGGACCGGATGAGGAAGATCGTTTCCGCACTCAGGTCAACGGTCATTAGGCAAAAATAGAATCTCACCAGGCGTGTTCCTTCTGCGAATGGGCAGCATCGAGATTTGAGCAGAGGTTTCATCGTACGGAATGGTTGAGCAACTGGAGGAAGAGGAAGAGGGAGAGGCTCGCGCTTACGCCTACCCAACAATGGCATCAAGTCCTCTCAAAGTCCGCTAAAGAAATTCTCAACAGGAGCCCACTAGGCGGCCGAGCATTGGTCTGTTCGTCGTAGAATACGCTCAGGCTCCAGTTCGGGCAGCTGTTCGCCTGGTTGGCATGATCCTTTCGAGCTTGGGTTGCATGATTTTTCTCGTCGTGGCACAGGATCGTCCCTAGTGTCGCCAATAGAGAGGCAAGCTCAGCTCCTCTTCAGCCGCAACAAGCCCCCCGTCCCCCGCGCGTCTAGGTGTCCACACAATAGGCTGCTCACTCCAGAGACGAGCCCAAAGGTCCTCCCCTGGTACGTGAGATGGCGGTGCAAGTTGTCTGGTCAGTGACAGGCGGATGAGGCGCCGTCGGCGGCTCGGCTAGCCCAAGTCTAGCGTGTTCAAACAAGCGGTCTCTGGCGTTGAAGAGGGTGCGGAGTTCCACGCCATGTATGGCTTAAATGACAAGAAGCCAGGGCTGGGCCGCAGGGCAGACTCGATGAGGCTGAAGATGATTAGATGAGCGTTTAATCCATCGATGAATCAATAAATAACCCGGTGTCGGTCCGCCTGCTGCATGAGGCTTGAGGGGGGAGACCCAAAGCTGCTTACCTGCGAGCCTAAACAGCCCTACCGCACCCAGCAGACCAAACCAAACCTTTCAACACCTGGGCATGCAATCGATCCTAGAGCCTTGAAAGACAGCAGCTGGCCTCGGACCTTGTTCTGCTTTGCTGCGCTCGCCAACCATAGGCCAGAGAGCGTTCCATATATCCGTTCGGAGCTCAACTGCACGTCCAATCATGGGCAGCCACAGAGCGCAAGCACAGTTTGAGCGTGCAAAATGGCGACTGCTGCTTCTTTCCCCAGCCTGGTCGGTGCAGCTGACGTTGGCGTTTGGGATGTTGGGGCTCTTTTCGTGGAGACTTGGTGATACGATCCATCACTTTGATGCCAGAGACAAGGCCGGTAAAACTCCTGTCATCGAATATGTGTAAGTCTTAGCCCCCGCCTGCTTGGGAGCTGGACCAGTCGAGCAGGAACACTGATGATTCGAAGCTGGGAGGCGACAAATATAGCACTGTCATCCGTCGTGGCATTTTGCACCATCTTCGAGATTGCCAGATACTTTGCTGAGTCGTTGACGCCATGGACCATGCTGTTCAGCCATGTTGTCAAGCTGGCATGCGCATGCGCCATCCTCGCCCTGGATGTGGTCATATATGTGCAACGAAGCGATTCCCACTATTCTCTCATAGGCCTTGGCATGGATGCTCTGTTGATGTAGGTGGCTTGTCTCGTGCAGTGAGGGTGTGGCGGGTTCGCAAAGCTAACAGATGCACAGGGTCGTCGCCGTCTCGCTCGCCATCTATGCCATCATCGTATATCGCCGGCTGTCCAAGTATGACGACTATGCTCGTCCCGTCAACGTCAAACCCTATGGCTTCAATGATGAGCTGGAGACTGATACGCCATACTCTTCGTACTCGAGCCGAACGTCAATGCTAAAGTCCACGGGGAAACGAAGTTCACTCGGATCAGAGCGCCTTAGCGTTGGATCGAACAAGAGTGCATCCGTGGTGGTGCAGCCAGCAGAGCAGAGGGCGAGAAGCTACAGCCATGAGAGAGACACGCAGTTTGACGAATACGTGGTTCGCAAGACGTCAGTCAAGTACAAGCCGGACTCTGCTGGGCCCAAGTCTCCCCCTCTCGGCCCTCTGGGGGATTCGTTGACCGCGATAGACATAGTCGGACATTCTCGCTCAAGAGGTTCGAGTGTGTCGCAGACCATGAGCGACCATGTCCTGGTTTCGGTGCCGGAAGAGGAGGCTGAAACGGCTGGCGCAGAAGCTGATCACAAACGGGATCGTGAAGCTCTACTGGGGCACGTTCCATACTCGTCGTGAACACAAGAACCGTCAACGAGCAACGAGAGAGCCTCGGTCCCCAGGAAGAGAGATGTTGCGGAATGTCCAGGTATCAGAACTGGCAGAGCAACGAGCTCAAAATCGAAGCAAACGCGCGCGGAGGATTGGAGGAAATGAATTATACCCGGTCAGAGAGGGCATTTTGACGCCCCTCGAAAATGGTGCTGCATATTGGTCTTTGGCGTTTTGAATAGGGTCCGTATCTGCGGAGAAGGCCAATGTTATGTATGAGTTTAGAGCAACGGGAAACATATATGATCATATAGAGAGATAAGCGGAACTGAGCCGACACTGTCGAGCACTTGTCTGGCGAGTCTGATGATGGATGAAAGAGATGTGCAGAGTTGGAAGAAGCTCCGTGTTCATATTTGTATAAATGCAGCCGAATCAACAGGGAGGCTGCCAAATGGAGATGGAAGAGCCCACTGAATCGATCTCAAGATGCACCGCCAAGTCGGTCAGTGGCTGGGCCGGGCCTCGGGTCACGTGAACGCAGGCCATGACCTCGAAAGGCTCTCAAGGGCCTGGTCGAGCTGGTACCCGCGGGCCCTCATTGGCGACGACCGACTGCGTCCTGATTCTGGCGATTTGCTCTTTGCTGGGACTGCAGTTCTGCTCGCCTCGGCAACTCGTCTGCTCAGGATTAGAGCTGGGCAATACTATATCCATAGCACCAAGTTGCTCCCACCTGCGAGGCGAGCCGCCGCCGGCAAGTTCCCACATACCCCAACCGCTAAACCACCATCCCACCTTTTCGCCCAGACCGCCTAGGCAGTTCCCAGTTCCTCGAAAACGCGCCCAACCAATTCATGTCGAGCGGCGAGTGCGGCTTCTAGCCTCCTTGTCTAGAGCTGCGCAAGGCTGACGCGTGGCCAGAGGCGCTTCCCAAACACCGTCACCATGAGTCGAACACTGCCCGTGCGGCAGGCCGAGGAGCTGTAGGTAATATGGCCACTGTTTACTTGCTGGGGCGGAGGGGCATGTGGCGTCTGATGGAATGGATGGCTTGAGGACCGGATGGACAACGAGGAGGAGGAGGACGACGAACAACACCAAATCCCCCGATCGCCAGAAGCTGTTCTCTTTTTTGCTAACCCGTGGCGCCGCGGCGGTAGGCACAAGTCCATCATAGCATATCTCGCGGCGAACAACCTGGCCAACTCCGCCACGGTGCTCAGGGAGGAGCTCGGCCTCGGGGAAGACGTATTCGATGCGGCGACGACCAAGAAGTACGAGGGTCTGCTGGAGAAGAAATGGACGAGCATCGTCCGGCTACAGAAAAAGGCATGTCCGTTGAACCTTGGCTGCCCAGCGCTTACCCGACGGCTTGTCTAACAGGCGTTTTTTGCGAACCCCCAGATCATGGACCTCGAGACTCGGAACGCGGAGCTGCAGTCCGAGGTCGACAACGCGACTCCCTCGTCGCTCTCACAGAAGAACAAGGACCCCGTCTCCTGGCTGCCGAAAGCCCCCTCACGACATACCCTCGAGTCGCACCGCGCGTCCGTCACCTGCGTCGCCTTCCACCCGCGGTTTACGTCGATAGCCTCGGGCTCCGAAGACTGCACAATCAAGGTCTGGGACTGGGAGCTCGGTGACTTGGAGCAGACCATCAAGGGACACACAAGGCCGGTTCTGGACCTCGACTACGGCGGCCCCAAGACCGGCATCCTGCTGGCCTCGTGCAGCTCCGACACGACCATCAAGCTGTGGGACCCGGCGGACGGGTACAAGAACATACGCACGCTGTCGGGCCACGAGCACAGCGTCAGTGCCGTGCGCTTCATCCCTTCTGGCGGCACCGGCTTCTTCTCCTCAGGCAACATGCTCGTCAGCGGATGCGGTGACAAGACGCTCAAGATATGGGACGCTAACACGGGGTACTGCGTCAAGACGCTCAACGGGCATGCTGGCTGGGTGCGGGACGTCTGCCCGTCCCTCGACGGGAACTATCTGCTGTCGACGGGCGGCGACCACACCGGCAGGCTGTGGGAGCTCACAGTCGCAAATCCCGAGACAAAAGTCACGCTGATAGGCCACGAGCACGTCGTCGGCTGCTGTGCTTTCGCCCCGCCTGCCGCGTACGAGCACCTGGCTGCTTTAGCCGGCCTAAAGAAGCCTCCACCGGCGAGTAGCACATCCGAGTTTATGGCGACTGGGTCACGAGACAAGACGATCAAGCTGTGGGACGCCAGAGGCAACTGCATCAAGACCCTCGTCGGCCACGACAACTGGGTCTCGGGCGTCATGTTCCACCCGGGAGGCAAGTATCTGCTCTCCGTGGCGGACGACAAGTCGCTGCGATGCTGGGACCTCAGCCAAGACGGAAAGTGCGTAAGGACGCTGTCCAACGCCCACGAGCACTTCATCACCTCGCTGCGGTGGGCTCCGGCCAAGACCAAAGATGCCCCTGCAGGCAACGGCACGGCGAACAACGAAGGCGAGGGCACACCTAGACGGGCGGCGGCCGCGTTGGACACATCAGAGATCCGCTGCGTTATTGCGACGGGTAGTGTCGACATGACAGTCAAGATATGGGCGAACTGATGAGGAGGAGGGAATATGGGCAAGAGAAAGTCGAGGAGAGAGTTATATAGTGGAGCAAGGTGAAAGGGGGTCCAAGTAGCAAGCCCATCGCGCCATGGAAACAACAAGCTCAACCCACGAACGAACCACAAAATCCACACCTACACAACATCGAGAGACAGACTTGGGGATGATGGAAGCAGGGGGGGGCACAAGTGAAGGGGAGATGGGCGGATGGACGTACCGCTCCAGATGGTGTTATATAATGGATGACTTGGCTAGCTGAGCGTGGGAACGGGGTTTATTATCTGGTGGACTAGATGGGGGGTTTAGCTGATGGGGGGTTTAGCTGTCGGGCCGTGGGAGCGGGAGAAAAGGGGGCGAAGCACAAGAGCGCGGGAGCTAAAGAAACTTACTAAACTTTATTGCATGCCATTTCGAACACACAGTATGATTGCTATCTTCTCATTGTCTGTGTTACCGATTCCACGTTAAATGTAGACTTGTCGAATGAACGAAGCCGTTGGAGCTGAGTTAACTGTACGTAGAAGATATTGCAACTTTAAGGATGCATTAAGGGGGACAGGAATAGAGGCAGCACGAAGGAGCAGCGTCAACTTCTATATTCAAGATGGGATACACGTATTATATGATCCCTACTACTCATAACCAGAATAGCCGCCCCCATAAAGGTTTACGCATTGAACAATTACTCACGCCAACCCTGCAATCCAGCTCTCAATCTTCTGCTGAATCTGGTCGCTGTTCTTCTCCATAAAAAACATGTGCCCATTGCCGTGGAATCCTGCCTTTGGAAGCTCAAGGTGAGTGGTCAGATTGCAGCCCGCCTGCAAAAGGTAGTTCACGGTGCAGTAGTCGTACGGCACATGATAGGACGACTCAGAGGTGACGAAGAGGATAGGCTTGCTGGCCAGGTTCGTCAGCTGCTTCGGCGCCGGAGAAGAGGCCTGGAGTATACAATCGGTATGGTTCGCATCAGGAGCAGGGTAGACCTGCTGCACGAGGTCCGTAGCGGGAACGTTGACAGGGGGCGTGTAGGTAAGCTTAATGTCCGCCAACCCCCAGGCACGAGCGGGAGTGGTGCTGAAGATGGCCTCTTGAAAGGGAGGGCCGGTGGGCTCCAGCAGGATGAGGGCCTTGGTGAGCTTGGGACGAGCATCGGCAATCACAATGGGCATGATGCCGCCCTGGCTGTGGCCGAGCAAGATGACGGGCTTGCCAATCTTATCCAGCAGCGCCGCGCCGGCGTTCTGGACCGTGGTCTGCTGGTAGACGGCGTTGTTGATGAATTGGACGTTGGAGCTGTAGAATGTATCAAAGATGGGGTCGCCCATGGAACCATTACCCGGCCACTGCGTGTGCAAGGCAGCCTGCGGCCACAGATTGTAGTTCTGCACAGCGGTGAACCGCTGCTCGATAATCTCAGCTGAGTAGGTCGACGGCAAGGCAGCCATGTAGGCCGGCTGCCAAGGGGATCGGGCTCGCAGCGTCTGATCCACGATGTAGATTTCATATCCCTGGTCAAGGAACAGAGAGGCCCATCCTCGGCTGCCGTCAGGCTTGTTCAAGAAGTTCTAGATCCAGGCAAAGCATCAAATTAGCGAGGTTTTTTCCCCCCTCCTATGGCGCAGAGTAGTTTAAGGGGGATTCAGGGATCGGTCTCTCAGAGCCTGTAACACGAATCGCACGCACACACACGGCATGGCCCGCATATTCCTCCTTCGGCTCGGAGCACACAAATGACGACAAGCTAGTCACAACATGGATACATGCAGCTGGAGATGAAGGCGGACGGAGAGAGCGAGAAAAAGTCAGAGCTTACAGTGCCGGTCTGGGCCTGGCCGTGGATAAAGACAATAGGCGTCGGCTGGCTGACCCCCTTGGCCGGCTGAAGCCTCTCGACATACATCTGCTCGCGCCAGATGTGGCCGCCAGCGCCGTCGTCAGCATAGCCGCCGCCCGTGTAGAAAAAGGTGCGGATAGCCGCGACCTCGGATGAAGCCGCTGACACGCTGTCGGCATAAGCCTGGCCCAGGGCGGAAGCCAAGAGGGTGGCAGTCGTGATGAAGCGCATGGTGGTTGGTCGGGTGAGCTGATTTGATGTGCCTCGGATGCTCCAGTTGGGATGAAACGGTAGATAGAACCAGGCTGTCGGTGTCTGCCGTCTGGATCGAGTGGCGTCTTTCGGTGAAGCAACCACGGGACGATGCGGGAGGCTGTGTCGAGGTACTTCGTACACGAACCGGTCAGCAGCTCGTGCACAAACGAAGCCGTAGCAGGTACTGCGTGAAGAGGTACTAAGTGCTTTGTAAACTGCAGGTTCTGTTTCACGATCGAGCGGTGCGGCTGCGAGTGATTCCACGTGGAAAGTACGAGGCGAGGCGAGGCGCGTGGCAAACCTTGGAAGCCAGGAAGGAGGGCGGCAGGAGGAGGAAAGAGGCGAGACCGTCTCGCCTAGAAGAACGCGAGGGAGGGAAGGAGAACTGCAGCATCTGCGTGGATGTGGTTATGGAGCTGGCCATTCTTTCCTTCCCTGCCAGCTCTGTCTTTTCCTGACCGGGGGCTTTTCCGGCGGCAGCAGTGCGGAACTTGAGCCGTATCTCGTCTAGAGGTTGCGCAATTGCAAGGGAAGAGCCTTCCTAGTGTTGTCAACCAGGGCGGCATTATACTCGGCTGTTGGTGGAAGATTCGGCTCCATGCCCCCGCAAAGCACGCCGGGGTTGACGGAAGCATGTAGCCGGACTCCTGAGGGAAGGTGTTTCTCAGTGTTATATCTTGTTGTTACCTAGTCTGTGGTGTTGCAGCTGGGCAAGGCAGGCAGCGCTTGCCTCGCTGCTTACCTTGCCGTTCGGATGCCTTAGGAAGTTCATAAGTGAGTCTTCTTCGCTAGAGAAAGCGACCCTCTCTTTTCCTCTTCACCACCATGAGTCCAGATTGCGCCGCGGAAACAATGTGAACAGCTCAATTTTGAGTGGCAGGGGTGGGTATTTATGACACCGACTTTGAGCGCTGTTTTCAAGCCAGCTGATGCAGGGTATAAAGTGATGGAATCGACTATCCTTGGTCAAGCTGGCGTTAGCTACATAAGAACCCTTACTGAAATAGTAGTAGCTTTCCTAGTGGGAGCACAAGTCAATACTATCTCGCACGATCATGCGAACATTACGAAGACGCATTACCCGCCGACTACGAATGGGGAATGACATCCATTGCTGTTGCGAGAAGGAGAAGATGCAACCTCCTGCTACAAGTTGCAAACAGAGGACGCAACCAAGGTCGCGAAAACAAGACCTCCGAGGGCCAAAATGCCAGCTGCAGCGTCTCACTGGCTTCCCCGAGTGCAGGCACACTGCCGCATCTTCCAGGCTCCGTGATCGATTCTCTGACACCTCAATGCATTGCCCAGGGCCGTTTCTAGCAGGTTCCTAGCGTTGAGCGGCCAACAGCACAAATCTTCAAGACCCATGGAGGCGAGCTCACATCCCGCCGCCAAAGGCTCCCGATGCTGCCTAGCTGACAGTGGGTGGTGCCAAGGCCAACCCCTATCACGGTATCCCACATGAATGCTACCCTGCTCGCCTGCTTGAAACTACACACGAGTCCATTTTACACGGGCATCCAATGATATCGAGGCTGTCTATGTGAAACATGCAGGATAAGCTGGCCATGACTTGCATCCAGGTACGCCATCATGCCGTCTTCAGAGATGCCAAAACACCATGCAGATTCTTCACTTGCTGCCTACTCCATGGGGAATGAACTTCGTCGAGATAGGGAGGAGGAAAGAAACTTTGCTCTAGCAGCGGTTGAAACCGCGCAATACCGACCCATTTACCGACGGCTACGGCCCGTCGTAACTTAGTTCAGCACTTGTTGCTGAACCCCAGTCTGCTCTAGTGTTTGAATTCGATCCGGTTCTCGCGGGGAAGCTGATGCCAGTTTCCGGGAAACACTTCTTTGGTCCTATGCTTGCAAAGTACGGGGGACACGATGCCGACATTCCGTGATGCAACCTCGTCCTCGATGAGAGTCATGCTCAGCTGCGAACGAGTATGAGGAATGGCCCCTCCAGCTGCTCCGTACAATTACGTGAGTTTCCAGGTTGAGAACATCCCCTATGTTTCCCTGCCTCGAACCTCAAAATCCCTGTCGATGCTAGTACCAAAGGGTAGCATTCTCTACAACGGCAATTTCTATTCTTATGCTCGACAGAGCCTTGCTGATCGTCGACCACTCCACTCTCTTAACCCACCGCAGCCCGGTGATCAAGTCGATGGGCTTCGTTCACTTGTATCATTTTGCTATACGTCCTTTGTCGTTTTGTCAATAGCACGCCCTTTCCTTTCCATCGCATCAACCCCCTTGATCGCTGGTCGACGAAGTAGGATGGTTTTTGCAGCATCACCGACGTAGCCATGGATTCAACACTCCTCATCCATTGGCTGTTCAGCTGTCTGGCCCTCATCATCATGGCCGTGAGGCTCTGGGGGAGGAAACACGTCCGCCAGGCCTTCAACACGGGCGACTACCTCACCATGGGCGCATGCGCCTGCGCCCTTATTCGCCTCGGCATGATCCACGTCGTCCTGACCTGGGGCACGAACAACATGACGGCCGCCCAGCGCCAGGACCATCACTTTACCCCCCGCGAGATCTATCAGCGGGAGATCGGCAGCAAGCTATCCATCGCCAATCGCGTCTTCTACAACTCTTAGTCAGTACACATATGACAGGTGGCTTAAGCGAGTGGAACAAGAGGAGCTAACATTTGCTTCGAAACGGATAGCCTTTGGTTGCAGAAGCTTGTGCTGCTGGATCTCTATCGACGGCTCATTCGCGACTTGCCGTATGAGAAGTGGCTGATCCGGGTCTATCTCTTCGTCTTCTTTGCCACGTACACGAATGTCCAGGTCTTTACTTTTAGCGAGTGCCATCCTTTCCACCTCTACTGGCAGGTTCTTCCAGACCCTGGTACGTCCAAGTCGATTTCTCCTTGAGGGTACCTAGGTACGTATAATCTAACACTCGTTATAGGTCCATGTGCGCAGGCTCAGATGCAGCTCATTGTGCTCGGCGTCCTCAACATCCTTACCGACTTTATGCTACTCATCATGCCGTTACCCGTCATCTTCAAGCTCAAAGCACCCCTGGGTCGGAAAGCCCAGCTGGTAGCCCTCTTCACACTCGGTATCTTTATCATCGCCATCACCATCATCCGCCTACCAATCAACTCCTCGCACCCTTACAGCCAAGTGAACCGGACAACCTGGGCAAGCACCGAGCTGCTGACGGCCGCCATCGTCGTCAACGCGCCGACGCTCTACTCGTTTTGGAACAAGAGTCGGCGGGACAGGTCGACGCCTCGGGAGCAGGAGCAGGGCCATTCGGACAAGGCGAAAGCTGGCATCGTTCTGGAAACGATAGGCGGCAGCACTTTGTCGGGCACTGGGGTAGGGAAGCGGAAGCCGAGTGGAGGGATACTGCAGACGAAGGAGGTCATTGTGTCTGAATACAGGCATAGCGGTGAGTATATCAAACTGGCCGATGAGAGAGATCATGTATCACAGAATTCGAGTGGATAGAGGGAGGAGATTATGGGTTCTTTGGTTTTGTTTCATACCGTGTTCGCATGCATCTGAGCAATAGGGTTAGGTTCATTAACGGCAGGCTGAATGATATGAATTAACATATATGCTCCTCTTCAGAGGAACGATGGACAAGGCCAATTACCAGAGTTTGGCGCTCGCACATAGTGAACCCTATTTATTCCGCCTAAGAAACGGATTCATACAGACTCCGACGCTCTTGCAAATCACACTTTCACCCCAAGCCCGTCTCAATGCCTCCGACTTCTCGTCTTGCCGCCCTTCCACCGCAATTTACCAACCCACTCCGCAAACTTCCTCACCTCCTCCTCCTCTAGCAGCAGCTCCACAGTGTGATAATACCTTGCCAGATCCTCATGGTTCCTGAAGCGGTGCACAAACCTGTGACACGCGCCGCACAGCCACGCCACGTTCTGCAGATCCTCCTTGCGGTGCCACCCGCGCTTGACGGCCTTGTCGTGCACAAACCGCGGAATCAGGTGGTGATAGGACAGAGGGATCCAGGACCGCTCGCAGAGCTCGCAGGCATCGGTGCGAGTGGACGGCGCGGCTGGCGGCGGCTCGATGAGGGTGGTGAGATAGCCGGTGAGGATGGGAACGAGGAAGGCCTCTGGCGTGGGCGGCAGATGCGATGGCTGCGTCGGGTCCGCGGCGATGAGGTTGTACGTGACGAGTGTCTCGCAGATGGAGGGCGGCAGGTCGAGTCTGGACAAGCTGTCCTGCGTCAGGGGCAGCGAATACTGTGCTTGCAGCGCCTCGGATTCCCTCCACGAGCGGTAGTCCAGGTCCTGCAGCTCCTCCGGGAGGGTTTGGAAGATGCCGTCGGCTAGGTAGTCGATGAAGTCGGCGAGCTCCTCGGCGTCCTGGTCCGGATTCGGGCCCGGGGCCGAAGCCGGGACGGGTGAGGATGATGATGCGCGCCCCGCCTTGGCTCGTCGCCGGCGCTTCGGCTCCGGGGCGGGCGCGGGCTGGAGGATTGTTGCGGAGAGACAGTCACGGAAGAGCGGGTAGTTGAGGCTTTCCCTTTCCTCGTCTGACATTGTCTTTTTTATTTTGTTTTATTTAATCTGTTCTGCTGGGGATTGTTTCTCCGTGATCGGGAGGCCTTCGGCTATGCAGAGGTGCTGGATGGTTGACAGGATACTGACGTGATTGGATGCTCAGTCGCTTGCTACCGGATTAGGGAAATGCTGGTCTGAGGGGGCTTGCGGATAATTGTTCAACAGATGGGATGCATGATTTCATGTGTAATCGTGGGGTAGAGACTGGGAGCTTATATAACAAGGAAACATGAACGTCGGAAATGAAAATCTGAAGTCATCTTGCAAACAGTAGCATCTACGTGTTGTCTGCGCTCACCAACTAAACCGCCAGCTGAATCTCATTTGCCGTCCTGCAGACAGCTCTGCAGACAGCTCCGCGGCCGCCTGACTCACCGGCGTTCATCTAGTGTGCATTAACATCCCCGGCTGCCTGAACAGCTGAGGCCATGGCTCCCACCGTCATTGCGTTCGATCTCTACGGAACGATCCTATCCACTGACTCCATCGTCAAGACTCTGGCCGGTTTCTTTGGCGATGAACAAGCCAAGACGATTGCGACGCAAGCGCGGCGGTATCAGCTGGAGTATACATGGCGCATAAGCACCATGGGTGAGTCTTTGTCCGAGACCGTGAAGCTGCGGCGCTACCTGCTTTAAAGTGAAAGATGATGATGCTAAATTTTTTTGGATGTCAAAGGCAGGTATCGGTCGTTTAGTGAGTTGACTCGATGGTCATTCCGACATGCGGCCGCAGAGCTCGGCGAGAAGCTGTCGCCCGAGCAAGAGGAGGCAGTCATGAGTGCCTACGACGGCCTGGACGCCTTTCCCGAAGTCGAAGCAGCGCTCAACCTCGTCGCAAAGACCCCTTCCATCGAAGCATACGTCTTTTCCAACGGCACCGAGTCGATGATTGCTTCCTCGCTGAGCACTTCACCGTCACTGGCCAAGTCTTCCGGCTCCAACATCTTCCCGGCGTCGCGGATCGTCAGCGTTGACCCCTTGAAGGTGTTCAAGCCTGATCGTCGGACGTATGACCACTTTGCCAAGGTGGTGAATCTGGAGTCTCAGAATGAAAAGATTTGGCTCGTCTCTTCGAATCCTTTTGATGTTGTTGGTGCGAGGGCGGCGGGTTGGAGGAGCGTTTGGGTGAATCGGAATGCTCAAGTGGGGTGGGTTGATGGCTTGAGCGGTGCTGTTGGGTTGGAGCCGACGATGATCGTGAAGGGAGTGGATGAGGCGGTTGAGAGAATCATTAAGAATAATAGGGAGTGAATGGGGAGACGGGAGGCTCAAGTGAAGCTAAGGGACAACGGTAGCGATGATGTCAAAGTATCTTGGCAACGAAATATCTGGATCTAGGCTGCAATCTCAAGAGGTTCGACAAAGGAGCATTTCTTTTATGTACTCGTTTCTAGATACTTCCTAAAAAGGATAATAAGAGGCCCTTCTTTGCATATCTCAACAATAGCAGAACAGGACGGCTTAGGAGATCATGTACGGTGTGTACTCGGAAGCCACACTGGCCTGCACCTGCTGGTCTAATCGATACGCGACGCATCGAGCTTTCAACATAGGCTCTACATCGCAACGCTTCCATACTTTACCAGCTGTACCATCAACATCAACAACTTCCGGCATTGTCTTACCCTTCTTTTGCTATCAGTTTTGTTTTTGATACCCTGGCGACTTCACATTCTTACACCCTCGCTCGTGCTCACAGCCATGGCGTCAAGAGAAGACCACGGCGCCTCCCGTCGACATCGAGACCGCAACGGCGATGGTGAGGATTCTCTTGGGCGGGGACGCAAAAGAGCTGCAGTCTAACAATCAGCAACCAGCTTCCAGACGCGACCGAGATGAGAGCCGAGAACGGCGGAGACACCGCGACCGACGCTCTCGAAGCCCCGACGATCCTTCCCGGAGGCCTCGCAGCCGTGAGAGAGACCGAGGACACAGACGGCACCGTGATCGTAGTCGCGACCACGACCGCGACCGCACACGCAGACGCTCGCCTGAAGAGACAGACAGCCGACGCCGCCGACGCAGAGACCCGTCTGACGATGAAGACCCGGAGCGTGAGGGCCGCGCGCTGGCTCGGCATCGACAACACAATAGCCCTCCTATGAAGAGGTCCGGGCCGCTGCCATCCCAGCAAGAGTCTTTCGCGGTCACCACTCAAGGGGGCGGAGACCCCGAAAAGCCAAAGGAGAAGCCTAATATCGGAACCACTGGCCGGTTGGCTGCCCTGTCCAATTCGGTGGCCCAGGCGGACGGCTCGACAATCGTGCTCAAGTACCACGAGCCGGCAGAGGCGCGGAAACCGCCCCCGCGCGACCAGTGGAAGCTCTTTGTGTTCAAGGGCAAGGAGATCGTCGACACCATCGAACTGAGTGCGCGGAGTTGCTGGTTAGTGGGGAGAGAGTTGGCCGTTGTCGACCTCGCCGCAGAGCATCCGAGCATTAGCAAACAGCACGCTGTTATCCAGTTCCGCTATACTGAGAAAAGAAACGAGTTTGGCGACAAGATTGGCAGGGTGAAGCCGTACCTGATCGACTTACAGAGCGCCAATGGGACCAAACTCAATGATGAAAAGGTGCCCGAGAGCAGGTACCTCGAACTCAGAGACAAGGACATTCTTATGTTTGGACACAGCTCACGGGAATATGTCGTCATGCTTGCTCCTCAAGATTAGAGACAACTTTGGGGTTAGAATCCCTGGAGACAATTCTACGCCGCCAAAGCCAAGCATGGTATTCCCATTCATCCGAGAAGAAACCTGCCGAGGTAGGCTTGGGTACCAATATTCTGGATTGTGGCAACATGCGGCCCCCTTCAGTTATAGAGCTGCGACCGATTATCAATACCTTTCATCCCTAGAATATTGGCTACCGGGATCGTCTTGTTGTTGGGATGAGACTGCCAAGCTCGAAAAATTCTGATGTCGTTGGCTACTTATATCAGCCTCATCCAAGGTTCGGAAAGAAGACTGAGGGTATTATCATATACCTCAGAGAGTCTAGACATTCGAATACTCGTAGCTCGCTCCGCTCCTCTTTCAACGAGAGGCAGCGGCCTACCTCCTATCCGACACGACGCCTTTCTACACTGGGAACGGACTACATCCATCACGCATCGTCATATGCTCCTATCTGTGGCCCGCCGACTGCCGGCTTAACCTTTCCTTACCGCTTCCAAGAGTACCGGAACGGGATATGTGGGAGCACTGCCACTGGCTTGCCTAAAAGTCTGAAAAATGACAGCCTGACAAGGAGAGTGCCAGGTGTGCAAGGGGATGCCGATTAAGCCAGAAAGAAGGTTAAAACGATATCCAAAGAAAAATGAAGAGAAGACTTATTTTTCTCATGTGTTACCCCGGTTCCTGCAGCCAGTGTCGTGAGTCAATCACCCAGCCACGGCGCTGCGATGTCGAGAATGTTCTCTTCCACCAAGGGAAGGAAAATTGATATCTGTGGACCATCAAGGAACTGTCAGTGATTTCACTCCAGGCCCTTCTTTGTTAAAATGCGCCGCCTACAAGCTGGCTGTCCTCGATTGAAGCAACCTGCTTGTTCTGCTATCTGAGTAGGCATGTAACTGAGTCTCTAGGGTGAACGTTGCGCTGCCAAAAGAGACTGACTTCCCGAAGATTCTCATAAACTGCAAGATCCCGGCAAGTACATCTTCACATGTCAAAATCTCGACTGGAAGATGCACCCTTCTCTCCCCTTCTCACAATTAGCGTCCGAGGCCAGGGTTGAAGCGGGTCTGCCGTGCACGTTGAAGGGGGATGAACCAGATCGTCGGGACCGTTGAAGCCTTGAAAAGGCAGTTGGTTATGAGAGACATTCACATGTGTCTCACAAGGTCTGAAGCAAGAATTAGTGTAGAAATCATCAAGCGCTATGTTCATTAGGTACCATGTTAACCAAGTTTTCTATCTCAATGTAACCAGTCCTCAACGCCAACAGTCTCGCTCAAATCATAACCCAAATCCCAAACAATGATATAAGAAGGAAAGGCGATTCAAAACGTTCTTCGAAGCGTCTACTGCTCCACGTCTGGCCTCCAGCTGAAGATGATACTGTTGAATTTCTCCAGCTGGGCTGGGTCGGTCGCCCAAGTGGTCAGCAGTCTGACCACGGCAAATTCGCCGTACTTTTCCCATACATAGAATGAAAATTCCTGCTGCAGAGCCTGGACGAGGGCCACAGGTAGGATGGCAAAAACCTGGTTTGTCTCCGTCTTAGCGCTGAGCTGATACCCGGCTCCGGTGATGGACCGAGACAGCTTCTCTGCCAACAGGTTGGCCTGCCGAGCGAGCTTGAAGTACAGGCAATCCTCTTCTCGGAACAGTTCTGCAAACTGCACGCCCATGATACGGCCCTTGGCCAGCAGAGAGCCACGCTGCTTGACGAAGAACTCAAAGTCCTCCGCCAGCTTGTGGTCCTTGACCACGACGGCCTCGCCTAGAAGAGCGCCGTTCTTGGTGCCGCCGATCCAGAAGATGTCGGTGAGCTCAAGCATATCGCGCAGGGTCAAGTCATTGATACTGGACGTGAGCGCAGTGCCGATGCGAGCACCGTCGGCAAACAGCAGGAGACCATTGGCTTCGCAGATGCGCTTCAGGGCCGTCAGCTCGGCCTTTGTGTAGATGGTGCCAATCTCGGTGGCGTTGGAGATGTATACGAGACGGGGTTTCGCCATGTGAGGGAAGTGCCAGTTGTCGTCGAGGGCCTTGGTGAGGGTTTCCGGCGTCATCTTGCCATCCTTGGGGGCGACGTTGATGATCTTGTGGCCGCTGGCCTCGACGGCTCCCGTCTCTCGCGTGACAATGTGGCCGGAGCTGCAGGCAATGACGGCCTCGTGGGGGCGAAGACAGGCGGCAATGGAGATTGCGTTGGCCGAGGTGCCGCTGGGCACGAAGAAGACGCCGACGTCGCCGCGGCCGAGATGGCGGCGGATCAGCTCGCGGGCCGTCTCGCTGTAAGTGTCGCGGCCGTAGCCCACCTCCTGGGTGTTGTTGCTCAGCAGCAGCGCATTGAGGACGTCGGGATGGGCTCCCTCGCTGTAGTCGTCGGTGAAGCTGTACTTTGGCTTCGTCGTTGCGACGTCGGAGGCAAGCATTGCGAGCGATTGCTAGGGGTTACGGTGGGAGGTGGGAGTAGTTTTTCGCTTGACGAAGAATCCAGCGGCGAGCCTCGCTGGAGCAATTCGAGTAGAGATGAAGAATATCGTCGACGATGATGCAAGAGAAGAGAAACCCGCAGCTTAAAGATGAATAACAGAGCAGGAGAAGGAAGAAGGAGAAAAGAAGAAAGAAGCGACGTGAGATGGAGAGCTGCTTCCTTTCGTCTTACAAGAGATAAGAGAAGGAGCTACGGACGACAGCACTACCGTACTTCTTCGCCAAACTGGGGCAACTACAGATTATCTAATGAGAACAGAGGAATTTTGTATTCATTAACAAGAAGGCAGATGATCACAAAAGCAGAAATAGACATGGCCCTAAAGCAATTGGGCCAGCAGATTCATACTCGGAAAAGTCGAATTCCATTACGAAACCCCGAAAGTCGAGCCCCGAAAAAAAATAAGTACGAACTGGGTTCAAGGTTCCTTTTTTCTTCCGTCTTCTGCATTGCTCCGCCGGCGCCGGCGCACTAGTAGCTCGCCAGTCGCATTTGCCGACGCAGGCCGGCCGTCAGATGAGGCTTCCCGACCATCGGAAGCGGGATCTCGGGATTCTGTTGCAAGGAGGAGAGGAGAGGAGAGGAAAGGATCAGGATATGGAGGCACATGGTCTGGACTGCTCTTGTGCAACTGTGACGGGAACTGCATTTGCATTGCGGTGATACGGGTGATGCGGACGGGCAAGTCGGGTAACGATACAGGATACGGAATACTGGACACCGGATACGGGATGATAACGGCCTCTAGACTGACCCAATTGAAGCATCAGAGGGTGTGAAAGAGGTCCCCTCATCTCACCACCACCCAAAACGCAAGAATCGGGCAGAAGAAGCAAAGAGAAGAAGACGAAGGGGGACCACTTCTCCCATTAGCGGCCAGTGTCGTCGCTTCCACGGCCCCACGTTGACAGCCAAAAAGTCCCATATCAGAGGCGGCCCATGGAAGAGAAGCTATTATTACTAGGAGGAGGAGAAGCCGCTGCCATCGAGGGAATGCTTCCTTCTCGGCCCCGTTTTCCACATTGAGCCGGCTCTCCTTTGATATGGTGTATGTATGTACGTGGTCCAAGTTAAGAGTGCTGATATCCTCGTCTGCTGCATCTCTCGTCCTAGAACAAAAGGTCTATCAGAGACTTCCAAAGTAAGCCTTCCATCATTATCTCGACATAGTGCGGCTTGTTGATAGCAACCCCCCCTTCATGCACCGATATACTACTACTAATAAATTACGTCCCAAGCCAGGGACACCACCAATAGCACGTCAGCCCGGCACCACCATGACGAGCCGAACGACGGCATTCGAGCAATAGCTTTAGTAAAGTCTAATAAGCCTGCAGGCCAAGGAACCCAATTGCCGTACTTTGCAGAGAAAAACAGCATTAGATAACAACACCAATACGCAAGAGACGACCGAAAGCGGCATCATCTACCAGCACATAGTTACACATGTATGGAGGGCCACAAGCACTTCGCATTCCGTAAGAGAACTACTTCTATGCCTCTCTAGAACAAAGCTGCAAGGCGCAAGACCTCCGCCCTTTTTGCCCTACCTTGTGTAAGCTTTACCCCTGCTGATCATGGGATCTGTTGAAATGCAAGACAAGCTCCGATATCGATACTGAAGTAGCGCTTCCCCGACAATTCAGACCGCATCGTGAAGGAGACGATAAGGTTGAAGCCGGGATTCAACGGCTTAAGGCTGGGCGACATGGGAGCCTAACGTCTGCCTCCATCTCTCTTCCTTTTTCAACTGTAATTACATCCCATGAAACATGCTCTTGCAGAAGTGAACAGTGAGAGTTTAATCAAATTGTATCAGATTGTATCAAAGAAGGTTGTCGCTCGCTTAACAAATTATCCCATCATACCCAAGTTACATTGCAAATCGTTTCAATTCCCCAATCCCCATTCCCGCCCTCTCTCAAATCACAGCTCACCAGGCTCCTCGACAACCATGTCCACCTTGACCATACCCAGCAAAAAGTCCTCCTCGCTCACGGCACCGGGAACGGCCTCCCTCTCAACGCCCGCCGCGTCGTCCACAATGAGCCTCGCCACATTCATGCCCATCAGCGCGCTCGTCTCCATGGTCGAGATGAAGCTCTCGATGCCCGACGTGTAGTACAGCCCGCTGCCCAGGATGGGATCCTGAAACGTCACCCGCGGGAGCTCAATCGGGTACGAGTAGAACCAGTGCGGGTAGTACCACGAGATGGGTTCCACCAAGCCGTCGCTCCCGTCCGTCTCAGTAGTAGTAGCCGGACCCGTAAACGTCTCCGGCACCTGCACGCCGAGGAGATCCGACAGGAACTGCGGGGTCACGGGCTTGGGCGAAAAGATCTTGTATACAAACTCCGTCCGGTTGGCCTTGGGGTTGACCGCCGTCCTGAGCGTGCTGACGGAGTAGAAGCCCGTCTTGCCGACGCCGTCGGCCCCGACTTTTGGCTCCTCGTCCTTGGCGAGGGTCGTGTAGACGTTGCTGGGCGCTTTGCTTCCCGGCGGCAGCCCGAAGAAGGCCGGGTGCAGCTTGAAGGGGGAGGCGAAGAGCGTGACGTGGAGCTTGGTGTAGGGGATCTCCTCGATCTTGTGCTTGAGGACGCCCTCGCCAGCTTCAATGTTGCTGAACTGCCAGGGCGAGGCGATGATGACATCGTCAAACGTTGTGTCGACGAGTTCCGGCTCAGCAGAGGCCGAGCTTGTGGAAATCTCATACTTGGGAGCGGAAGATGACGTCTCGCCCTTGGCAAAGCGGATGGAGGAGACGGTGGTGTTTCGGAGGATGGCAGCACCGCTGTTCTTGACCATATTCTCAAAGATGTGCCAGTTGCCGCCCGTCACCGACATTGCGCCATCCGTAGCAAAGGAGACCTGGTTATTCTCGTCTTAGTACACTCGTCCAACTCACATAAAGGAGACTCCGAGTAGGCCTTACCATGGTCTCCAGTCCATGAATGTACGCCAAGTTCGAAGCATAGTTGACCCTCGTAGCAGCCTGAATAATGTGCCTGGAAAACGCCTCATCAATCTGAACACGACCAACTCGTCAGCTTTGTATCACACACAAAACAAAACCTCCGCTTTGCTTCCTCACCTTGTGCTGCTTGAGAAACTGCTCCCCCGTCACGGCTGTCACCCCCACAAGCCCCAGCTCATACGCCCTCGCCGTCAACGATCGGAACGGAAAGTACGGCCCCTCGTACAGCTTCAGGAACTTGCCCACCACGTCCTTGACCAGGGACACGGCGCGGTACGGGCTCATGCCGTAGCGCCACCACAACTTGCCCGCGTCCCACCACCAGGCCGTGCCGTCCGTCGTCTCGTAGACGAAGCTCTCGCCGTCCCAGATGGCCGTGATGTCGTCCGCGCTGCTGGCCTCGCGGTAGTTGGCGCCCGTCGACAGGTTAAAGTTGCGCGTGCCGTTGTACAGGATGTGGTTGACGGACACGAAGATGGACGCCCCCAGCTCGATGGGGTGCGCCGCGTCGTCGTAGGCGTTGACCGTCAGCGTGCGGCCGCCGATGCGGTCCGTCTTTTCAAAGATTGTGATGTTGACCTTGACGTCGGCCTCGTCCGCGTACTGGCACAGGTAGTAGGCGGCCGAGGAGCCGGCAGCTCCAGCGCCTGTGATGTTGCGTCAGTCGGCTGCTCTGTCGTTCATCTTGTCATGCCGTCCCAGCCCTCCACCGTGTCTGTCATGACGAGCATGATCATGTCCAGACTGCTCAATCCCCGAGTGACATCCTGAATCAGACTCCCAACTCACCAATAATGGCAACATTCTTCACGCCCTTCGTCTCCGTCGTCGCCTCTCCCTCTGCCGCCGCCTCCCCGCCAAGCGCCAACCACGCCACCAAAGCCGGGCCCAATTGCAGCCGCATCTTCACCAAACAAGCAACACACCAGTCGGGCAACCAATGGTGCAGAAAGCAAGCGACAACAGTCAATAAGTCTCCGTCTCAATTGTTTCCAAGGCGAAAGGAATAAATATGAGAAGAAAAGGTTGGACAGGATTCAGAGCAGACAACACCCCTCCTTTCACTAATTTATAACCTCAGCCTCCTGATGATGCAAGCAAAGCGATTCTCCGTGCAGCTTGCAGGCGTGTGGTCTGATTGCGTAGAACTAGCGAATTGAATTGACCGACGTTCAGGCAGTACGAATGTACTCCGTAAGCCGCCGTAACTTTGCAGAAGCTGTGAGACGGCACATCACGTGTTTCTCATCCTCACTGGACAATCACGTACAGCACAATACAATACGTACCTACTGTACAATAGTAGACAGTATCATATGCCGGCATGCAGCTTGGAATTGTTTGCTTCTGCACCATGTTGAATTAGAGAAGCCTCCAGTACTCCACAGTTGCTGATTGCTGTTTGCTGCTTGACAAATAAATGATGACCTTACCGTTTACCTAGGTAGATAAAGCATACAGGTAGTCCGAAGGATCGCAAAACACACGGGTTGCAGATTCGTTACACGCCCCTTAGGGAATATCTGAAGCTTCATCGCTAAATCACCGTGGACAGGCCGCTCAAGTGCTTTCCAGACAATTCAGACTGGATATTGAAATGATGAACATACAGGGTATCTAGCCATTATATACTCCCTTGACCCAACTAGCAAGGAACTGTCGCAAACCTCGGCTGTACAATCTCTCCGTGTGTACTGTATATACACTGAATATTGAAAGAGATGAGAGTGATTCAATCGCGCGTGTCGAGAGAATCGTACTTTTTCTTTTTGAAACAAACCGTCGACAATGCCTTTCAGACACGTAGATATCCAACAGAGCCAAGTGAATCGGTTCGACATCAAAGACCTTTCGGGCGTCTACTTGTCAGCGGTCCACAGCCGTTGACAAATCTGGCGCCCCCAAATTGATTGCTGATGCTTTCGCGACATTCTTCGCATCCAACTTTCACGACGCAACAACATGCGTGCGCTCAACTGCTTTGTCCGGGGCTGCTGTGATAATAATCGCTCCCGATGCCTCCTGCAGTGGCCACAGAACTGCCTCCGGCGAGGAGCATCCCCTCGGCGATGGCGCTGGCGCTGTTGCTTCTCCCCCCGAGAGTTCCTGGAATTGCCTCGGTGCTGCCTCGGGATCCGTGAGAGACCCGACGGAGTACCCGCGGTGGAAGTTCGTCCACCCCACTGCTGTCTGGCTCAGCATTCCCCGACAAATGAGCATCGTCATCGGGCGCTTCGCCATCTTCATCACCGCTGCTCAGGTCCACTCCGTCGGAATAGTCATCCGACTGATGCGGGTTTGCGCGTCGGCTCATGAGCTCTTCCGAAGAATTGAGCTCATCGTCTCCGTCCGATCCAGATTCGTCCTCGGACGACGAGTCCGAGCTAAAAGGTGGGAAAAAAATGGCAGGCGGAGGAAGAGGCACGGGTTCCAAGCGCCTGATGCGGCCCGACAGGTACTCAATCTGGATCTTTGGCGGTTCATCCTTCATCAGCAGTCGGCGGGCAAACGGGCGCGGCGAAGACGTGAACATCGCGGCCAACCGGCTGATGATGCCTTCTGTAGTCCCATCGGACAGCTTGCTCCGCTGCCCCTCGTATGCATCAAGTTTTGACCGCCTGGTCGTGACCACCACCAAGAAGTGATCCTCTGGTAGCACACCACCCAGACCACACGGTTCAAGGGGGAGTACTTCAAGCACCTGGGGCGCATCGCTCCACGGATATTCCATGTTGAGCTCGCTAGATTCATCTCCCGAGTCCGTCGTAAGCTCTGGCACGCCAAGTCGCCCATCATCGACTTCCAGTTCGGAGATGGAGCCGAGATCAAGATCGGCGTCACTCAATGGCCGCCTAACGATGGATGAACCGGATCCGGTTCGGATCGGGATCGGGCGGTCAAATTGAGCCCGGGGCGCGACCCGATCTCTGCTGCTCGATAGCATGTACGTCGCCGGTGATATATCGCCCGGATCACCCGACAGATCGGTGCAGAACGGAGCCCCGCTGTAATAGATGATGGCACCATCGCGACGGCGTTTGTGGCGAACGGACGTACCCGAGCCGCTCTGGCCCCATCGCGAGTCTGCATTGCTTTCCTCAATGGGGCCAAAGGACGACAGGGTGCCATCCTCCGGAGATGACTGCCCGTTGGGCGACTGCTGATGAAGGAACAGAGGCTTGTAGTGAAAGCTCTCGGTTGATGCTAAAACTTGTGGCCCGAATTTGGACAGGTTGTTAGCCGGGCTCCAGGAGTCGCCGCTTGAGCGACCCGTCTTCTGCCTCTTACGACGTTCTCTTTCCGAATTTCCGGTTTCATCCGTCTCTGGGCTTCGTTGCGAAAGATCGCCCGAGCTGTCGCTGCTGAACTTGGTGCCGTCCATACCCCCGCGCCATCGAATTCTCCGACCATCTGGCGAGAGTTGAAATTTGGCGCTCAGGCCAACGACGGCGTTGCGCACAAAGTCCGGGGTGACGTTCATGATATGTAGTTGCGCCATGTTGCAGAGGAGATTCAGGTACACCCACCCTTCTTCGTCGGGGTGAACGTCATCGAGGCTCCGTTCCGGCGGATTGGGTAGCAGCTCTGGAGGAATAAGACCCAAGTGTCTAATATACTCCATGTTTTCGGATGGGATCTGGGCGCGATCAGGGTCGAGGTCCCTAGGCCTCGTGGGCCGCTGCTCAGGAGGCGGTGGCATAGGCGGAGAGGGGTTTGGCCCCGGACCGCCGTTGCCGAGACCGCTACCGCTACCGCTACCATTTCCCCCAGACTCGGTTCGGTCTTCGTTGGAGTTGGACGCCGAGCCCATGTCCTGCGATCTGGCCTTCTTTCCCCCTTGCCCAGAGTGAAGTTCCGCGGGAGGGAATCGAGCTTCGCGCAAAGGCTCCAGAGTAGAAATCAGATTCGAGCTGTCATGGGTGCTAAGCTTGGGTGTCAATAGTTGCACTAGAGAAGAGCGCCGGGGAGAAGCTTGGCCCGGTGTTGCCTGAGCTGGTGGCGGGACGGATCCAGGAGGTGGCTCGCCAATTTGCTTTCGACGCGCATGCTTGCCAGAAATCTTCCCCGTGAAGATTTGCTCAAGGCGTCGGACCACGAGCTTCTTCTTCTCCTTCTCCGTCATGGGGACAAGCCGGGGATACAGACCCTCGGGAATGTCGCGCAAGTAGTTCTCGACTTTCTGATCGTTCGACTTGAACCGCGAGCCCCCTTGAGGCCTATTCAACGAGGTCCCAGATGAGCCCGCGCCGGTGGACATGGAGGCGTAGGCTGAATCGACCGGTCGTGCATTGGACCCTGATGATGACGAGGCATGCTTGGACCGCGACATGGAAGTCGAGCCCGAGTACATGCGCTCGCGCGTGGCATGCCTAGACGACATCTTGTTGCGCCGGGACGAGGAGGTCTCCGGAGAATCGCCTGATAGGCCCGCTGCGAATTCCCTAAGTGTTGCCTCCAATTCGCGCTTTTTCCTCTTCGGCAAGCCATGCATCTTGATCTCAAAGAGCTTGTCTTTTCGAAGCATGTCCGGACCATGCTGCTTGTAGCGCTTCAGCTCTTCCTTTAGCTTCTGAATCTCAACAGTCAGATCATCGATGACGCTTCGGTAATCTTCGGCACTGCTGCTGCGGGCGTTCGACAGACTTCCGGGCACGGGTGCTTGAGACGGAGATAACTTGTCTTCAAATGAAGAGTCGGACTCTTTTTGGAAAAACGGCGGCTCCACTGTGTCAAAAGATATGAGTAAATGCTTATATCAGCCTACGTACCGATCCACACGTTCACACTTACCGTCCATGGCGTTGTTGTCAAAAGTAGCTGTTGGGTTCTCGTTAGACTGGTTGAACCACTTGTTGACGTCGCTCTGGGCGGTCTCGTTGCTCTCCCCCGACGAGGCTCGACGAGGTGACGACGCGTCTTGATTGGTCTGGTTTGGCGGAGCCGAGCCACGACTCGCTTTCAGGGAGGCATCGCGAGCAAACTGATGGTGTCGCAACGTGACTGAGTTTTCCGGCGACGTTCGTCGGGGGAGAGGGTGGCCGGTGGATGATAGAAGTGGTTCGTGAGATTTGCCCTTTGTCGGCTGCATTGTAGTCAAGCTGGAGGGCATACAAGAGCTGGCGACTTGTCTTGATCAGACTAACAAGGATTCATTCTTCAGCTGCCGAGCAAGAGACTTTTGCTCGAAGTAGGCGGTTAACGGCGTGTATTATTTCCAAGGGTCCCAAGCAAAGCCAAGTGACGGGGCTTGTGACGTAGGCACGCGGTTACACCTCGTAAAATCGCCTTGCGATGTACTGTGGATGCACTGTTAACAGACCTGTGACTGGAAGTTTCGCTACTGGCACCTTGTGTCGGGTAACAAGAAGTGGCGTGTTATTGCCGGGGCACCGTAGGCGATCGATCGATCGAACGGCATAAGCAAAGAGGGCCGCAACAACCTCGGGGCAACTCACCTCAGGCAGGGAATAATGAGCCTTGGTGAACAGAGGATGTGAAGTGGATGAGGATGAGGGAGAGGGGGAAAAGAAGTCGGCAAACTGTGCCAGGTGTAAGGAGTCCTTGAAGGATACTGAAGCTGATAAAGATAGAGAGATGCCGGCTCTGTCCAAAATTCGTATGCGGTTGGAGATTCAGCGAAAAAAGACGAATCTTCGCGAGACTTCTGGAGTAGTATGTGGCGAGGGTGGAATATGTGAGAAGACACTTATCCTAATCAACCAAAAGCCGCGGATTGCTGTCGCCTTGAAACCTGTCGGTGGCCTACACCAGCGGATTGGGAGAATTCTTCGAGTTTGCGTTGTCGTCGGGCGGCTCGATCTAACCCTTCGCAACTGTTTGCGTCAACCCGTGGTAGAGTTGGGTGAACAGGCGAGAGTGCGATCTCGGAACCGGCACCGCCAGTCGGGCAGCCTTTCTCTCTCTTGAAGATACGCGGTGGACTTGTTGCCAGAGAAGGATTGCGCGTTGAGGCTCACGTCTGCTGTGCTCGGCCTGGGCGCTGTTGATGTCGTCGCCAGAATTTCACCGTGGTAGTGAGGAGGAGCGCAGAAGCTGACGGGAGCAAGGAGTAGCTCGAATGTGGTTGAAGAAAGCTCGTGTTCGAGAACGGCCCCGTAGGGGTATCGACGGGGCCAGGCGATGTATGCACTGTACAGATGTGATTCGACGTATCGATCGCCGTGGTGAGGCTGTGGACGACGATGAGAGAGGAAAGGGGAGGGTGGCGAGGCGGGGTGCGTGGCAGCCGGCGTACCAGTAGCAGTAGAGTACCTAAGGTAGCTGGGAGGGGAGAGGAGATGGAGGGGGGGAGGCAGGCCAAGTTAAACTGGCAAGGGATTCAAGACTCCACGATGTATGCAATTAACCACCAGCCAGCCCTATCGCAGACGGTCGTGTTCGCTCGGAAGGTGACGGATTTACCACGAGAGAGGGTGAAGTTGGAGTGAGGCAAAGATCTGGCAACCGCAAGGTAGCGAGGGCATCGCCAGGAAAGAGAGGGAAAAAATGAGT